TTGCGAATGGAGTTTGTCTAACCCGCGTGCTTGTGGCCAAGCCACAATCACGACAGATGTTTCAAATGCTGGTCGCGAAGTTGGGTGGTCTCTTGGGTCGGCGTGTATATCACATGCCCATTACACGCTCTCTGAAACTTGGAAAAGCCGAAGCGGAGGAGATTGAACGCATGTGCTTAGAGTGCATGTCGCAGGGCGGTGTCTTGCTCGTCCAACCCGAACATATACTATCGTTGAAACTGATGAGCCTTGAGTGTTTTATTGCTGGTAAATGCGCCGTGGGCCGTTCTCTACTTCGCACATTGCAATTCTTCCAACACAACTCCCGGGACATTGTGGACGAAAGCGATGAAAACTTTAGCGTCAAATTTGAATTGATCTATACCATGGGATCTCAACGCCCCGTCGAGCTCAGCCCACAACGATGGATCGTGGTACAAGAACTGCTACAACTGGTTCGAGCTTATCCTGGTCGCGTTCACTCCGAATTCCCCGACTCCATTGATGTGAGCGAGCAGCCATGCGGCGGTTTTCCACGGATACGATTGCTCAAACAGGATGCTGAGAAAGCTTTGGTTCAATACGTCGGAAGGCACATATGTGAGAATGGTATTGGCTCTCTGTCAATCTCGAGGCAGACTCAGCCCATTCGAGATGCCGTCTACACCTACATTATGAAACCTGAACCTACGGTGAAGGAAACCGCAGCAGTGGAGTGCGACGATTCCGCAGGATTTTGGGGGGAAAGCACACGGGCATCTCTCCTGTTGATACGCGGTCTGCTGGCGGGGGGAATTCTAGCCTTCTGCTTGGGTCAAAAACGATGGCGCGTCAATTATGGGCCTGATAGGAGCCGTAAGCCGCCGACAAGACTTTGTGTGCCATATCGAGCCAAGGATAGCCCTTCACTTCGTTCGGAATTCAGCCATCCCGATGTCGTGATTCTGTTGACATGTCTGAATTACTATTATGCCGGACTTGGTGATGACGATATATTTCTTGCTTTCAATCATCTGGTCGGGTCTGACCAAGCCAGTGCAGAGTATCAAGAGTGGACGAAAGACGCTTCTAAACTTTCACCCGCCTACCAGCAACTGGTGGGAGTGAATCTGGATGACCGGTCTCATTGTACCGATCATGTGTTCCCCGCTCTACGGTTCTGCAAAGCTACTGTAGACTACTTTTTGACACACGTCGTATTTCCGAAAGAAATGAAGGAATTTCCTGACAAGTTGTCTGCGTCGGGCTGGGATATTGGGGAGATCAAAACACATCCTACAGTAGGGTTTAGTGGGACGAATGATTCACGAGAAACCCTACCGCTGAGCGTCTCACAACTTGACCTGCCGGAGCAAAACCACACGAATGCGTTGGTCCTGGAATATTTGTTGCGGCCAGAAAATTCCGTGGCTTGCATTCCGCAGCAAGTCCAGCCATGCAAGTTAGACGCCGAGATCATATTGGAACTGGTATTGGGTCTGAATCCACCGGCTCAGGTAATTCTTGATGTGGGCGCACAGATTCTGGAGCTCAGTAATCATGGCCTGGCAGCGCACTGGCTACAAATGCTCCCAAAAGAAGGACCAGTCCAAGCGGTGGTATTTGTAAACGACAAAGACGACATCTGCGTCCTGGATCGAACTGGGCGGGTTGAACTATTGCAAATTTCACCATTTGCAAGACAAATGGAAGCATGCTTTGTTTTCCTGGACGAAGCACATACCAGAGGAATCGATTTGAAGCTCCCGTCTAATTATCGTGCGGCGGTCACGCTGGGTCCGGGTATTACGAAGGACAAATTGGTTCAAGGTACGAAATGAGGAATTTTCATATCAGGCAAAGGCAGGACTGACTGTGCCCCAGCGTGCATGAGGATGAGGAAATTGGGCAACGGACAGTCTGTCGTCTTTTGCGTTCCAGAGGAGGTCAAGTTCAACATCCTGACCTTGAGTGGCAAGGACAAGAGTTCTCGGATCACAGTCTCAGACGTGCTTCTCTGGGCCATTTCCGAGACCTGGATTGACAGCTGCTACAGTATACCCCTTTGGGCGGTCCAGGGTATTCGATTCGAGCGCCAACGGGAACTGTGGCAAGCTAACCGCCAAAATGATTGCCTTGATCTGACGCCGAGACAAGCCCAGGAATTCCTCGAGCCCGAATGCCAAACTCTTGAACAGCGATACCGACCTGGTCACCAAGCGCGGCCATCATTTCACTGTCCTTCGGTTACTAGCTCGAACCTGAATTTAATTTGGAAGCGCTGCCGCAAGTTTGAAGGTCTCGACACTTCGTCCTCGCTTCAAGAGGAACAGGAGCGCGAGCTCGCACCAGAAGTTGAAAGCGAACGCCAGATCCAGAGGCCTCCAAGTGCTACACCCGAAACACACCATATCCATCCACACATATCTTCATTTGTCACCACAGGCATTCTTGTGAGGTCTTCCGAGGCCTATGAGCCAGCATACCTCACGCTGCGCAATACCTCCGCCGCGTGCTTTCTGGACGTATCTCAATTCCCATCCAGTCTACTGGCTTCCAAGGACTTTGTTGAGACCATCAAGACTCCCGCGGGCTCACACTTTGTTGCTGATGCTTTCCAACGTCCTGTCAGATGGGTCCTGACAAGTCGAAACCGTGCTGTCGATGATGGAACACCTCAGTTGCGCATGATGATCATTAGCCCTTACGAGGCCAATGGTTTGATGTCCAAGATACGAGAATCACGTGTCGTGACTCTTCATTTGTATGCCCCACGCCAAAGCCGAGGATTCCCTTCGTTGGATAGACTTACGCTATACACGGTCCCCGACGATGTTGTCCAAAACGAAATACCTGATATATTCCGTATGTTGCTCAACCTGTTTTCCGGGCAGCTGTATCTTGAATCATATTCCGAGTACAAAGACCTTTGTGAATTTTTGGGAGTGGCATCGATGAAAACGCCTCCCGGTATTGTTGTCGCAGCGGATGGGTTCATCAAGCGAGGTTTCCCGGGGATGAAGACCGACTTCAGTCAGAGCCCTCTCAAATTCCTTGAGATTCTGATGTCACAGATTAGGAAAGATTGCCAGCGAATTGGACGGACGCACATTGGTAAAATTATCAGTGGTCAGTTGCTTTTCCCGCTCGACTTTGAAGAATCAGCAACAGCATCCATAGAAGCCGGTCTTCAAATGACTAGTCTCGGTCCATAAGCAGGCCCTTTCTACAACCAAGGCCTGGAATTCTAGCACCTTTTTATTTTGAAATATCTTTTTGCTCAATCCAACGGATTGAAGAAACACGTGGTGTGACAGAACCGTTGAAAACCCCGAATTGAACACAAAAAGGTCACCCATCTCTGGGATACTTCTTCTAGAAGGCTTAAATAATTGCGACACCCAGCTTGGGTGTTGATCTCAATCAATTCCGGTTGTTGCTTTTTCCTGGATAACTTTGCATATTTGGCAGCGGGCCTTTTTGCATATTTTGATATAGCTTCATCGTAGTGGATTCTATTCGCATCTTCATGTTTTTGATCCTTGTTTTAGCTATCCCACAACTTGTTAGATTTCAGACATGGCCCTTAGCACATCTTATCACGCTATCGCGTTGATTGTAACTGTGAGAAGACTAGTTTTGTCTCTTCTCGACCTGCTTCGAGGTTCCAAGATGGAGAACAATATCATGGGAGCATACTCCGAAAGATTTCTGATACAGCCCTTGGAGACATTCGATGAGCTGCTCTCTTCTCTGAAAAAAATTATGATGTATGACGAGCCCAAGGTTTGATTCCAATCGGTTCTATACGTTGGAATTTGGCAAAGTTCGCGAATACAGCTCGAGATTCCGTGCTAAGCAAATATTTCGGATCTGTACCGTCGTCAAACATATAACGTTCGCGGTCCGAAAAGATCTTAAGTTGCACTTTGTTGTTTCATCACTCGACCTCGAAATATTTTTATCCTCATCTGCTATGACACGGCATGTTGTCCGGGTGTTCGGGACCATGTGGTTCCTGGGATCATGTTAGACCCAAAGAACCAAGGTACGCATCAGCTTGACTGAGACAACATTGGTTTGAGACTGCTTTTCATGCGAGTCTGTTTTTCGACAAATAACAGTTACTCCGAAAATTCCAATCGTCTCCTGTCGTACCTTGCGGGGCTGAGTACAGTGCATAGTTAACGTAGCCGTACGGCCTTTTCATATGGAAACTCAGAGTCATGCCGGCTCAAATATCGCAATCTTGATGGTTGACCCGCATTGCGGCTTGCAGTAAAACAACGATCGCCCATCGCACGCGCGCCATAGAGCAGCCTCGCGGATCGCGTCACTGCACTCTTGGATGAACCCGATACCTTGGCTTGGGGCCTGCTTCGCTCAACTAGATTAAACGCGAAACCCGCCCACGTTGCGATAAATTCGATAAAGCTGATTTATTGGGAATAATCACGTAACCTCACAGGTCTAAGGTAGGTAAGATTTTCCTGAACGTGACCGTCGGACATGACGAGCATGTAAAGTGCGGGAGCTTTGAAGACTCACCGCATCATGACACAATTGGATGGATTTTTCTCCTTTTGAGTAGGTGGAGAAAGTTACTGAACAGCTCTCCCAAATATAATTCTCGTACAATCACATTAATGTGCTAAAGATGGAGCATAGACACGTCTTAATCGGCCAAGACGGAAGGGTTGTCCGACGCAAGGCGTGGAGCCTCGTATGCGCTTCCAGAATGCTAATGCGCGAAAGACAGAGAGGTCGCCGATGCCTGCATATCTCGGATGATCGCTGAAGACGCATGTGGAATCTTTAAACTTTCTCCCGCACTCCTCTTCTATTAGTGTCAGAGTGTACCGAGAGCAAGAATGGTGGCTATGAAACTGGTTGAATAGTAACTCGAGGCGCAAGACAATAAATGGGATTCAAACAAAAAGAGACCATATAACCCTCGTCTCATCAAAAACCATATATACAGTCGATAATTGTCTATAACATATCAAAAGCCCATTTTAAGACTAAGTGCGAAAGTTGCCCTCCGCATTCAAGCGGCCCTGAAGATAAAGCGAGATTTTACTAGTCAGAGATGTTTCAATGGCAACTTTCATATCATTGCCATCCTTTGCGCGAGGATCCTTGAAGAGACGTTGAACGACATGCTCATGTCCGTTACGAGCTGCTTTGCATATTGCAGTGTCCCCGAGCTTATCACTAGCAGTGACATCCAGACCTTTTTCTTTCAGCAAGAGATCTATGATCGATAGTTGACCATGGCAAGCCGCCAGAGAGAGTGCAGTGTCTCCCATGTAAGTTTTGAGATTAAGGTCGGGTGGCGGTCTGTGCTTAAGAAGTAGTCTCGTAATCTCAAGGTGTCCCATCTCGGATGCAACACAGAGCGGCGAAAAATCCCAAAATTTCTGATTGATATCGATGGTATCAAGGCAGAGTAATCGACGTACGACGTCTCGATGGTCCTCTCTCGCAGCATGGAATAGAGGAGAAGCCTGTGGCACGTTCACTTGTATATCTGTCCTTGCGAGCAATAGTTCCACCATGCATAAGTCACCCCTAGAAGCAGCGCAGGTGAGAGGAGTCCATTCCTCATCGTCACGAATGTTCGGATCTAGATCATGATTGTTGAGAAGAACAGCCGCGATTGGTACATTTCCCCTTTTCGCCGCGGAATGAAGAGCTGTACTGCCATTTTGGCCTTTCACGTTGAGATCGACATGGTCTTCTGCAAGAATCTGTAAGGCGATCGCGGTACGTTCTGCCTGAACAGCTAAACAGAGCGCTGTTGCTCCATTATTGTCCAAGGCATTGATATCCACTGCGCTACAGGTCAAGAGAAGACGTGCTATTGACTTCTGGCCGTGTTCTGCTGCGATGTGGAAGGCGGTGCGACCGAACCTGTCTCTGGCGTCGGCGGATGTCTGTTCATAGGTAAGCAAGTGTTGAAGTACCTCTTTGTCACCACGTTCTGCGGCTTGGTGCAAGAGGCTCTGGCCATTCCTATTTCGTGTATTCGGATTCGCACCATGGGTAACGAGTAGCGCGATGATATCATGGAATCCCACCTTTACAGCCCGGTGCAGCAAATGGTCTCTGACATTGTCATCTTCCAGTAAGCACTTTCCTGTATCAGACTCTCGATGGTGTAGCAACATGCGGGTGACCTCCGCGCTCTTTTTGACAATGGCCAGACCAACTGATGAGATGTTTCTGTAATCCGACATTCGTATAACACTACCCCTTCCCAGAAGAACCTGAACCAGGCCCTCATGGCAATGTGCAACGGCATACCAGATAGCAGACCGCTTCTTTTCATCTCTCCTATTCAGACGTGGCTTGAAATCCAGTAGAAGTGAGTCTGCAGACAAAGCGTTCCTGGCAATGGTGTATATCAATGGCGTCTGCTTGTGTTTATCTTGCCAATCGATATCCGTTCTCGGGTCGGAAAGAAGCATGCGAATGATCGTCTGATTTTGAGCGCGAAGGGCATAAAAGATGGGTGTGCGAGATTTATCATCGGTAGTGTTGACGTCTGCTTGGTAACCACGCAGCATTTTTTCCACGAATTCTGCATTTCCCTTGAGGACGCCCCAAAACAATGCTGAACTGCGTTGTCGTCTCACATTGAATTGGTACAGAGAGGGAAGGAGAGAAGCATTCGCTGCTTTATTGAGGCACACCAGCGCAAGTAGATCCTGGGCTCCGTCCAGATTGTCTGCTACCCAAAACAGAAGTTCAAGAGGAAGATCCAGGAGAGACATCTTTTCGTTGATTAGCTGGTGCCCGAGATCATGTGGTAGGTACACAGCGACACAGGAAATGCTTACGTTAACATATGTCGATAATTTAGACAAGGAAGAAGATGCTGTGCTGGTTGGCATATATCACACGATCAATATGATGATACTATGTCTAAGTTTTGAATTCAGGGTCGCCTTAGTTCTTTATAGGCCAGATAATATGTATCCCACGGAAGTCGGCACAGCCGCTCAGGTCAAAACTCTATCGTCAGTCGAAGTCAGCCCTGGTTGCAGTTTTTCGGGCTCTTATTCGTCCCTTGTGCTTCGAGGCATGCGCCTGCGGGGCTGTGTCTCGTAGACTGCTTGCCCATCGCTGTTGTGGCCTATTGACCGTCCCTGTACTGTGCTGGTTGGTCTATCAAATGAATCAAAAGCTGGCAAATATACTGTCAGACATTATTTTCGGATATAAGGATGAAAATATATAAAGCCACCGTGGGTTGGTGCGTAGTTTTAGTTTATACTTAGATGGCCAGACTTTTCTCTCTACTAGCGCTTATTTGATTTTCGGTCTTTAGACATCTCCGCCAATTCGAAAACAGACCGACAATCATTGGCCACCTGTCTTTAACGCTTGAGCAACGCCTACGGAACTTCGTTTTCTGTACAGTATATGAAGAAATCTCGTTGGGTGGTAATGATTGCAGAGTAGCCACGAATTCAGCGAGACGAATGTCGTATACAAACAGATAGGTCGGCAAATTCACATGACGAAACAGATATCTTTTGGTTAGTCGTTCCTTAACGGCTTTGATTCGGGCTCTACGAGCTTAGTATCTGTCAGCTATGAGTCCCTCCTCGTTATACTCGTCATTCATGATATCAAGAATGCACTGTTTGTACCAGCATTCCTGCTTCATGCCGTGATCATTCGCCGTCCATACCAGCAGTCAAGCTCTGACAAAGTTCTGCCACGGCACAGAGGGTGCTGTAAATTTTGTTTTCCATATTACAGTACCCTCCTAGAATTTTAGTATCGTCTTAAATATGGATATACCAACCTGGTGTTAATCAACCAGCACGGATTGTTCTGGAGAGCCTTTCCTAGTCACAAACCTAAGCAAGAAGCATCTTGGTACCCACCCCCGTTGTTTTCCAATGCATTCTATTGACATCATAGTACAGACGTAGGCTAGACACTAATTGAGCCCTACATCTAATGAGATCGTGTTTTATCACTCCTTCATTGACGACAGGTTCCTAAGCTCAGTGGAACTGGATCTTGATGAGCAAATTCAAGGCTCACTTTAGCCTTTCATGTGCAACCAAGTGCCGAGATTTCCGCCGTGACGTATCATGCCGGAACTTGATGCTCCGTTGCTCCTGCGTCCCACTTATGTGTGAAGTGTCCTTCTCTAAGCATAGACAAACACCCCAACGTAGCCTAGAGCATTAAAGAGCACGGCACGGTCATCGCGTCTATATTATAGACGATGTTCGCGATGATTGCATGATGGATCTGACTATACCTCTCTCTTTCTTGGGGCAAATCCCCATTCTCCCTTGATGTCTACGAGACAGCCCAAGAGTGGCGGGTAACGCCTCTTTACCCGTTAATGCGCGTGACTTATCACTTTACAGTTAGGCAATCTCAACACAGCACAATGTGGTATGTAAGCCACAAACCTCGTACTTCCACCAAAAAGGCCAAGGCTTGTCAAACCCTTCCAAATTACCATTGTATCTACCCTTCAATTTTTACCTGAGTGAGAGCATTGGGGAAGGCGATATTGTACTCAGTGACGTCGAATAGCTTTCTTTCCATGTTTGCTAGGCCTCTATGGAGACGCTTTGTTCTCAGCTATAACCATGTCGCCGCTTTGCTGTGTTCCACGGAATACCAATTTAGTCCAGTACGGCCGGCCAAATGTGCAAATTTGGACAGCTCCAAATTTAGTATTCCACCCAATCCAGCGTGAGCGGAGCCTTTCCCGTCCTGGCACATATTACGCTGAATGTCTCCCATGAGGATATTCAGACTTTCGCAGTTAACATCAATGAAACTTACCAAGAAACGTTATTGTAATGGTCGTCGCAATGGGAAGTCAAAGATAATGCGCGTCTCTCCAGCGATGCTAGCGAAAATGGACGATACTGCGATAGGCCTAGTGATCGGCAAGATTTCCCTTCCACGGGCGAAGCTCAAGGAAATCACACGCAAAAGCTCCGTTTAGGCACTGTCCACCTCGCACAGTTGATAAAAAAAGCCATAGAGAAGATACTCGAAGAAAATGATTCATTCAATACTGAGCAAAGAATTTTACAAATGTCTTGTCTGAAGAAGTCAATTTCCCAATCTGAGTGGTTGCATAGACAGCTTCAAAGCTACATTCGGATCTATCATTGCGATAGTCCTTTCAGAATTGCCGAGTCCGAGCATCCTTCCGGTCTAGAATCAGAGGCCGTCGTTTTCGACAAGGGCTCCTTTCAGAAAGGACAGATTACTGTGTTTTCAGCAGAGTCTGTGTATCTCCGACGAAGAAGAAATAGTTGGTATTAAAGAGATCAGAAAAGTCTTCAGTCTTCTTCTATTCTCTCGGTCTCAAGCAGCAGGGATGTTTCGAGGACCTGCTCGATTTGTGGACCATGGCTGAAAGGGAAATTCAGAAATTGTACGGGCCGAGAGATCGAGAGCCCATATTGTGGCACTGAAAGAGATAGATGAAGGGGAAGAAATTACGGTTTTCTATGAGAACACTATGTGGAAAGAACAATTACGAGTGTTTATGTCGGTCTTGCACAACACGAATTGCAGAGTCCTAGAAATATATCACTAGTTCTCAGTGACCATTGTCATGTTCTGCGTGTCACCGCTGTAGTCAAGATTATCGTGAATTGGAAGGCCGTTGGGGTAGAGCCAAACACTACGCAGCGATTAAATACAAAACCATGAGATCCCTCAAGATTACCACCAATCTCATCACGCCCGATACTGTATTGATTGAGGAATTCGATTGTCGATTTACACGCCATGCTATTTGTGAGTCGACAGAACGTCTGGTCTCTGGCTAAGCATGCATCACTTAGCTGAGTGTCAGTCCTGGAGTTATTACACAACTACTGTACCCTAAGCGCCAAATTGAAACCCAGACAAGATCTTCTTCCAATAGCCACGGTGTACAGAATAATTAGTACTGCATGTATTGTTATATGGCTATGCTACGTGCTTCTTCCGAGAGACAAAAAGTTCTGTTGATGAACCTCCGCTGCATATATAACCATGAACCAACCGATCGCATAACAATGAAGCGATTCTGACAGTTAATTCAGGCTACGGCCAAGCGTATCGAGTAGGCCATTTAGACTTGCTTAGTTTCACCAGGAATGTCTACTTATCTCAAGTACCACGTAGAGGTCCAATCCTTACTTGAGGCTCGCATACAGAGCTTGTGCGACTGAGCAGGGCAATGGGATAAGCCAGGGGCTTTGAAAATTTAGGGACAGGGAAAAGAGGGAATCTGATAAGGGGTCGGCGAAAATAAGTTTCGCGTTGCTTGTAGGGTTTTTCCTGGCCTCATCAGTATCTATACATTGATGCACAATGCTTGACCTGTTGTCCAATCTTTTCGAAAGGGCTTCCTTTCTAAATGTTCCCCCAACAGAGGATCTGGTTAGAAGTTGCCATTATATATATATATAGACAACAGGGCAAGCCTCTAGCTATTCTTGGGATGGCCCTGGAATGAAAATTTCCAAACTAGAAACTCCCTCTGTTCGATTGCTTATATTTCTGGAACTTAGGAGCTTTTTTTTAGCGAAGCTTGATGTGTATTCTCTCCCCAATCGCTTCTCGCCATCATCGCTTATAGTAAAACTATTCTCAGGCATTTGAGACACCCTGAAATCTTCATCTGATCATATCGCATTAATCCAAACGCTCACCATCATATACCAGTACCGACGTTGTTGATACCACTCAATGTAGTCCGCATTTTAATCCCTTGGAAACTCTTTCTTTATAGGAGATCCTCCATTGAATATATCCAAGTCTAAAGCAACTGGGCACGTGGTTGGCCTACAGGGTCCGGGTCAGAGCCGTCACACACCATGAATTGGAACTTGACTTCTTCCTGACGCTTTCGCGATAGACATAAGTGCCAATGTCCCTGCCGATTATGGCTCAATAGTAATTGTACCCTTCTTAGCCAAAGGAAATGAGTGACAAAATATAGCGCACCATCAAAATCCAACCCCGCATGACTGTAGGAGTATGTGCAAGTTAAGTATACCCAAGTTGTTCAATGATTTAGACTTTTAAGTAAGAACGAAGATAGCCAGTTGCTATCTGTCACGATTATGAAGAGGGCATGAAGCGATCAGGAGCAATTTCCCACTTGGCGATTTTGTCCTTTAATCTGGAACGTAAAGCAAAAATAGCTTATGATGTAGCTTGATAGTGTTGAAATGCCCTGTTTCATGCCAACTAGAAAGCCTGTGAGAAATAGAATTTATACGTGAAAACTCGCTTTGAACCGCTCTATTGCCCACCATCTGTCATGTACCTGGACTTGGCATAAATCGGCTGGAAATAATTCAAATGAAAGGTTCTGACAGGACAGACTGACTACCAATCAAATGTTTGGAAGATCCTTGCTAGACCGAACGCTGACCGTCAAAATCGACTCGACTACGATAATTTAAGAAACGAAAACAACGATATTTATGAGAAATTACAGACGGATAAGCCAGATATTCATGCAATTTGACCCAAGTGAGAATGCAACTGCCAGGTATAAGGCAGTTATAGTGTTTGCGCCAAGGCTGGCTCGAGCACCATACTGTCCTAGAACCTCCTGGATGTGTTGACCATAGAAATTGTAGAAGCATACCACCCAGGCAGTTGCAACAGTAAGCAGAATAATTGTAGCCTTTATTAATTAGCTTTTTTCACGTGTAGCTTGCCTCCATACCCACGCAGTCTTCCCTAAAATTAGGAGGAGCTGGATTCTCTTAGGAGAAGCAACATCAGTGTAAATACCACCATACCTATATCGGGCATATCTTAAAATCTTCACTCTTGTTATCATCGTTCCAGGTCTCCTCCCGTGGACTACCCTTGCAACTATTCAAAAACACTTAAATCTGAATTTCCTACTAAATTGTTGATTCTGAAAGTAACATTCACCCTAGAAAAAGGTACTGTTACCGATAGACCTCGGATAATTCTGTAGCTTGGAAGGGCTCGGAGGCAAAGCATGAAGTTGGTGAGATTAATTTTTTTTTTCATACTTCATTTTTCGTTTTTCATTTTTTTGATTTTTGATTTTTATTTTTAATTTAATTCATTTTTTTTATTACAATATCATTACTAAGATGTTATTTATTTATTATTTATTTATTACTCAGGCGTTTCACGACCTTAGGTCGTATGTAGCCCCCTAGCTAGTGTGCACTGCTCCGTAGAGTATGTACATTTGATAGCGTCACCAATTCAGATCTTCCTCACGCTTCATTAGCCAACCGTCCCGTCTCCACTGCAAACGCGATAACGGTTTTGACAATCTTGATATCAGGTTTCCATGTTCTTCCACTCGGTTCACTCGCATCCTCTACAGTCCCAGGTTTACCTCCTAGCATCTGCGACAGACTACCGAAGTTCGGACCTGCGGCTTCAATCAGCGCGCGACGTTGTTCATTCCACCGTGTGCATCGAAGCAAGAAATGCGGGACTGTTTCACGCTCAATGCCACATTCGCACAAATCACTTTCGGCTTTGCCGATTCGGTCAAGATATCCATTCAGCCGGGCATGTCCCGTGCGGAGTTGAGCTAGTATCGTACTATGATGTTATGCTCAATCACGGGAGAATTTTAAGCATCTCGTATCAAGACGCACGGGCCGCCATTAGATCACGTAAAGGCTAGGCAACTCTCACAATCCTTTGTATATAAGCTCAATACTCAAAGAAGTAGTGCAAAATTCTACGCTATAATTCCGTCATAAATTATGGGGTGATGCGTTACTGTTCAAGTTCTATCGTAGGCAGTCAGTGCCGGCCCTCGATGAGCTCCTTCTAACTTTTGTCACATGGTCATCCAGGTACTCTGACTTCGAAATGCATCAATTGAGCAGCCTGTCTCTACCAAGCCATGACCCCGCATGAAACATCGATTTTTTAAATTTTAAATCTATCTTTTTCTTTTATTCATTTAATAATTCTTTTCTTTTCTATTTTCAGTTTTTAATTCTTACCTTATAACAATATTATTATTCTATCACGAGGAAACTTTTAAGAATCACGTATCATGATGCGCAGGCTGCCATTATATCACATAAAAGCTGAGCCACACTCGTAATCCTCTTTAACGATGTCGATGTCGAAAGAACAGTGCAAAAGTGTGCGCTATACTTCCGTCATCAATCATTCAATGATGCGTGACTGTTCGAAGCTCTGTCGTATGCAGTCTGTATCGGTCTTCGGTAAACCCCCTTTGGCTCTTGTAACATGCGTCATCAGACTTCGAAGGCCGCCTCGACCCACAATCAATTGATATTCGCAATGTAAAAATGACTCGTAAGCTACTTCCTCCTTTACGTTAGTCACGTGATACACACGGGCCCTAATCCAAGAGATTCCGCGAGTCTGCAATGGCTGGTGTGGCTATTGTTCTACAATCAGTAAGAATTCTCGAGAGCCCGAAAGGAAATATTAACTTCTTTAGTAACCTTGCTTATTGGTTCTGGATTAGGTAGCCTTTTCCAAGAACAACATGATTACGTTGTACAGGCACAGTGACCACCTGGGATTCATGCTACAGCTTGCGAGTAAAAGTGCAGCTGGCCAGCATCCTTGGCTCTAAAAATGTCAATGATGGATGTGTAGCAAACACATAGACGTAATATTTGACACGAAGCTGGGGGCGTTCCCGGAAGGTTTCATGCAGTGAGATTTTTCACGAGATTCCACCCGTTTTAATTACAAATAATTCTAAATTTAGTGCACGACGACTAGGTTTAGCGACTAGATTTGGCCTTGCCATTGTTGGGAAAGTACTCCATAGCGGTCGTCATTTAAGTGGAACCAACATCACGGGCGCGGGCAGCTAATCCTACTGCCAACTTACGCTATGGAGCCGTGGTTCTTCCATCTCACGTCTATGCCACTAAATATCCAAGCAGTGATACATTATCGTTCTGCGTTTCGTAAAGCTCCGCTGTGGATTAGGCTAGCTTTTCTAGCTTGTGTTCACTACTCTTTGCCTTGGGTGATACGCAAGGCAACTTTCATCTTGTTCGCTTACGAGATTGCTCCGTACTGCTTAGGAACCTACAGCCGATTTTCACCTAGCCAAGAAGAGGGTAACATCAATCTCTTCACCCAACGTCTACTATGAACACAAAAATTCCTTGCAACCGCCTTCTGCCCATTCACGCACAGGTTGGCGCGATGAAGCTTCTCGTATATTAACCTACTTTAACATTTGGTCACGTATTGAGTAGCTCCATGTGCGTAGAAATTCGTGCATAGCGTCTCAAAAGCTGTTCCACTGGTCAGGTGGCAAATCATAAACAATGACAATTAGCACAGCGTTCGGCGCACTCGCCTCGTCGCTTGAATTAAAAAGTTTTACACAATATTTGCAAAGTCTACCAAACAATTTCTCTTTGGCTGTGGGAAACGGACAATCAGCAGTCTAATACGGGACTGATGAGGGGAATGTAGATCCACAAACTCAGGCATTTTGGCTACTCTCATGATCAGTGTTGAAGGGTAGCCGTAAGGCGGACTCGTGTTTGCTGCTGTAAACAGGTTTATCCGATCGAGTGATCATGGCGGCAGAACACTCGAAGAGCATTCTTTCCATGCTCATTCACGTTAGGTCGCTCACAGTGGCATCATATAATGCGTGGCAAATGAACGGTGACAGGTCTTGTCGCCGCAATTTTGAAGCATTGGGTATTTATTAGATGAGACTGCCTCTAAAATGAGAAAGAATGAATATGGGAGTAGAATCAATATAGGAGCCACTGGCACAAGACATTGATATAGGAGGATGAAGAAATACAGAAGCAATTTCTGCGCCTAGTAGGGCTACTGTGAGGCTGTAACGGCACGTCGTTTCTGTCGAGCGAGGGGAAAATGACAAGTCTACGGATTAATCTTAAATCTAGGCCATCGAGACGAACAGGGTATACAGAAATTTATGTTTTATACATACCCGTACTGCGATACCAAGAGGAGCTTGGTGGTGGCGAGGAAGCGGGTGTGTCGGTCTCATATATCCCAGGAAGGGCTCTAGGACGAACAGGGCTGGCTCCACCTATGAGAGGCGTCTCTGGATGCCTTGACTGCCATCCATTCATGCTCACTGGTGGCGTTGGCTCTGGCAGTACTGGAGATAGATGGGCCGTGAATAACATGTTTTTGTCAAAAAGACATATCTTCCAAGATCTGACGCAGTGCGAACATGGACCATCTTGTGCTACAGAACCCATACGTCCATAGACCAACTGCATCGGCTTTATATTTTTTTTTATTCATCCATGTTTTCACGTTTTCTTCATTCTTGATGAAAGTTAATGGACCTCTCAGCTATGTGGGCGCTGCTAATAATCACATGTTTCGCCCTTGTTATCATGTTCAAGTAGCGCTAACCCTTTCCTTTAAAGCCTTGAGGATGGTCTGATATAATTCAAAAATTAGGTGGAGATCATTCGGGTGACTGCCTTGAAGTGATTGAAAAATAAGACGGCAAAGACACCAGATCCAACGAACCTACAGATGAGGCCAGAAAAAAAAAACATACAACAGCAGGAGTTCGCTGGTGGTCACCCACCCAACTACTGACCTACCGGCGTGTGGCTTATGCGCGGAGAATAGTTGGGTGGTGTCGCCCAGGTGGGTTTAGGGTGAGAGTCGCGCGACCGTGGGTGACAAGGGTGAGTGCGCTATAGACAGGGTGAGAATACGGATGAGAATCACCTAAGTTGCGCGACCACTGCACTGACCCCTTAGCTGAATAACAACAGAATATTATTGGATTATACCCTTCCCCCTAAAACGCTCGGCATCTTGGCATCTGCACATAGCCACGACTAGAAGCATCATAACTGTACGGAGTACTTTATGACTGTACCCTCCTATCTCACGTGCTGACTGACCTGACTGTGAAAGTCATATCACGTGGTCCGGATTCATGGCCTCTGTCAAAGCTCATAGCGGCAAAATTCCGACGGATATAAGTTATTCCGAACCGGAGCTAAAGCGTCGGGCATTGAACACGTCGGGCATTCCTATCCCACCTCGACTTCTACCTACCCCGCCATTAGGGCCTTCCATCCCCTCCCACCATCCCCTCCCACCATCACGTTATGCATCTATGTTGATATTCTACAACCGCACCATTATCTTAATAAAGGTAAAATTCCAAGGTCCTCCGAGGGGGTTCTCTAAACAAAGATGCTAAGGTGCCTTTTTACATATTAGCACGATCTTATCAATCCGACTACGTCCTGTCCCAGCCATGCCAGTGACCCAAATTAATAATGTTGAAGCCGTTGCGAAGTTAAAGGATTTGGCAACGTGGCTTTACGAAAGTGCCGAGATGAAGCAAGAAAAGAATCTTATCAAATGCGTGGACGTGGATCGTTATAAGAAGACGCTCCCTCTACTGAAAGCATTGGGGTACGACCAAATACCGGTAATATCCAGAACAGCCGCTTATTAGTAGCATATAGCTGAAGAGTTCACAGGGCCATGGTTACCATATATACCGCACATCCGGAGAGACGGAAATCATCAAGCGACCTGATCTCAAGACACTGTTTTTCCCTTTGTCTGTCGGCTCCGGAAATAACAGTATAGCGTCAGGAGAGGTACAGGTGGCGGGCGAAACGGTCGCACCTGGCAGTTTTATACATTTGGACAGTACCTTGACTATCACCGCGCAGCTAGACTGTCTTATTGTCTATTTGCCGGAGGGAAAATGAAAGCATAAATGTACTGAAAACTTATCCTGTATACTGTCAAATTATATTTGAAGATTAACTATGATCTATCTAGACACCTCCTTGCAAGGGCGCCAGAGTATCAAGTGCTCATCATTACTACTTTGGAATGGTCGTGGTTCCAACGACGCTCCACCTTTATATCATCGTCCCGAAGTCGATATATAGCCGAGGCAAGAAAACCGAACAAGTACCAACGGGTGCGGTCTAGAAGTTTGCGCTCGTATGATGGGTCTGCGACGTGGTATCAAATACGATCCCTGAACTCGTAGAAGGCAAGTCCGTACTCGTGGGGTTGGTGTCAAACGCGAGTAGAGGAGGGAACTCAGCATTTAAGGGATCGATGGCGTTGTTCCCTAAGCCAAGAGAAGGGAAGCCTACACCTAAGGTATCGGTCTGCGACCTAGTATATCCGTTCTCTGAGCCCGTGGAAGGTATGTCCGTACTCGTGTGGTCGGTGTTAAACGCGAGTAGATGAGGGAACTCAGCATTCAAGGGATCGATGCCGTCGTTCCCTAAGCCAAGAGAAGGGAACTCTGCATTCCAGGGACCGATCTGTGACCTAATATCATATGCGTTCTCTGAGCCCGTAGAAGCTGTGTCCGTACTCGTGTGGTCTATGTCGGACGCGACTGCAGGAGGGAACTCTGCATCCCAGGGATCGATAGAGTCGAGCTCCTTCTGCAACCTTGGAGTCAACCGATCGATCTGCGGCATAGCATTTATTGCTCTTTCGAGATCTGGAAAGTCTAATAGTCCCGTAGATTGATCTTCCGTGGAAGAAGCTGCTTTTGCTTTAAGTTAACCCTTTCTCTATGGAACTCAAATGCTTTCGTTGACTTACCCTGCCTATCTAAGACTTTTCTCCTTTTTTTCCTGGATCTCATCGCTGACTTCGTCAACGGCCGCTTGAGCGATTCATCTGAACATCCGGGTTGAGCCAGTTTGTCGGCAATATGATTTCCTAAGACATGAAGACCCCATATTTCCACAACTTGATCTATGCCATTCTCACGAAATCTTTCGATTGCTGCTGGAATATATCGAGAAAAGTGTCTGTCTGTATATCTATAACATGGTTATGATATTAGCCCAAAAAAGTGGGATCTATCAACGTTCTGTAACTCACTCTCTTTCCGTAATTTCCAATGGTAACGCAAGTAAATAACCAGGGCCACCTAATTCTTCAGCCCATCTATTGTACCTTTGACCAAGTCGAACGTATTCATCCAGATATTTCTTTAGATCACTGTCACCCAACTCCCGCGACGGATGTTTCTTCTTGATTTCATCCGCCAGCTGGGAGGAAGCATTCCTGCACCATCGTTCGCCTGTGTGATAATCGAGACGAACGGCCAACAGGTAAAAGTTCCGAAGCTTGAATCGCCGGTAAAGCGCGCAAAGCTCAGCACGAATTCCAGAGTTCTCCTCTTCGTCGTGTATATCGAAGAATACATCGGGCATTCCGTCCGTGCTTCGAATAGGATCTCGGCAAATCTCGCTGAAAAAGCTTTGGGGGTTTCGTATACACCGTACAAAAATGTGGGAGAGCTTGTACGAAATATGTGCTGGACAGTTGGCAAAGCTGGTATCTTCTAGATCCACATCAGCTGTGTTCCGAATACTTGATGTGTATCTCAAGTTAGGTGGTATGCTGATAACGTTGGACTGAGCATCGGCGTTGGATACATTAGGTGACAAGGGAGTGGCGAGTTGAGATGGATTCCGTTCCTCACTCAGCTGAGCCGTGTGCTCAGGCAGATCAGTCGACGAGCTGGGGGCAACATTGCATCGGCTCTGAAACTCGTTCAAAAGCTGATTGTGATTACTATCCCTTTGGCTATTGTTCTGAGCCGAATTATTTGCTGCGGACCCTCCTTTTTTGTTTTGCACTAGTTCCAGTAGCCAGTCACAAACACATTGATTGGAGTTTGAGAGTCGATTAAAATAATTTTTGCGTTCTTCAACGGACAGGTTGGTCTTGATTTTGTGGAGGGTATGGGCAAGCTGAATGAGTATTCCATTAAGTTCTGCATCAATTTGCCCTAAATCGCACGTCATTTTTTCAAGGAGAGGATTCATACAGGCCAGGCTTTGGCGTAACACAGTACTTAATAACAAGCTGTCTAGCTGTAACTCAGGAACACAGCCCCCCGAATGACCCCCTGCCCTTACAAAGTCTAGGTCTCGAATGGCCAATAAAGCGCCACGTCCAAGCGCTCTCTCACATATTCCGCATGAAACTCAAAACGGTTTAGGCCTGACTAAAAAAAAGAATATTAGGATGTGCATTGTCACCGTCGATAGAGTGCCTAGAACACAAAGGGCTAAAGAGACTTAAAGTCGTGTTTTCCCAGTGGTCTTTTCCAACCACCCGTCCCTCTTTTCTCACAAGTCCATTCCGCCCCCAAATTAGGTTTATGTTATTGCCCTCTCTTTCTTTCTACTATGCGGCTAACAGGACAAGTAGTATACTTTCAACTTCTAGTTTACTTTCGCGCTGCTCTATCAAACCTAGATAAGAAATATCGGAACAGTGAAAAGCAAATCCTTACAATCATCTGGATTCAAGAAGCACCAGAGTACTCACTCACCATACTGAATGCAATGAGCGTTATCGGGGGGCGGAGGGGGGGGTGCATTAAGTGTGTCAGGTGCACACTTAACGCACCCTTGTATCTGTCGGCAAGCTAGTGTGCCGTCATCCTCTAATTGCCTTATGCACTCCTAGGTAGGTAGGTAGCATTTACGCATTAATAATAATAAAAAACAATTCCTTTTCTTTCGGTCGGCTTTTGATCAGCGTCCGAACTACAGTCGCTAGTCAAAGGTCCTCTAAGATGCCCTGCTCGTATCTTGGCTATTTCCATCACCTGCTTTCTTTCAGATCACCCTTCAATTAAAAAACAGCAGGAACAAGGCATGATATCCTACGTGTCCATGGACGAACAAGTTACAACACTGAAACTACTAGTAGAAAGCTTTTCTTTCCCAAACGGCCCCCGAATATGGGTATTCATGTAGTATAAACCACAAGCCAATTAAAGGACCATGAAATGAGTCTCGCACACGAAATAACCCGTGCTGCGCCATGTGCAGTCTCATCACATCGAGGCGTCGGATGAGAGGCCAAAGCACCTTGCCCTTTTTGATCCCCGTTTTAAATCAAGAAAAATTTTCTCTTCTTTTGTAAATCCAAATCCCTTAGTAGTGCTCTGGATTCGCCATCGCCACTTCCTTTAAATTATATGCATATATACTCTACGCTTTTTACCATCTAAATCCAAGGCAGCCTACATGTTCTTGAAGCAAGCTACCCCCACAGCCCAACAGTCCAATTGTCAACCATATTGAACCTATAAGACAAGACCTCAACCTTACTGTTGACCGTCGTCACTCCATCGCTTAGCACAGCGACGCACCCGCACCTTAAAATAGGTGAACGTAAGATACGTAGTCGGTAATAAAGTCACCTGAGAACCGAGGATTTCAATAGCAGTACGTTTAGTTGACATAGATTGTTTTCCAGTAAAGGCTTCTTAACTAATACTTCGGGACAACATCACCCACATACCTTGATAGAACATACATTAGTCTCGCGAAATTACACAACAAATACATCAAAATTATTATACTTGCATCATGCGGGGTGACTTATTCCTTGGGTATTCATCAGCCAAGCAAACGTCAATGTAATTGGTGAATGCTGGGCTACGTTCGAGCTTTAGTCTCTCTTCCGAGTCACGGGGGAAGCAAACCATGTTCGATTCCGTCCTACCTGGGGATCATTGACCTCGAACCTCCATCTGGGATTCATAAAATCTAGAGCTTGGGCCTCTCTATACAACCATATATATCACGACCCTGCCGCGAAGAAAACTTCGATTAAAATCGGAACTGCTCACAAAATCATTCTGAAGCACCAATCCGCTTTCTAGCATCACTATCACTTTCCTAATTAAGACGACATCTATTCATCATGTGCACCGAGTATCTCATCACCACGATTGTCGCTGGAAAGACGACAACAACGTCGGAATTCGATACCTGTCCCGACTTGCCTCCATCCGGGAATGTCAAGGAATGTCCTAAGTACGCGTTGAAACCGGCTGGGTCGAGCCGACGAAAGGCAGGCCCCCTGCCTGACTGGACGACAAAGAAATAGGCAATTCTAGCCTAGAGACTCCACTGAAAGGTAATTTACTCAATGAATCGTTCTGCCGTTGTGATCAAGTTCATTAACGAGATAGAAATCTCGAAACCAACACTTTCGCTCGTTTGGCAGTTCAGGAATTTGAAGGAAATGTGAAATAAATTGATCAATAGCTTTCTTCAAGCAACTCACTGCGTTGGTTTTGCTCACTTTTCCTGGCCAATAATTGTAGCTCACGTGAAGCAAGCTTTATTTCTGGTTGGCACGGGTTAGAGCATGGTAAGCTTGACACGTCTAGAACAGTATTGCATTGGACTCTCCCTATAAGTGTAGTGCAGGAATGATTGTAATAGTTTTATTCCATTGTAAAGAAGGTTTACTATACGCAAACGCCCTACAACTAGCACGAGCCACGCGAGAGCCTTAGTTATGTTATTTCTTCCTACAGTGCTGTCTAGTCTTGATGCGGCCAATAAACGCGCCTATGTGGAGTAGCGCACATTCCAGTTTTACCACTTTACGGGGGAATTTGTATAGGGAGGCCTTGGAAGTACAGTGAAATACTCAATGAGGGGGGTTTCTCAAAAGAGGTTTTTACTTATACATGTCTCAGTAATTTGATATACGGGATGGCTTCTATGATAAGGGGATTTACTTTAAGGGTGACACCTGAGTCAGCAACCCTCTGGCCAGTCATGTGATACATCACGTGTATTTAATCCCCCAGGGGGATTTGATTTCTGTTTCTGATTGATTTTTGCCTCCTTAACATCACTACTCAGCATGCGAAACCTATTGCATCGGTTTATATGGCCATGGATTTGGCAGTTCAGTTCAAAGATCTCAGCATTCGTGGCCTGGGTTGTTCGGCCCATCCACTCCGTTTTATCTCCAGTCGGAGGCAGGGAAACTATCCAAGGGGATGAGGAACAACAGCGTCATGTAAGTGAGAAGGACAACCGCTATTTTTTTGCCTCTAATGACTTTTTCTTAGGCCAACTGCTCATCTATCGCGGATACAGTCATTACGGAACGAGCCGTTATAGAACGCCAAAGCGATCAGCCGCTCTTGATGATTGGTATTTTTGCCAAGGTCTATCTTCTAGACGGAAAAACCGTTAGAAAAGTACCCCGCAGTGAGAACGAAGAAGATATACATCCAATCATTCGCGAAGCCATGATATATGACACCATTGGCGTTCATCCACGAATTGCCGAGTGCACATCGAGAGGTAGTGATCGGGTCAAATTTGTCGATATTAAATTTTATCGACACGGTGACCTTGCCAGCTATTGTCAGAAGAATTCCATTACTTCTGAACTTCAGTCAAAATGGTTCCAGCAGATTTTGGAAGCTGTTGTTGTTATTCACTCTTTTGGCGTCATTCATTCGGACTTAGCGCTACGGCAATTTTTTGTCGACGATAACCTCGATCTTCGCTTAGGCGATTTCAATTCTTCTCAGTGCGCTGGCCACCCAGCACTAGGTTACGAGAAAGCATCACACTGCCTACCTCGTGATTACGAACTTCCGAACACAGAGTCTACTGATATTTTTGCTTTGGGATCTACACTTTATGAACTGGTCGCGGGCAAGGCTCCGTATGGCGAATTAAATGTAGCTGAATCCGCTGATCCTGAGTCCATAAAGGCACAGATCCAGCGGCAACATGAGGTGATCGATTTCGAGATCGAAGAGCGATACAAGAGGCAGCAGTTCCCAGATGTTACAGGCTATCAACGTGGAGATGTCATACTAGGTTGCTGGAGAGGGCAATTTGCAACAGCAGCGGACGCGCTCGATTTCTATCTACGATCACGAAATACCATGTAATGCTTATCTCCTTCAATTGATCCGTCTCTCCCCCAATGAGCTTCCTTGTTGCGTGGATGATTTTCTTAGAATTCTCCAAATTCCATTTTTTGTGCATATCAAATAGGGCTCTAAATAGGTCATTTATCGCACAGGTGCCCGACTTCCCCCCAAACATCCCCAATTGAAGGCGGCCTACAGTTCTCCTAAGCTATACCATTTACTTAATTTAGTCTAGAAAATTATGTAGCATTTTCTTAAACCCGATACGGATAGATTATTGATCTTTGTACCCGAAACCTAGAACAACACCCTTATTCGCGTTTTTTAATTCTTTGTCATTGGACAACCTAACACCCGTGCATCACGCCGAATATGCGGTACTATCACCACTTTTATCATTTTCAAATGCTTCCTGTTTAATAATTACAGCAGCTTCTGAAACATTACATTACGTGCGGTAAAATGAGCGGTAAAGTGGTTTTCAGCTACTATATATTGATCATCATCCCACGCGGTTTTTCCTTATGACTTATATCCAAATGGATGATTGGATATTCTTCCTGCTACTTGCCTCTGTGATTGTGCACACCCTTATCGTTATTTGGGGAGTTTGGAGATTTCGAACTCAGCGGGTTATAGAGTATTTTATCAGAGGGTGGTAATACAGTCAGTGTGATTCCAAAGAGGTTCTCCTTACTATGGTATATTTAACGGTATACTCCAGATTAGCAACCCTAGGCTGAAGCAGCGTCCCAACCCACTGCCTAAGAATATAACAATCGGATCTCTTCTTTCTATTGTCTATTGCAAAGCCACATCAAATCTCAATGGACTTCGTTGACCCCTTGTCACTCTTAAACGAGGACTTAAAAGACGAACTTGACAAGGATGCGGAGGCTCCAGATCATCCCACGGGGTTCGATATAGCTCCTCCTTTGGGTATACACTGCGCGGAAGTTGATGAAGGTTTGTAGAATTACACTACCGTTTTTATGCTAAGCTGATATTCTCTTGTCCCGACTATGGTGATTTGGAAGACAAGGGGAGACTATGTTGTCTCGATCAATAGCGCAGCACTCCTGAGAAACTGCCAAAAATTGTTTAACAGGGAATTGTGTTTTTTCCTAGTACCTGAAGTCTATGTGGCTCTGATAGTTACCTCTCGATATACGGCCATGCATACTGCAACTGGGGATTACCTCCGCGAACTTATGCAATCCACAGTCCAGTCCGGCATATCTTGCCCCAATGTGTTGGCATTTACATTTATTGCACTTCACCTACAGCGGAGGATGTGCTTCCGTATGGACGGGGATTTCATCAGCGACGCCGGGAGATGTGACCTACCAGGGAAATATGGTGTGCTTGAAACGCTTCGACAGGCTGCTGAACGTGGTCTATGGGTAATACAGGTGTCTTTTGATGATCTTTCAGGTTCGGCAGTTAGGTTTGGAACGTTGGTAGAGCTTGCTACAACTTTTTCGGAACCCTGTATTTACACTGAATAGCTAGTTTCGCTATTAATTCGAGGTCTACTTCTTTCTCTCTAAAATTCGACCTGAGTTTAGTTTTTAAATAAGATAGGAAAGTGTATAACAGGGGCATTATATTAAAACAGGGAATGGAGGTCCGGAATATCTACGACAACAGTACATTATGCGTAGGGCCGATGTGCGTGAGCTCGCGCCTCGTGAAATCAGGTCCACTCGAACTGAAGTGACAGAGACGGTTACTGTTGTACAACAGAGGGTCAACAAAAACACAGACTAATAAAATACTATGAGGTATACAAGTTTGAGGGGCCGTAATTATTGATTGAGAATGATGTTGTCCTTGAGCGTCGATCCCTCGATTTAAATCCACTATAAAACCTTCATTTTCCACTGATTCTTCGTAAAAATTCTATAGCATTGCTTGGCTAAATCTCCGAAGATGTCCCTCCAAAGCCCTTCACTCTTCGCAAGGATCGAAGAGCTACCACCAGGTCTGATTCAATCCGCAATTGAGTCCGACATTCTCTCCAAACCGCTCGGCTCCCACGAGGCCCTTCATTTCTTTTTTAAAGAGCTCAGGAAAGAGAGTCCGCACCCTTTGATTGAGGGGGCAATCAAAACTGTCTTGGAAAGCCCATCGCTATGGCAAAAGATCGAGGTTCAGTGGAACCTCTGCCACGATTACAACCATGCCAAAAGCCGCCAGCATTTAATGAAGGAGGATGCCCCCTTTGATCTGGCCTCGTGGTCTATCGAAAATTGCCATCCGTGCTTTAAGTTACTCTTGGATCATCAAACAGTTCAGCCTTCTTCATTTTGCCAAGCTGGCTACAGCTTCTTTTGGCTCGCAGTAAGAAGTGACCAACTTGACTTGATGCAACACCTCGTGTCTTTGATGGAGCCTAAAGATCTTTTGAGTCCTGTTCAGACGTGGGATGCGGATGGAGACCGATTCACAATCTTTCAGGCCTCAGCATGGAATCGAAACTGGTTTCGGGCCTGTTGGACACGGCTTAAACCATTACCGAACAATGGCCTTACTTCACTTGGGCCAGATGAAATCAGGAATATATGGCAATTTGCCAATGTGGAACTTGCAAACGAGTTGTTAGACTCAGGCCTAGATCTAGGAAAACCTCACCCTGAAAACGCATCACCTGGTTGGTTGGAGATAGTGGATCAAATAAATCCACAGCCAATGTTTGATTGGCTCTTGAGCCGTGGCCACCGACCCCCCAGAAAACTTCTGATGTACGCCGCAAAATACAATAGCATTCTCGGGGCGAGCTGGGTTATGCGCTATACTGAAAGCCACCGGGAATGGAGTGAAGCTGCGCTTGTAGCGGCGGAAAATACACAAAACAGAAGCGCAGAAATACTGGAAATGATACTGCAAACCCCAACTGCAAAGTGGAAAGATAACCGGACTCTATCAGAGAATATTGTGATAAGAATTGTCAACGGAGTGTGCCAGGAAAGAAAGGAATGGGGAGCTATGCTATTGCATGACTCCTTCCAGGCAACTTTGACAGAAATGGAGGATACAGCGGTTCGAAAGATTCAAGCCCTAGGTGAAGTAGTTGGGAACGTTCAAGTCCTGGGTATGAAGATCACGGCGGAGGATGCTGGACTACATCACCTTGCGACGGCTCTAGAGAAAATAGACTCTCCCTTGTAGGTTAAATTCATTCGTTAATGGCCAAGAGCCCCCTCGTGTTACTATGAAATTGACTTCGATCACACCAACTTCGCGAATGGGATCACATGACTCTTATTCTCGTCAAAGCCCTTATGAAATTCCCATATATAACATGAATCCCCCTTTTTGCTGAAATCAGACGGTGAGTTGTTATCTCTTAGTCTACGACCGGAACAAAGCCATATGTCTAAGTTCAGGTAGATCGACTTTAGAGACAGAGATATCCGCAATCTAAGCAGGGTACGTTCCGCTAGCACGAGAAGTTATTTCAATGCTGACTTTAGATGATTTATCTACAAACTAAAGCAGCCAATCCGGGTCCTCTTTTAGCTGTATAGTTTCTTAGCCAATTCACCACGTCACAATAAAAATCCTAAATACGACCGGATATCTCAAACACAGCAGCCGCATCTTTCTACGGCTTCTATCTCTCCTAGAAGTTTATTTCAGTACTACGCCTTAATGGAACGGATCTCCAGAAATTACTCAGCCTCCCTCAATCCAATACGGAACCTCCAACCACTCTGCGTTCTATGCATTATCAGGGACCGCCACTTCCTTCGACAGATCTGATACCGTGCAAGCTGGACCTTGTGCCTGGTTCGTCTCTCAAAGCTAAGGAACGCAAAGCGAATAACGGCGCGTCGCGACGTTACCGCGTCCGTAAGCGCAAGCAAGAAGATATCCTAAATCTTCTAGACGAACAGGAGCAGAATATAAAGGATATTTCCGAAAGATGCGACCATTACAAATCGGAGCGAGACTTTTATCGCGACCTCCTTGGCCATTATATACCGCTAGAGCAGTTGCCGCTAAGACCAACCACTCCGCAGGATAAAGCATCTACTGAAACACCAACTGCGATAATAGGCACGAAGGAGAAAATGGCGGGAAGTGGCGCGGATAAGACCAATGAAGGGTGAATTGGGGTGGGTTTTATTCCTGGGAATTGCAGAAGGTGGTGTTCCTCTGCGTTTGACCTCCAATAGTATTTCGTATGATTTACCAATAACCTACCATCAATTCCTCTCTTCTAGTAATATAATGTTCATTCAGTCTAATAACATTGAAGTGCTGGCTTGTCGTATTACCTGGTGTTGTATATCTATATTTTTATGCACCGAACCCTTGCCCCTCTAGGGCTGAAAAACATTGAACCATCGCGATTTCCAATTTAGCTCACTGACTCTTGAAAAAGGCCACATTTGAATCTCATACTGTAACCGGGTTGGCTTGCTATACAATCTCAAGTCAAGATTTAATAAATCCTGCTTCAACTCCTCATTTTTGTTGCGTCCCGACTTTCTTATTCTTATTTACTATTAATTTATCATCTGCCATTTTCAGCTTTATCTCACTCTCGCATGACAGAGATACTTCTCATTCTATTGCCCTCTGGATACTCCTCATACTTCGTGCACTTTTCTTGCCATCCTTCCGCCGCTGGTGCCAGACAGCAGAACCCGCGAACATACTAAACTTTTCTCAGGATGACCTCTTCCTTCCTTGAGTCCAAACTTATTCGTTATAGCAACACCTTAAAGTTAACTGAGTATTACCAGTCGGTGTTTCTAAAGCTGAATGGGGCAAGTCGCCAAAAGATTCTGGAAGCGCTAGAGCGGCCAAAGCTAGCATCAAACGTTCCTAAGCAAGGTGAGACCTACAATGTTCATGATAATGCGCAGAAGTAATTGACTTGGGACGAAGAAGAGAACCAAGTAGCTCGGATTCCTATCAGGCACGCCAATCTATCGAGAAAGCCGAAAGTTAAGCGGGGAGGATCTCGCGGGAGCAAGAAGCAACTAAACAACGCCCCCATAACAGGTCAGGCCTACCATCTTCATGATTATATGCAAGAGTAACTGATTTTGCCAAAGAAGCATCTCAGCTTGTTAAAAGGGTACGCCAAGAGCCTGTCGCATATTTTGATAGTGCAATCAGGCGAGCCAGAATCGAGGGAGAGACTGAATTAAAGTTACTGTATGAGATGCTATCTATTAGGCAGTGTGAGAAGCGATACGAGGACGGTTACTTTGGTAAGCCAATTCACCCGCGTCCGTATCAATTTATTAACCATAATAATAGACTCAAATAACTTTGGAGAGTACACTGTACGAATTCTCTGTTAGGACCTATTTGAATGTAACTTAAGGAAAAAAGACAAAGAAACGCTCCTTTCACAGAAGCCGCTCTTAAAAGAAATTGTAATCTGATTATTGTTTGCTACGAGAACATGCAACGGCTCCTTTCCACCCCTTTTGGTAGCACTTTTAACCATAAGTCTTGAGATAAGTTGCCGGCTACCCATCCGTCATCTCTGAGCCAAAGGGTGCTTTGAGTGCCAGCACACGTCCCGTTAAGGGCAATGTAATGGACCAACTAAAATTGCTGCTCTCAGAGAAATTGAAAAGGATTTATAATGAATGTATAAAATAGAAAAATAGTGTTAATCGCCAAAGCCAGAAAGCTTTACTGTCGACGTGCCAAATATATAAAGCCAGTCGAGGTCCCCTCCTGGTGATCCCCCTTCCTCCCTATTTCAATTGCGACCATCCCCAATCAAGTTAGACTGTTTGAACCCAGCACGAACACAAAGATGACAACAGCGCAAATTAGAATGCCTCGTTACAATGAACATCCACCGGAAATGGAGATCACTGGCTATGTGGTTTTCTCAGCCTCCTCTGACGGAACCGAAATAAAATCCGCAGTGATGAGGTCCCTCTACTTGCGACCAAGAGTAGAAAAAGGTGGTCTCATGTATGGCAGGGGAGATGCAAACACATGTGGGCGATTTTTGCGATGCGGTGCCGAGGAAAACGACGCGGTGTGTTTGTTAACGCAGTATATTGAATCAAGTCTAACAAATCATAGTTCTCCGGAAAAATCAACGAGACTATAGGCGAGGTTGACTTTCTTCTTCGTCAGGGTCCCGTTATCGTTCTCTCTCTCTCGGGCCACTCCACATGGGGTACTAGGCTTGCGCACCCATCTCGTCATGCGGTATCTGTATTTCGAGATCTTTCGGAAATTGACGAAACCAGAGTGACTTTCAAGCTCTACCCACCTGATCTACCGAAAGAGGCAATGCCGGAGACCCGACCAGTTGTGCGGAAGCTGCGGCCAAACGAAATCCTTTTCGTGAAAGGGTCGGTCAGAATGGGGATAGAGGTTCCTACTAGGGGGTCTTTTGTCTGGCTAGGAAACAGTGGTGACCCAATGGCGTTTGACATGCTTGGCCCAGAGGTCTTTGAATTCATGGTGATTTGAGCGGTTCGCGCTTTAGGATATTGGAGGTGTTAGACGCGAAACCTAGGCAAAGAAATTGTGTTAGTTATGAAGAAAAAGTAAAGACATGAGTGTCTATCAATGCTTGATACTTTACCAATGCTTGATACTTGGACTTTAAATTGAGAAGTCGCTGTGCATGAAAAGGAATGTTGACATAGCTAGCTCTAAGAAGCCGCATAGCTTTGGCTTCTTCACGAAGGGACAATCGGCGGAAAGTAGGCAGAACTAGGACCAGCAGAAGTGCAATGCCCCCACCGAATTCACTTTCAAATCTTCTAAGCTTTCGTCCTTGTTGAAGGGCACTGCAAGCATTGTGATCGTTTGACCGCCCCAGATGACGAAGGAAAGACGGCATCGACCAGACACCACGGATACGACTGCCTGGAAGCGCACGGTCAAATCCTTGCATATGTAGCCATTCTTCCTCTTCCAAAGCTAGAGAATACCACCTAAGAATGGTTTGTAGGTGCAGGATCCATGTGCGTGAGTTCACACCTTGTGAAATCAAATCCACTACACTCGGAACTTGTGTTGCCTCGGTTTCCACTATAGCTGGAGTAAGGTCGACCTCTAGAAATCTTAGAAAATGCCCCATTTGAGCGGATAGGTCGTGGAGCAGACACTCTGCAGTAACTGGTGGGTTGCGGCGAGCAGGCATTGTCGATACGTGAAGACGGGAAATACGTACAGGTGGTTTGAATCCCTCCGTACCGCTGACTCAGGTGACTAAAAGGGTATAGGATAGAATGCATCCCCACGGAGTTGACGGCTCCAAATCCAGGCCCTCTCAGACCATGTGACAGTAGATGCATGCCCCTGGAATTGGTATGATATGATCATGATTGCGATATGTAAGTCATGCGTCTTGGGTCCAACAAGAGACCAGATCCATATTTTACCATATACTATGACGAACATCTGGAAACACTGTCGAGCCAAGATTCAATATCCTGGCGCCGCTAATGGCATGTTTGGGATTCTCGAAGGTATGCTCAAAATCTACTTGGCGAACAGACACAACAAGCTGACAGTTTAGACCGAGACTGCACGTTTTCCACCCGAACTGCCACATTCTTTCTGTGTAGAGGAGTCAGAGCCCAAGCCAGACAAGATGCACACTGGTACGCTCTACGATGGCTCCTTCTGCAAGGAGCCAGAAATTCAAGGGCAGCTAGGCGGGCAGTCCGACATTAGTCTTCACCATGAAAGAGTATCCACTCGGAGAGAAAAAGCAAAGCACCTCGCAGGAGGTCATCACGCTTCACCATATGAAGAGGTAAACAACGCCGAGGCGGAAAGAGTAATTGATGTTTTGTCTATCCACTATGTGACCTGCAAGTTAAGTACAGCGAGGGTATATGTTACAGTTGAATATGGAGGAGAACAGAAAACAAAGTGGTTCGATTATCAGAAAATCCGTGAGATTGATGGCACACGGGAAGCGATGAATAGATTTATGCCAACATGGAAATAGGGAGGGCAGCTTCAAACTGCACGCAGTTCTGAACCGCAGTGACGAATACAATCTAGATGGCGATTTTGTGGTGAGAGAGGGTGTGCATTCTGAGCTATACTACTTCGGGAAAATAAAAAACCGTTCTTTCGCATGTCCAAATTCGGCAGACAAGCGCACTTCCCCTTTTCGACCAGCTATCTGCCCTATAACCAATGAATTAAGTGTATTGAGTCTCATCAGACCCAAGAGAGTATCTATCGCCACAAAAGAGTTTGCTGCTCAGATCAACGAACTTTGAGGAATGCACGGGCGCAAACTGTGCCTGTATGTTGGAGACTAGATTGAAAATATTGCCTGCTGATTGGCCCGTGTAATGCGGTCGATGGCCAGCCGTCAATCTTGAAACGTCAAGTTTTTGGTCTAGATCTACTGGGACAGCCCGTGGGTTAGGCAACGGGTTATCTTGGGAGCCTGGATCCAATGAAAGGCCATAGAGCATAGGAAATGCTAGGCATGATAGCTCACAGACCCTTTGGTTGCTGTATGTAATTCTAGTTCAAAAATCCCCCCTGACCCAGCCACGTCATGCTTTCTATCGATGACTCTTACAAATCCATCGTGTATAAAAGATAGCAGCGGGGAGACGAGACTTCTGAAAACCACTCGGAATTCTCAACGTATCAATCACCCTCCAATCCAAAACGCTTCTCTGTCGATATGATCCCTATGCTACCCAACCAAGCCTCTGTTGAGCCCGTTTTGATCAGACTGAAAGATATCGACATACCTGTGCCTGCTCTCCAAAAAGCAAACCCCGACATCAATCGGTTTAGCGCTGGCTTCATTATCCTCCGTGAAGACCCAGTTGAACTATCCAAACCACATGCATTCCTCGTCCAACGTGGGTTCGATGGATCATGGGGTGGGACCTGGGAGGGACCGGGAGGTGGATATGAGCCTGGTAAAGACACCACAATCGTGGAAACCGCTTTGCGTGAGACTCAAGAGGAAGCAGGCATAGTTATTCCACCGGAAGCTATTTTCCCGCTTGTATACAGAAGGGCGTTCGAGCACAAGGGCTTGCTGATGAATTATTACATATTCATTGCGCAGCTTGATGGGAAAATCCCCGTTACTCTGTCCGATGAGCACCTTGCCTGGGGGTTCTTCAACGAAAAAGAAGCCCGAAGTTTCGGAACCTTTGACAAGGAGGAGGCTAGACAGCAGAAATACGTTATGCTTGAAAGCAAAAAGAGAACCCTTTGTCACATCTTCAGAAACAAAGAAAGTCTGAAGAATGGTGATGAGAAGGGAATCATGCACGTGGATAGGTAATGGTGAGGAGGATGTCCTGGCTCATGTTCTGAGGGTGTGTCTGTTGAGTATTTTGTCCAGCATTGATCCGAGCACGCTATATAAGCCAAGTCATTGTTGTAAATAGACTTCCCCGTTACGATGCAATAGAAGAAGCCAATAGTTTCCGGATATCAATGTTCTCGAATGTAGGATAAACTAGGTGGGCACCAGATTGGTCGTCCGGACACCTTCTGGGAATTACATCTGTCTTCGGAAGCAGACAATTCCGGCCTGAATCCCGACTTCGGCCATCGTTGCCAAGAAAATGATGTATTAGCTTGTTAAGGGTGAAGCTTTACTTTAAGTCTTTCTTGACATTAGCGGAACTAGTGACCCTTTTCAGGATTCCCTGGAGAGTGGAGTATCGCCGTGGAGGGTATATATTCTACACTATACCGCTTCGGGAGCGAAGTTCAAGACCTGTCGCCTTCCCAGCCTTTCATGGTAATAAAGGGACCCCTTCCCCCGTTCTGTGAGGTTCCGATCCCGTATCGTGTATAAATTGATCCCACTCTTTCATTTTCGGACGTCGTTCACCTATATTTACTCTCTCGATTCTCGCAAACAGCCGATTCCCGAAATCTTGTTCTTATTTGCCTCCTGGCACCAGTACCGCGTGATGGATCCAATGAGTCATGATTGCGGCGAGTGCACTCACAGCGGTAGGAAGTGCATATGGCAACTACAAACTGAGACTGAGGCGCAGCGCGTCCTTCAGGAGCCGGCAAAGCAAGATGCTGGGCTTGGAGGAAAACAACAGATGGGGTCAACAAGATCTCCCATGGTTAGTGCAAAAATCCGATTAATTGTGACTGGATCTAATATAACAAGCCTACCCTCCTACCTGACCAGATTCTATACGAGCCAGCAAGGATAGCTGTTAAAGTGTTGTTGGAACTGAGGAACCATCTTCCAACTCTTGCTATGTTTCACTGGAATTCTCTCAGTCAAGATGCTAGACTACTTCTTGACGGGTGCCGGGATTTACAGAACGGGTTACAACAACCACCAAGCTGCACCGAGTTAGAAGGGTATGCTCTGAGTCTTTTACCAATGCTCGTTGAGAGTTATACGGGAGCTATCGTGCCAAATCTCAGCCATGCGACTCGTCTTAAGCTGTCCATTATAGTTTGGCATTTCCATGCCCCATCTTGCAAACCTTCCCCAGGGCCCGTCGCATCCCATTTTGATGCCTCGTCTTACGAGCCTACCCAAGGGCTCGTCACATTCCTCCGAAGCCCGCTCAATAAGGAGGTGTGGGAAATACTTCATGTCCGATATCAAAGGATGTGTCAACTGGTCCCGTTTGATGATTTCATGCGCTCTTTTGACTTTTTGCTATCATCGCAGCTGCCACAAGAGCCTCCCACGAACCAACGAGAATCCGGGATAGTCAATTTCAGCTTCAGTCTCCTCGAACGCTAGCGAACCGGAAGTTTCGATCGGACCCACAGTGACAGGGGTAAAGAGTGAAGGGCAAGGGGGTCGAGGGCAACAGGCTTCTCAGAATCTGTTCAATAGCTGTTGGGCAAAGGTTGGGCTACACTCGGGTCCTGTTATCATCGATACTTCTGAGCATATTCGTTCTTCTGTCAGTAACTCCCAAGCAAAATGGTCGGTCAATTTCTTTTCCTGCTGGGGGGAGCCTCATTTTGGCTTCCGTCTGAGCGTGCGCTTACCGCCTCCCTAATTCTGCCCCGGAGAGGTGGGTTTCTTGGCACCTACCAGTCTGCATCAGGCAGCCTCACCCCTGACTAGCCTCTCCGATAGACCTGCTCGGCCTCTGCTATTGGTTATTGAACTCATTTGAATGCACGTTGCACTGCTGAGTGCTGTATGATAGACTCATGATGGAACCGCTTTGGAACCTTGTCCATCGGTAATTCAGACATCCATGATAAAAATTAACATATTTTGATACTTGCCTGGTTCGAGGAGTTTAAAAAAGAGAGTCTTGTATATCTATCTCGTGTGTATGCCCCCTTTAGATGAATTCACTGTGCTCGATATAGCGTGTCCGGTTGGCAAAGACATGTTCCTATTCCATACTAGTCCATACGCCAATTCGGCCTCGCTTTGACAAGATGTCCTGATTGGTGGTGTTTCTGTTAAACGAAGCGTTTTGTCGAACTAGAGGAGTGGGTTAATACCGCGAACACCCATTGCAGAGATATCTCGGGGAAGTCTAATTTGCGCTGGCGAACGAGTCATGTGTTTGTGATAGAGCGACATTAGCTCGTGGCGCAGTCTTTGCGATGAACCAGGATAAATGCAGAAGACTTGAATGGGAAACTTGTCGGGCTGATTAGCGCTATCATGCGCCGGTCCCAAATTTTGCCCCAGACAAGTTCCAGAGGGATCCATTTCCAACTCCAACCCAATTCCAGATGATTGAATATAGTCACTTATCTCAGCTCTGCATAGCGAGAACATCCCCCACTACCTTCAGACTTGTCTCTCTATCTCCTGTTGACCTGCCAATATGCTCCATGCCTTGCCACCAGAATTGTTTTCTATGGTTTTGGAATACGTTTGTGCCTGTATCGCTCGGCTTCATGACGCTAGGCTAACTACTCAGTTCTACCGAAATGAGGATCTGAAAAACCTCTGCTTGGTCTCAAAAGCCCTGCACTCAGCGACTATACCACGACTATATCGATCGATCGGTCTTATTTCGAGAAACGAGGATAATTTGAGTGACTTGAACCTTGGGTCTCTCTCTCGCTATCTCAAATTTACAAGGGAGGTCATTTTGATCGCGGAGTTCCGTCAATTGCTACGTTATCGCTGTCACGACCATGACTCTGATGACTCTGATGACTCGAATGTCGAATATGATTCCTCCAGCGACGAAACGGAACTCGAATATCAAGAAATTCCTCGAGGACTTTCTGTTGGGGAAGATGAAAACGGAGGTGTACCTTGTGACGAGGACCAGGAGAATCAGCCAAACAACATATCCCAGCTATCAGAGTGGCGCAACGATCGTTCTGATATCTCTTCAAACGGACATTCTCATGCCGACTTCCCTGAGGGAGACTCGGATGACCTCACGTGGCAAGAATGGACGCCACATGGGCAGTTTATGAAGATTCTGGCGTCAAGAATACGACCATTTCTGGATTTGATTCCGGATGGTAGGTTGGAAAGGTTCAGGTACGAGTTCCTTAATTGAACGCAGGGTCATGCAATCTAATGCAAAGCAATAGCTGGAATCTCGGTACCTGTGTTCCCGGAGCCGTAATCGAATACCTCAGCACGAAACAGACACAAATCGTTCATCTAGAGGTCATCACCGACACGACTTGTCTAGGTCTAGATTATTTAAATATGTACGATTTGTACGGATTCAAGAAACTTCGGCGCCTTCGCTTGATTACGCCTACCTTTATTCAGGACCCGGAATACTCCCTTGGAGGATTATTCCACAACAACGCTTCGACATTAGAGGAAATCGAGATTAACGAGGTTGGCCATGGAGGACTAAAAAGCAGAGTTCCGGGACAAAACAAACTGCTTCATCAAATGCTGGCGCTTCCTCCAGGGGAAATGCAACAATTGTTTCCGTCACTGAAGAATTTAACTCTGAGCGCGGTTTCCTTGGAAAATGGCGGTGATGTTATGCCATCTGTTTTCTCTTTGAATTGCCTGCATTCGCTAGCTTTGAGAAACTGTGAAGGATCAGCTGGCTTACTCAAAGCGCTCGGGTCAGACGACGTGTTGCCGCACTCAATGAGACTCAAGTCCTTTGAATATCTTGCTAATGGCATGTTGGGAGAGTCCTGGGCCATGGACTCTATTGCGAACTTTCTCATATCTTTCGAAGGGCTCCAGGATTTGTTCCTGTCTTTCCTTGACGTCTTTGAAAACAGTCTCCTAAGTTCAATATCTAATTACAAATCTTCGCTGAGAAGGCTTCTGTGTCATGTCCCACAGATAACCCCTCGGCGAAATCCAACGCAGGCATCATTGAGGTTCCAATTCCCCATGTTTACCCAACTCTTAAGAGAAACCCCGAATCTCATTTGTTTGGGGCTTAGCTATTCTCCGGAAGACTTGGTAAGCATGGATTACTCATTTTGGTAAAAAAGCTTTCTACTAACATAAACCAGCGCGCTCTTTTCTCTCTTCCGAGAGTCTGCCCCCACCTCCGACTACTGCATGTTAGAGTCTTCAGGTGGCTAGTATACAAGGGGTATCGTGAAGGATTAGACGATAAATCGGAGTCTAAATTCTCTGCTGCGCTTCCAGAAATTCATGAACTTGCGAGTTGGGCCTTTGGGCCAAAGGGTTTACCGAGTCTACAAGTTCTTGCTTACGGAGACTTTTCTTATCGAGGGCGTAGGCCAAATCTCGTGCTCTGCAGATTTAAATCACTCGATGACTCGGATATACAAAAATCTGCTGCTGGGATATCTGATCTAGCATACAGAGAGGTCACAAAGGCGGACGTCTCGGAACAAGAGATTTTGTACGCCAACGCTCATTTCTTAGAAGCCTGCCAAGAGGATTCTTTGTTATATGAGCGGAATCGCCCTTTCTGATTGAAAATTCCATATTCTGGTTCGTTAGCTTCACCAGGAGCAATTAGTTGAAGGCATGTATCGGCTCCCGGCGGTGTCAATTGGAACGTTTGACTTTCTTGTCTTCGAAACTGGCGTCCATGCGATAGCACATTTACAATAACCTACATATTTCGTTGATGCCCTGGACTATTGCTGGCTTATTCTTAGGAGAAGATTTTGGTAAGATTATGTTAGACGTATAGATTCTCTGTAATTCGAATCAACATTTTTTAGCGTGGCTGCAGGCGAATGTATGAATTGCGAACAGAACTATTTCCTGATTGGCCGTGTTTCAGTTAGATAACGGATTGTTGCGTACAGTCCATACAGATAGCGATCTCTGGGGTTTACGAGTCCTTTCCTGGGTGAGGGTTATAACTGATGTCGAACTCCTGCCCCGGTTAGTAAGCTAGCTATCAATCTGGTGATTTAGAGTATGGACGAGCTTGGAATTACGCTTGAAGGTTTGTTTAGCGAGGTTTCGGTGGAAGCGACGTCTCTCGGAAGAGAATCTCGAATTGGGTAACAATGGCGCACTTTGATTTGCTCATGGGTGAAGGCGAGTCATGCTCAATCCAGAGAGTTTCTGCGCACAGCAAGGCCAGTTCTCGGTCGTAGGACTCATGATACTAAACCATTTAAGATCGCTCACTAAACTTAATTTGCAACAGCCCATCAGCAACTATGACTGGCTATATCAAATTAGCGTATAACGCGGGTTTGTGATACTGGGAGGATCTACACGACCAGCTGATTAGCATCTGAGCTTGGTTCCGAGTTGACCTTAAGAAGAAGAGAGTTCAGCTTATGTCAATCATTCACCGCATCGTGATTCATTTGGCCAAGGAGAAAAGGATGCATACAGATCAGCATTCCGGGGGAGGTAAGGGAGAGACCAATGAACTAACCAACTGTTATAACTGACAATGGTGAGATTTTGGACCCCGTAGCACCATGTGCAGCCACAAGAATATGCTAATATTTACCAGGATGGGCTACGGCACCCTATGGCTCTGTATTTGAAATCATTAATCCGTCTAGGGGCAGGGGTGCCTGAATAATCGACCAATAATGTGGCAATACTATCAACGTCCGCGCGGCTGAGAAAACGGCCCCCACATAGGCGTATGCAAGCATATCACAACGCCACAGTTTGCACTAGGTGATATTTGGAATCATTAATGTGCCTCACGCCAGGGGTACCAGGATGGTTGGACCATCATGTGGCCGGTCCGGGGAGAATGAATACTATTCGCTTCCTGTTGCCGAAGAAAACAATAACGTAATTCACATGCGAGTGGATCAACCAAGCGAGTGGATCACCGCAAAACACATAGTAAATGCGATAAATTACAGCTTATTATCTCTACAACCGTGGTCTATATAGACTCTTCCTTCTAAGCAGAATGCTTTTAACATGATATCTAGCCTCTCTAGAGAGTTTAGAGAACTGTCATGCTTTTGTGCTTGAGATATATATATTTCATAACTTATGGCAGTGCAATTCTCGGTAATTCTTGAGATTATGATCACACAGCCTGTTTGTTCTTTTAAAATTAAGATATAATGTCGATAAATCTTATCAATAGCTATCGAGAAGCAATAAGATTAAATAGAGATGTTGCTGTCAAGATATGAAGCTGTAATTTATCGCATTTACTATGTGTTTTGCGGTGATCCACTCGCTTGGTTGATCCACTCGCATGTGAATTACGTTAGGTGGTGGTTGCAGTATTAGTCACTCTGTACCCCCAAAGTTCTACGGCCAAATTCTTGAAAGAAGAGGAAACATTGCCCACGACGTAGTTTCCCCTAACAGGGCCCATGAAACCCTAGTGAAGATGCTAATTCGAGCCGGCTTCTATCTGGCGACCAGGCAATCTAGTTGACCGGACCACGATGCCCTCCGAGGGTTTGAAAACATAGACTCCAATATTTGTCGACCAATGGTTCATTCAAAACCTAATCCGGTCTCTCCCGTTCGTAACACATTCTCGTGAGGCTCAACATAGGACTAAATATCAGAGGTGAACTGTATACTTGAAGGGGGCTACTTTAAATTGCTAGCCTGTGGTAATGAATCGGGAGGCGTCTTGAACGCGATGTAAAAGGGCAGGTGGTTCGCCTCTTTCCTATTGTCATAGTTGTAATGTCAGAAATGGAGATAGCTTCGGTATATGAGCAGTTACTCACCTGAAGTAATCCCTCGACCTTTTCCATAGCTGCTATGTCTTGTGATAGGCTTCCTTGAGTGCTCAGGGCTTCAAGCCAGTGAAGGAAGTCGATTCATTCCGCCAGGAAACATTCGCAAAAATCAGGCACTTGTTTGCTTTGGTTGAAGAAAAGGGTGCCCAGCCAGTTCGCCTGCCGTTTTTCTCGTATCTGGGTGCCAGACAAGCATTCCCTTGGCGAGGTCCAAAAACGCTTCTTTCTCCTCCCCTCCTAGGAATGAAGCTGTGTCGCCTAGTTTGCGGTCGGGGATCAGGTCTTCATAGAGGAAGCGCCCTAGGATGTTCCGTGAGTTTAAGAATAATTCGATCGAGATAGGAAACCCAGTAATACCTTTTTCGTCAAAGAATGGCCCACAGAAGTACTCCTCCGCGGTCTCGCATACTTTGCCGTCTTCTCGTCTGATAGGTTTCGGCCACGAGTACTCTCGCATATATTGATACCTTTGTACGACCTCTGGAGGAGGTGGACCGATTAAGGCTATCATTTCGGCGATGTGTAGTTTAGCATCGTAGCGACCTTCTTGATCGTGAATATGCCGAAATAGCTCTTTGCCTTCGATCATATCCCACAACTGGTCTGGTATTAGTGGATGCAAGAACTCTGGAGTACGTAACGCACCAGAACACCAAGATTCCAAATATCCGCAGGCATTTGCCATCCATTACCTAGTATCACCTCTGGTGCCCGATAGTGGTCTGGCTGAATAGGCCAAACGCCCCAGTCGTCGTCTTCCTCGAGTCTGGTTGCTAAGCCAAAGTCGACAAGCTGTGGTATACTTCTTAGGCTTTTGAGTGGCCCGAAGTCATTACGGGATTGATACACTGGTCGACCCGCCGAATCCATCTTGAAAGCCATCGGTTTTGCAAGCTGAGAATCCATGAAATCAGCAAGCACGGTTGGATCCTCGAATGAGACCATGATGTTCTCAAGCTTTAGATCTAGGCAGCCACTTAGGCTCAGTTACCGACGAGAATAAAAGCCGAAGATGAACCTACCTGTATGAACTGTCCTGCACACTTTATGCAGATAATCAAGCCCCGTAAGAAGAGCACGAATGTACGTTTTAATGAGGGGCAGTGGCATCTTCCTATTGTCAAAGCGTCGTTGATACATTGACAATGACTCCCTCATAGGCGGATACACAAGACATGGATAAGAACCTTCTGGGCCTTCAACTTCAAAAGAATCTAGTAATGTTCGGATAAGTGACCGACCGCGATGTGATGGGTCTGCCGTGGAAATATGCTCTTCAACTTCCCGCTCATGACCAGCAGAACTCGCATTATTATTGACAATTTTCAGTGCCACGACGCTCTCAGGCTCTTCGACATGCCTGTATATTTGTTAGAGACAGGGAGAGCTTCGAAATGGACAGAAATTATTGAAGGCTACCCTTGCAGATCACGCGCGAGCCATACTGTTGAAGACACGCCCCAGCCAACCTTGACCAAGGTTTGGTAACGATCGGCGAGTACCTCTCCAGACTTTGCTGGGTAGAAGTACCTGGAATCGTATACTGGCGAGATCTCTTCATCAACAAGTATGCCGGGCGGTAAAGGTGGCCCGGGAGAAGGCATGGGAAACGGTTTCTTGCGAAGCAAGGCGGGGAAACGAGGAATGAATGACTTTATAGTGCTCATTACAAAGTTACTTCCCGTAAGCCGACGAGAGAGAATGTGATGTAGGTGGTTGTTGAAGAAGAAGATCAAGGAGGAGCGCGGGCACAAGTTGACTCAGGACCACTGCATAGACCTGACCGCCTAGGCCAACTAGGCCAGTCGAGAGGAGATAGTTTTTCCGCCGAAATAAAGTGTCACGTAACCCACAGTTATACTTCAGCATTCTCCGCTGGGCCTTTTAAGGACCAGCGTTCATTCTATCTCAATGCAAAATATATTGTATTACACGCATTAGACTAGGCTTCTACCTCGCTTACCCATTCCTACCCCGAGACTGCTGCGTGGTCTCACAGTAAAACTTTAGAGTTAAAGAGTTGCACTTACTTGGGGCTGGATTCAAAATATATTTCTATAACTTGAAGCATGTTAGTTCACCTAACTACTTAAACACCACTATAACTACAAAATTTATACATTCTAATGCGTAATTAACTAGTAAGGATATCCCATCGATTCATATAAGCTATTATCTTTTTTGAATTACTATCGAAGAAGTTCATTTATGTTAGTTTTCACTGAAACAGCAAAAAATACTAAGATTACATATTGATTAGTTAGCAGGTTTATAAACGCCAAGACCTTGATTTTATGCAAAGTTGGGTTTTGCTGGGGCCGCAATGGGTACCCAGTCTGGGTCCTGGGTCGGGTCCGGGTTACCTAGCCTCGACCCAGACCCGGGCTGGGTCTGGGGCTGGGTCCTGCGGAAGCCTACTGCCATCTAGCTATACACGGCGCTACGATTATGCGCCAGGAAAACCGCGAATTACGTGCCGCTAATGCGAAAACAACCCAGAAAAGGAAGCGTACGAGGAAGCGAATAGCTCATAAAGGTGGAATATCGGTTCTAGAGGCTATGTCAATAGTTTCAGGACCGGAAATAGTTCATGAAGCTAGCTCAGGTCGAGATGGAGCTGTATCGCCGACGCCGAATCGGACCAATAAGAGGAGACCACAACGATGCAGCCTCTGTAAAAACCTAGGACATAGGAGAAATAGGTGCCCGGAGATGTCTGAATAGCTTCAATTTTACTGAATTTATGTTGTGGTTGAAAAATTCAATAATAATGGTAGATTTAATAGGTGGGTGGCCAGCTCGCATGGGGTGGCCAGCTCGCTTATCGAATACGTTATACATGTTCATTAAAAGGTGCTAAAGCTAAAATTTTCAAGTTAGTTTACATATTTGATTACCTCAAGCTATGGAAAGTCCTACACTAGCATCAGCTTTAATACATACAGCTATTACGGCTACAGGAAGAGTATATTTAGTAGTGAGATCATCACCATTGATTGAATATAGTTCAGCTGTAATAGCTTTAAACGCTTATGATTAGGTCCAATAACAAAAGTATTCAATTTTTTTATTCATAAATGATCCTAACAAGATATAAAATATTTATAATAAAGTTTTGTTTCGCTCAATCAATTATGCTTTTGATAAAGCATAATTATTCTCAGGTGCTGCCAGCACCTGGCTACGACCCTCCGCATGGGTCCCTACCCCGGACCCTCGAACCTCCCCTCTTGAGGGGAGGTTCCAACCTTCCGACCCTCAACCTACCCTGAGGGTCGTTGAGGTTCACTATGCGGACCCTCGGCGACCCTCAACGACCCGCATTTGCATAAATTTTCCACGCCTTACCTCTTTTGGTTGGATAAAATTGATGATTCATCTCTGTTTTTTACAGCGGTTCCGTTAATTTGTAGATATTTCACTGAATACACCATCAATGTAATAAATTATAAACAAATATTCATGTAAAAGTAAACCGTAGGCATGGTCACCTACAAATTACAAGTAATATTCAATGATATCAATATGGTGAGTGGTCAGTGCCGGTTGTCGACAAAACAGCGTGTAAAGTTGTAGATATATATATTGTAGGTACTGTAACCCATGTGTACCTTCATTTGTAGAACCACTATTTTTTAAGAAAACTATAAAGACGTAGTTCAAATCCCCTCATTTTTACATCATTTGAACTGTTATATCTTCTTCTATTACTTTGTCTTTAAGAATTTAGAACAAATTATCTAGGTATGTCGTAACTCCGGTTCAACGGTTGCAATTATTAGACTTGGCCGTTCCGATTAAGACTATTTTCTTAACTTGAGGGTCCTCTTTGAGGGTCTCTTTGAGGGTCTCTTTGAGGGTCGCTGCGGGTAAGTGAGGGTCTATTGGAGGTTCGTTGAGGTTCATTTATTAGGTTATCCACTATGCTATCCAATCAGATCTAGCTATGTGGATACAAAAGACGATAGATCAATTCTGGCATATAGAACAGGGACGAACGGATGCCCCAAGAATATCGCGCATTTTTTCGTACGAAATAATTAGTAAATTCCTCGTTATTTTCTCCTCAGTCATAGTACTGTCTTCTGGTTACTAAATCTATTATGTCTCAGCTCTCCGACGTCTACGCATCATCCAGCTTCGACGGGGTGCAATTAGACGCGCTACAATACCTTGTTCCTAACGATTCCCTATCCCAACGTGAAAGCCAGAGCCAACTACTATCCGAAAGCCAGTTTGGATCAGTTCTAGACCTTCCAGACCTTCCAACCCATCGATCGCGCGTGGCACCTCAGGCCCTAAACACTCTTACGCGAATCAAACCAGACCGTATTAACGAGTACATCATCTTCACAACTACAATGTCCGCAGAATTTATTCAGTGGTGGCTTGAAACCGACTTTGGTAAGAAGAAGCGGATCAACTGGGATATGAACCGTCGTGCAGAGTGCTGGAAAGGGTTTGAACAGGTTGCAAATGCCAAAGATGGGAAGCCAGGCGTTATATGCAAACGGTGCCGTAAAATTCTTGAGCATCCAAGTACCAACCATACTGGAACCTCATCGATGCAGAAACATCTCGATGGGCTAAGGTGCCGACAGCGAATACCGAAGAGGGGTAATATCCAGCAACTACTTAGTGACGCGGTATGTTTAAACTAGCCTACATTTAATGTCAATACTAATACTGAATTCATTATCATTTAGGCCGAGAGAAGACCGGCGCCTACCTTTACCCAGCAAATATGGGAGCAGAAGATTCTGAACCTGATCACTGTATCGCATTTACCCTTCCTTTTCGTCGAGCATCAAGAATTCCATGACCTCCTTTCCTACGCACGGCTAGCACCCATACCACCAAGCGTTCCATCAAGAAAGGTGATTCGCGACCGCCTTCGGGGTTTCGTTATAGAACAACAACAGGAGACACTACAACAGCTTCCATCTAGTGCAAAAATGTCGATTGCGCTTGACTGTTGGACTTCTCCATTCCAGCAAGCATTCATGGCTATCACAGGATACTTCCTAGACCAGGAATGGGACTATCACGAGGTTCTCCTTGGGTTCGAGCCAATTTCTGGATCTCATACCGGAGTGAACCTCGGTAGGATTGTTCTCCAGATCCTAGAGAAGCACCAGATCGCTGACCGTATACTGGCGGTGACAACTGATAATGCGTCTAATAATAAGACACTTATCGCAGCGGTGAATGATTCGACTAAGACGCTACAATCTGAGACAGATTCTACGATTGTCCAAGTGCCTTGCCTTGCACATGTTATTCAATTAAGTCTAATTGATTTACTTGGTAAAATCAAGGCCTCACCGAAGAATGACAATGCCGAGACAGAATGGTCTGAAGATCGTGTACGTTCACTTCGTGCGCGCCAGCAGAAACATGAGATCGCCGATACTCTAAATAAGGTCAGCTTAAAGCTTCTATTTACGAAGCATGATCCAATAACGCTAATCATCCTTATAGGTCCGCGGTCTTGCAGTTTATATCAACGGAAGCCCTCAACGCAAAGAAGCCTTCTTGAATCTTCAATCTAATAACGCTGGTATAAGGCTTCTCCCAATCCAGGATGTCCGTACACGATGGAATTCGACATTCCTGATGCTCCGGCGGGCGACAAGGCTTCATAACACATTCGACAAGTACTGCAAGGACTTTACCCAAACCCATTTTGCATTGAGTATCGAGGGGTGGCGACAGATTGACTATCTACTTTGCATTCTCCAGCCCTTTTTTACGCTTACTACGCTAGTTTGTCGTACTAAAGACTCAAGTATCCACCTTGTCTTTAGGATTTATAACAAGCTTTTTGATCATCTTGAAAGATCAATACGTCAGCTTCGTCGAAAGAAAGTTCACTGGAAACAGCTGATGCTTTCCTCCCTTGAGGCTGCGAAGGAGAAACTGAAGAAATACTACGGCGAGACCGATAATATCGAAGGTAATCTCTATGCAATTGGGATGATCCTAGCGCCGTCGAGTAAGATGGAGTTCTTTTCAACAAGTGATTGGGACCTAGATCCTGAGATAGGAAAGGACTATAGAAAAGTATACCGCGAGAGTCTTCAGTCTCTCTTCGAAAGATATAGCCAACGTGTACCATCAGATATGATACAGCCTAATAGCCAGTTATTAATAACTGAATCGGAGCTAGAGAGGGCCCTTGACGGCGATTCTTCACCACGATCAATTGCTCCGCAGTACGACGAGCTCACCAAATATCTCCAGAGTGGTAAGTAAGCCTGCTTATTTTATGAATCATATAACTAACCTCACCTGATTAGATACTATTAAAGGATCCGTTCGGATCTTTTGGAAAGATCATCAGAGAGAATTCCCTGTTCTTGCAAGCATTGCCCGTGATATTATGTCAATTCCAGCGACTGGTGCCGGAGTTGAGCGTCTATTTAACTCTGCCCGGGATGTATGCCACTACCGCCGGGGTCGTTGAATCCAGAGACTATTCGTGATATCATGTTGTATATGTGTACAACAAGATTTGATATCAAGGAGGAGCAGCGGCTGATTCTCCAAGAGTATCTTTTAGACCATGAGATAGCAGCTTCGGCAGAAGCACTTGATGTCCAGACACATACCTTCGAGGCTATCAGTGATGACGAGGAGGAGGATGTTGAGTTGCGTCTTGACACACCGGCTGCTATATCAATTATGCAAACAACCCCGAACGCACCGCCACTGTCAGCAGTCGCCGCTGGAAAGCGGTCTGCGGTCACTTCTAGTGGTGAGGAAGATTCTGATGCCGATGGATTTGCGAACCCGGAGGAGAACCTATCATTATCCTTCCCTGATACGCAGCATCGTGTATCAGGTAGGATACGGAAGAAGTCGAGACTACTGGATGGGTATATAGTTTGACTCTTGACTTAGAACCATGACTAGACACTGTGCTATAGATGTAATGTAAACCATTCAAAATTTAAACCTCTATTCGAGGATGAACCTATGGTATGCACTAAGGAGTGGATATGTACTGTAGTATCCTTCTGTAAGGCCATACAGTGATGGATTTTTAGTTTACAATTACAATGAAATACAGCCTGTTTTTACATAATTTATGCAATTGACGTCCAGTCACGTTTTTTACCTTTTTGTCATGTTTGACGACCCTCAGGGTCCCCGCGGGTAACCCTCATGAGGGTCGGCCTCGGCACGACCCTCCCCGCGGGTCCAGGTCTCGGAACCTGACCCTCCGCATGGGGAGGTGAGGGTCAGGGTCGTGGAGGGTACCCGCGGGTCCTAGCCAGGTCTAACCTCGAGCGGCGAGGAGAAGATTCGCGGTTTCGCGTACAGTAGTAGGTCTTGGGGCAGCTCCACGTATATCAAGAGATATAATCCAATTTTCAAGCGTTACTTCTTCTAGTTCAGTCAATTTAGAAGAATTCACGCGCAATTCAACGCGATTTTCACGTCCATTGAGGCGGGCTTTGGGGGTAGGGCCGAACCTCGGCGAGGTTTGGGGGTCCAAAACCTCAAACCTCAGATCGAGGTTTGAGGTGAGGTTAACCGTGGACTCCCGAGGTTCGTGCCGCGGTCTAGAGCGGGGGACATTAAAGATGCGCGCAGCCTCACGAATTGACTTTATTTCGCCCTTTTCTATAGCTCTAATAGCTAATGATAGGGGACCCTCCTGCTGTGCTAACTTTTGGCGATTCTGTTTGCGCATGGGTGGCATGGTGGGTGGTTGAAATTATCTCAGTTGCATTATTGACGCGTTTTTCGATGGGTGGGCGGCTCGCTCGGGGTGGGCGGCTCGTACGGGAATTACGTTACAGTAACTAAACGCTGTTTTGGTCCCTAGTTCAACCAATCTATATTTTTATCCTAGATAGCCACTAACCACTCTGTAATTAATTGAAATGCTCTTGTATATAGATTAATTAGTACTCATTCTACGAACTACATAGATATGGGGCTTACTGAGTCCTTTCATTGTGAGTGACGGAGGAAGATATAATTTATTCGGTGTATGCAGTCCGGAATATATATTTCAACCCTTGTACCCTGCCATTGTTACCACCAAGACTTATTCGTCTAATTCCTAAATTATTATTTCGCGATAAACTTAAAAGACTCGTACACCATAAAAAAGCTGACATTCTCCTTTATAAAGTTAAGTTGAAAAATATCATCTCTTATAAGTAATGTATGCGCGGTTCACGTTTAAAATCGGATTCTTCTCTCTCAGGAACGGACTTGGTGGGATCAAGGGGGCTTTTCTGCGGTGCGGGCCCTACGGAGAGTCTTTCTGCGGTTCTTGCGGTGCTATCTGCGGTTCTTGCGGTTCCCGAGGGTCTTGTGGTGGGTTACGCGGTTCTTATTGCGGGTCCTTGCGGTTCGTAGCGGTTCGAACCGCAAAGAAACCTCGAGCGTATGTGTCTTTCTATCCAATCACTTAATTAAAGTGGATTCAAGCTATCCATTTCCTTCTGTTTGCTTTTCTAGTAGCGAGCTCCCTAAATACCAGTATGTTTCTTCTCTCTTCGTCAGTCTTAGTATGGTAACTCTTGTGCTTAAACCGTCAACATGCCACAGAGCCAGAACTCTCAGTTTTCGGATTGTTATCCCTCCTCAATTAATAGCGACAATCTCGTGGATTCCCTCTCTTTCATTCCCTACGATGGGCCATTCAACCTCGGCGGCCGCGACACGCCAATCACCGACGTGAACTTTACCCGACCGTCAATTCCTCCGGCCCCTGAAGCACAACGCGTCGGCCCTCGGAACAAGAAAATCTACATTCTCTGGACGAGTATGGTGAACGAAGGATTCATGGAGTGGTGGCTTAAGACGGTATATGGAAGCCAGTTGAAACGGAATATCTTTGATGTTACACATCTTGCAGAGTGCTGGCGGCAATTTGAACAGGTTGTGCTTCCTCAGGATGGAAAGCCTAAGGTTATGTGCAAGGTCTGCAACCATATCCTAGCTCATCCTGCTGATGGCCACCGGGGCAATACCCATATGAACAAGCACTACAGAGAGTCGGTTAAGTGTCGGAAGCTAGTGCCTCGGAGTCACGATATTCGGCAGAGTATGGAGAACGCGGTATGAAGACTACGTGTTTCTATCACTTCCTTGACTAATATGGCAGAACTACTAGAGCCGCCGTGTATCGCAGAAAGAACAGTTCACTGAGCAAGCCTGGATGGAGAGATTGATTACCTTTATTACTGCCTCGCGGTTACCATTCCTTCTTGTTGAGCATCCTGAATTCCGCGCCCTTATCGAGATGGCGCGACTCTCCCCTGTTATGCCCGATATTCCGTCCGCGTTCACAGTTCGTCGGCATCTCAAAATGGCGGTGAAACAACGCCAGTGCGATCTTCTTCGCAAGCTTTCTGAGGGTGCAAAGCTGTCAATTGCGTTAGATTGCTGGACCTCACCGTTTCGCCAAGCTTTTATGGCAGTCACGGGCTATTTCCTTGACGAGGAGTGGAATTACCGTGAGATCTTGCTTGGCTTTGAGCCACTACATGGCTCGCATTCAGGGGCCTATCTTAGCAGGATTCTCCTGGGCCTTCTAGGGAAGCATGAGATTGCTAACCGGGTGTTGACCATCACAACTGACAATGCGTCGAACAACAGTACATTGCTAGGCAGACTACACGAAGCCGTTGCGTCTTTAGAACTACCTAACAATATTCCACTTATTCGGATCCCCTGTATTGCGCATGTTATACAGCTGAGCCTGAAAGAGCTCCTTGGGCAGATGGATGCGAACCCACGGAATGATCGGGAGGAGATGGAATGGGCCGAGGCTTGGACCGGGGCCCGGCAGGAGAATAGAATGATTGTGGTGACTCTTAACAAGGTCTGGTCATCTTTCAATGATGTCTTCTCTCTGATTCTGTACACTGACTTTTCTTCTCGCTTAAAGATTCAAAAGGTCGCCATTTACATCAATAAAAGTCCCCAGCGCCGCGAGAGTTTTCTCAACCTTCAGACGAAAGAGCCGAAGCTTGTGCCAATCCAGGATGTTCGGACACGCTGGAATTCAACGTTTCTGATGCTCCGGCGTGCCTGCGGCTACAAGAAGCCTTTGACCGCTTCTGTGTTGAATTCAATCTCGCTGATATGAAGATGGATAAAGATGAATGGCGACAAGTTGATTATCTTCTCTCAATCACCCACCCGTTCTTTAAATTCACTTCGTCTCTATCGGCAACAACCGACGTTACTGCTCATAATGTCTTTGGCATCTATAATGCCCTGTTTACCCATATTGACAGGGCAAAGACCCAGCTAGCGCCAAAAAAAGTTGGGTGGAAAAGGGTCATGCGGTCGGCCCTCGATCATGCACGAGATAAGCTCGCTGAGTATTATAGAAAAACCGATGATGTCCCTGGTGATCTTTATGCAATTGCAACTATTATGGGACCACGGAACAAGCTAGCTTTCTTCACAGGCAAGGAATGGGAGCCTCACTGGGCGCCACGCTACAGGAAATCGCTGGAGAGTTATATACAACCTTACCAGGAGCGCTATCAACAGTCGTCGTCAACCAATGGTCTCACAAATAACGATATGTCCGACATTGATCTTCTTGTATCCCCTGCCCCCTCCATCCAGCCGAAAGGAGCGGCTATAGAGGAGCTTACGCGGTATCTTGGAAGTAGTAAGGTAATCACTCTGCATTTTATTATTTGTCTTGTTCTCTCATACTGACTATACTAGGTACTGTACAGGTGACCCCACGTGTGTACTGGAAAGAACACCAAAAGGAGTATCCTATTCTTGCAAGCCTCGCCCGGGATGTCCTTACCACACCAGCCAGTGGATCTGGCGTTGAGCGGCTATTCAACTCCGCTCGCGATGTCTGCCACTACCGACGAGGGTCGCTTAAGCCACAGACCATCCAAGATTTGATGATGTATATGTGTACAACAAAATTTGATCTGGACACAGAGCAGCTTACACTGATTAATGAGTACCTTTCTACCCAAGAGAAGCAAGCGGAGGGTGAGAGAAAGGATGCATTGGATAAGCAGGAGGAGGGATTTGATGCAATCAGTGATGGCGAGGAGGGTCCGTCTACAACCGATACTCCTGAGGCTATTCAGATACTTGGTGCAAAGGCATTAGGGAAGAGAAGGGCCACTGAGAGTGATCTGAACGAGTTGGATGAGGACGGTGAGGTGCCTTTGCCTGAGAATCGCTGCTCACAAGAGGTATGTAGCACTCAGCGGCGCTCATCCGGGCACGCCCCAAAGCACCCAAGGGGGTATGAAAATTTTGTATACAATTAGCAGAAAAGAAAATGAAGTATTAGAATAAAAACGGTGCATTAGGCTAAAAAAACAATAAGATTCTCGTTTTTCTGGAGAAAAGATTCTTCGGAAAGAGGTATATAATTCTCGTAAGCCTGAAAGAAGGATACCAAATAATACAGCCCTCTTCTACGTACAATATGCATATCGCAAGATCGTCGATGTTTGTCATGTTTGTAGAACCGCAGGGTCTACCCACAACCTTGAGGGGCGGTTCTTTTCGTCCCTGAACTGCGAGGCGGTTCTATACTGTAGGTACCAAGAACCGCCCCTCGGAGGGGCGGGGCGGGGCGGTTCGCGGTTCTTGCGGGTCCATCTCGAGGCCTATAATCAAGTAAGAGTCACCAAAGGTTTCTGAACAGTAGACACAAGTAACAATGTAGGAATTGAACACGAAGAACTAAACTAGATACATGAATGAGTGTCCTTATATATCCTGAGTCCTTCATAAGTAGATGAGTAGAAAGTAGAACACTGTTCTACTTGTCGACCATCGACTCTTCTACTACCTGCATAATCACGTGAGGTTGGTTCCCAAAGTATTGCGGTATTGCGTGGAACGGCAACTGGCAGGCCTGCTCCGGCTGGTGGCTGTGCAGAGGGTGTCGGATGTTTGCACGTGATCTTGATGACAGATAGATTGATTGGCTCTTGGTGGCCCATCAGTAAGTTGCGGCCCCATAATCGATTGGTGCCTGTTGGTCCGTAACAGCAGCCTATCGATTTCCTTCAACTTGATATATAGTGTTGAAAATTCTTATCAATAGCTATCGACCAGCAATGAATTAAAATAAAAACGTGGTTGTCGAGATATTAAGTTCTCGAAAATCGGATTTAGTATGGTGTTTTGGGGTGGCCACTCGGTGGTGGGTGGCCGCTCGGTAACGTGATTCCCAAGCGAGCGGGCATCCCAAGCGAGCGGGCACCCCATCAATAATTTCAATTTTTAAACACCATTTAAACAACCATAACAGAATATATTTAACTTAACTATGCTTTAAAGCATTTATTAAAAGAATGCCCTTTCTGATTACATCCAGAACAGGTAATTTGACGACGTACAGGGGGTAAAACAGGCAAGAGGGGCTCCTCTGGGAGTGATGGACCAGGTGGTGCATTAGATATATATATCTGATCACCACTACCACCACTCACTTTAGCGACCGTATCACTTGTCAGGCTACCCTGGTAGGATAGCCGCTTTGTGGATTTGGCCCTTTTTTTCATTTGTTTTGCATTCGCTGCCCGTAATCTCTTGATCTCATCACCCTGTAAAACGACCGTATGCAGCATCTTCACTGTCATTTTGTGATATTGCGCAAGTTCACGTTTTGTAGGGCTAGATAGCTTATTTGACCCCCCACTCAATTGCGAATCAATCCTAGCTTTGCGTTTTGCTAGTTGGTTGGAGTTCTGAGGGATACCAGTTGAGATATTGCTATCTGAGGTTGACCCCTGTGACAATGGACGATCCGGGAGCGTAGGTGATGCAAGCTGAATATTGAGATGAGACAACACCCGATCAGGGTCAAATGGCACAAGACCAGTAGCAGCGAAAGCGCTATGAATAATAGTCTTTTTAAATGCATCGCCACGGGCTTTAGGGAAGATATCAATGAAGTCATCTTTTTCAATAGAATTGATGCCTAATCGGGTATATCCTGCAACCCGACTCCCATAAGATCGCTTCAAAACAGCAAAACAACCAACATCAAGAGGCTGCAAAAGATGGGAAGTATGCGCAGGCATACAGATAGGTACGATGTTGTTTTGAGCGCAAATTTGATCAAATTGAGGTGTGAGATGACTGTTATGCCCATCAAGGACCAAAAGACGATATTTTCCTTTGGTTTGATTTGTTGTATGCGGAATGAAGTGTTTTTGGAGCCAATCAACACCTATTTCATCACTCGTCCATCCGTTTGGACTATGATTGATAGCCCAGTGTTTTGGAAGGTCATCAAACCATCGTAACATGAAGTTTTTTCCCTTGAAGATTATGTATGGTGGAAGCGCGTGTCCAGAGGCGCCAATTGATTCAACCACAGTCACCCATTCACGATTTCCAGGTTGTAAAACACCTCTCCGACCAGTATACACTGACTGAGTAATGATCTTAGTCGTCGCACTGATTCCCATCGCAAACCCTGACTCATCAAAGTTATAGATATCATCTGATAATATTCCATACTTGATGATAGTGTTTTGAAAGAGGTTAAACCACTCCGTGATGACCTTTGGGTCCTCCATCAGAGCACGTTTATAGTCATATTTGCGAGAGAATCGACTAGTAAGCTCGGAGTGCCGATTTAGATAGTTTGTTGGCCAATTTTTGCCCACTCTCTGAACCGGGGTCTCTCCGCGCTCTTTTAGCAATAAATTGGCCATATCTGCTAGCATACTGATCGTAAGAGCAGCACCTCGTTGATCCATGCTTATTAGCCAGCTCTTAATTGATTCTTCTTCAATTTTAGTGAGTTTATAGCCATTAGCCCGTGTATCAGACCGATTGGTTCTCCCATTGATCCGGGCTTGGAGAGTAGAGCGGGGCACCTCAAAAGAGCGTGCTGCTGCAGCAATCGTGGTAATTTGACCATTTTGAATAGATTTTATAGCCAGTAGGATCTTGCCCTCTTGCTCAAGCAATTTTTGAGCTTTTTGAGTTCGTTTTGGGGGCATGATGCGTGATTGAAAACAGTGGGTTGCTCGGGGGATGGAAATTTAAGGTGGGGTGCCCGCTCGCTTGGGATGCCCGCTCGCTTGGGAATCACGTTAGTGAATTACGTTAGTGGTAAAATACCACTTCTCAGATCGACAAATTTCCACATGGTTTATATCAATCCCGTGGGAGATTATGTCGGAATCAGTGGTCTCCGTAATAACTGGCCATCCAATAGAAAATGGCAAAAGGCCTGAATTGTTTACTACCCCTTCGTACACACAATTTATGGGGCATCATGACTAATAACACTGGCAATGGACATACTCCGGAGTGTAACAATCTAGCTCCGGTCATTTATACCGACATGTTTCGAGGGCATGTAAAAGACGTGCCCGACCCGCGGGCGGTTATGAGGTCTACTCCCTCCTCCCTCACTCCTCAGTCACCACTCTGTCACCCTTCCTTTCCCTCTGCGCCTTGACAATCGCACACTCCGCCAACCGCTGCAAATCACCCATAAACCGCTCAATAAGCCTTACCTGCGCGGCAAACGACGCCGGCGCCTGCTGCCACATATGATTCTCCACGTGCCGACTGGTTGCCCTCATAAGCTCAAGATCGGTCCAGCTCGTACGGTCGAGTGGATTCGTGAGAATGTTGGAGAAAAGATGGATTGTTGAGGTCATCAGCTCGGAAAAGCAGGGCCTGATTTCATGCAAAACCATTATTAGCGACGTAAATGGGGCTGGGGGCGGATGGATGGGTTGATGGAGCGAAAGACCTACGTCAAGAACCGCCCCAGAAGCTGCGGCGATGTGCCCAGAAACCTATTAAGGACAGCACGACTGGCCCCAATACTAATGGCAAGACTTGACCCTGCGGCTCGCGTATCCTGGTTCCCCACCCACGCGGTGCACCTACTACTCGTCTGATGGATCGCAGACATGCAGTAATGGTATTGTATCTTGAAGAGAAGATCGGCCATTGTCGGGTCGTTATGAATGTTATTTGTGAACACTGGTACGGACGACCACCACTCTTCAAGCGCGCTGTCTAGGCGGCGAATTGTAGCGAGGAGCTCGGCGTCGCTTTGCTGGAGTGCCGAGCAACTATAGAGACCGCGGTAGATCTCGGATTGGACGATACAGAGGCGGATTAGTGTGATGAAGGCAGAGGGATTTTGTTGACGGGAGGATTTGGAGCTGCGCGGGTCGCTGTGAGGGTGTTCGCAGCCGGGGAGAGTCAGGTCGCAATTCGTCGGGTCGAAGAGGGGAGGAAGTCCGGTGCGTAGGCCAAAGAACTTGTCCTGAATGAAACAGATCCAGAATAGATTCCGGACGTGGAGTTTCGCGTGAGCGTATTTGTCGTTCACCACGGTGGGGTAGAGGTTCCCTTTGAGATGGAACACGTAGCGAACTGCCAAGGAGAGGAAGAGCTCCAACTTGAAGACATCGCCGGAAAGTGCGGTACAGCAGAAGCACTTTGGTCAAGGTTAGCTGGGTAAGTGAAAAGGAGCGAATCGTGGGGGCTGTACGCACTAGCATGACCACCGCCTGCAAGCCGTCCAGAGTCACCGGCTCCCTGGATATGTCCTGCAGCAGATCTTGGACCTCTCGAGCGTTTTTATCCGCGCTCATGATCGCGTCCTCGCGAGGTGACGCGGTCATATATGACGCCATAGCCATGAATCCAAAGACACATCCTCTGGCACAAACCGCACTGGGAGAAATATCCGATAGCTGCTCCTCATACGCTGCGCGGATCGTATGCTCAAAGCACGGAGGGTTGACGAGCGGAAATAGCTGCCCATGGATGGATTTCTGGTAAGCCTCGAGAAGCTGGCGGAGGACCTTCTTATCGGGCAGCTCAACAAGTTTCCTATTTCCGTACTCCTCTTTCGTTTCAGTGGGCGGCCAAACATGCGGCGCGCCGGCGCTATACCAACCTATAGAGGCGCCGTCCCCTGTGCGGTCTTTGATCCAGCTTAATCCAGCTGAAGAGAAGAACGGCAGTCCGTTGAAGCCGCAGATGTTCCCTAAAGATTGGCTTTCAAAACACAAATCGCTGCCGATTGCTTGTGGTACCACTGGTATAACACCGGGAGGAGTGTAAAAAACCTCAGGAGTACTATCATTCCCCGATCCTACATGGTGTCAGCGCAGCATGTTATATAACGATATCTGCAGACCTTTTTTAACGGGAGGACTTGTCTCTGATAGCGGGGTGTTTGAGGTCTCCCTACGCCAACGTTAGTACCATGGGTCAAGCGGGGCAGCCTCGAAAAGGGCTGAGACCAATCTACCCGTGACCGCAGGACATACTTCAATTTCTGTTCCTGGACCTTGCGCGAGCCCAGGCTTACGGCCTCCTTGTTGCGCGTATAGGTACAGGGGACGCTGTGATGGCGGCACCAATCACACCTAGGATGTGTGCCATCGCACTTGATCTAAAGACAAACATTAGCATTCCGAGCCAGCAGAATCTGCATATCCGATACGGAAAATGGCGGTAAGATGGGCGTTCGGCACTTTTTTCCTGTAACACGAGTCGCATGCATAGAGGCGGCGCCGTCGCCTAATGCGACGCTCGGGCTCGGTTCTGCTATAAGGCATTTCCCCTCAATCTCGACCTTCATTAGTTAAGTGCCGGGTTTGACCTTGGGCATTGTCTGCTGAAATTATGTCCGCTTGACTTGGAAATTGTCGAGCGGGAGGCTGGTAGAGCAGTGTCTGGTTGGCGGTTCGCCACGGCTCGGAGACTGCCCGGCAGACAGCCGCTGAGTAAGCGGCTTGTTTTCAAGATGCTGACGATCTGTAGTAATCTATAATAGGGCCAGTACTTTTGACTAAATTTTAGGGGGCTTAATCCGAGTGGCGACATTAGTGGGCCCTTGCAAGCCTAGCGGGGCGTTGATCGATGATCGAGCGGGCAGCGCTAATCGTTCTGAGAAGATGCCAGATCATGAGGAAACTGTTGAGATAGGTAGTTCTAATGTTCTTGTTGAAGTGTACTATCAAAGGTGGGAACCCCGATTTAAATGTCCATTGCTAGTTTTGCCATAAGCTTTGACCACCACGATACTCAACACTCCCACTCGATGGCCACCATCACCAATGGTGTCAGTGACTATGTGATCGCGGATGTGACGGGTCCCATTAAAACCTTCAAAAACTTTAAGCTGTTGACTATACGATAACAGCACTGTTTTCCCATATCGTCACCGGTAATTGGACAATAAGAGAATAGCTCCTGGCCCTAGATATAGAAGATCTCACTACAAAGAGAATGTAAGCTTAGATACTCGTTAAATAGGGCAATCCGATTCCGTTGTGTAGTCCTACGTTGTGTTGTTGCCGTACTATGTAGCTTGATATTTATATTATTCTATGTTGCTCTCCCGTCCTATCAACTAACTCTGCTATTGCAGGGTACATGTCTAATCCTTTATAAGCTGCTTTCATTCCTCTGCGCATACGTATGTATATATATTTTTACGTCGCTGGCTTTTTCCTGCCAACATACTATCATATTACCTGTCCTATTTTATGGCTACGCCTTCCTTCTTCCTTTATGCTATGTGGCAGAATATCCAGAGGTCATAAGGGTTCAATCCCATTTTATGGCTCAACTCTATTTAGACGCGACGCGTCTGAGACTGGGACGCGTGCCCCTACCTCTTCTTCGTTGACAGTGAAGCTCTTCCAGAAACTAACCAACTCCACATATTACTCTTCAACCCTGGTTCTACAGAATTACTGGGTCTATATCGACAGTGAGCTGTGATCAGCAAGTTGTATTCATTCATACTGCACCAGTGGCCCGGTGTATCCAACACAAAATGCGTACCCGGCAGAAATGCCTCAACTACCGAGTTTTGAATGACGAGAGTGATGGAGAGTCTTTGCCCGAGGATCAGCCCGCCAATCAAGCGAATCAAGCGAGTCACCGAGCAATCTCACACGTGCTCTCCCAACCTGTCAAAAAGACGCGGTGATCCTCGCCAACATACCAGATTGCGAACTCCTACCTTCCGAGTCTGTGTCGCAAGTGCTAGTATCCCAAGAGAGCTCAACAGATGCCGGTACTTCAATCACAAGCCACGTATCCTCTCGATGGTGCAAACGGCCAGCGCCGGCTACGGAGTGGATCTGGGGGTACTTCGAGACTACAGTCGTTGACTGTCCATGGGTGATCAAGAGGACCAACAAGAGGAGGCTGGTCGACCGAGAGATTTGCTGTACGCATGTAGATGAGAAAACAGGAACGCGCTGTGACTGGCATACGTCAGATTCCCAGAGGCAAAATACAACCAGCAACATGAAAACCCACTTGGCAAAGCATGACATTTACTGCCCGACCTCCAGTATAGAGCCACCGAAGAAAGGTCCAGACATTCGGATTTTCATGGGGGGAAAACAGAGTCTCACCCATCAAGAGGTCTTGGCAAGGAATGCCATTCGCTGGATCGTGGCTGATAAGAAAGCCTTTACCACCGTTGAGTCTCCAGAGTTTCAGCAATTGTTCCGAGACATTCCTGGTATTGAGCCTCCTTTCACGTCTCGCCACACCTTGCGGGATCGAATCATGCAAGGGTTCGGCATACAGCGCAAGAACCTGAAAAATGAGCTGGCTTTGACTTGCAAAACCATTGCCTTATCACTGGACATCTGGACAAGCCAGAATCATCTTCCTATTTTAGGGGTAATTGGTCATTGGCTTACTGACGAATTTGAGTACCGCGAGAGATTACTCGAGTTCGCCGAACTCCAGGGCATTCACAGCGGCGAAAATCTGTCAATTGCAGTGGAAAATATGCTAATCGAGTTGGGTCTCGAGGACAAGCTCATTTCCATTACAGGCGACAACGCCAGTAACAATGAGGCCATGGCTTCGGAGTTATTCTTCTCTCTTTCCGACCGACCTGGGGTGAAAGAAGCAATGCCAGCACCACTCAATCGAGGCCTTGACAGTTACATCCGCTGCCTGGCTCATGTCCTTAATCTGATTGTGAAAGATATCCTCCGTAACCTAGGGTCAGGGACGATGAAACAAGCGCAAGTTGCCTGTGACTGTTTACAGACTGGCAACTCGATCACCGATCACTCAGCTATAGGGAGATTACGGGTCCTCGCTCTTTGGATTAACCGAAGTCCTCAGCGCCGACAGAAATGGAAGGAGATTTGCGGACTCAACTGTCTTCCAGACAAATTCGTTGCGTACGATGTAACGACACGATGGAACTCAACATTTCGTATAGTCAATGATGGCTTGAAGTCAAGGCAACAAGTCAACAAGTCCCTAAACCTTCAGGAGGAACTCCCGCCGTTTACTCTCCAAGATTGGTTATGGCTGGAACAGATCCACACATTACTCCACAAGTTCAACGAGCTTACTTTGTTCATTTCGGAGGGAAATCCACAAATTAGCCGCGCAGTCCCGATTTACTATGAGCTACACGAATTACTTGACGACGTGACGGAGGGCAATGGTGACTTCGCGAATCTGGATCGAGATATCATAGCTGCAGTGAAAGAAGGGATGAAGAAATACGAAAATTACGAGAACTTCAAGATGGCAATGCAGGGAAAATGATCCTGGAAACGATCCGCACCAATCTGCATCAGGTATACGCGGCTAGTAACCCAGAGCATGATGCCGCTGCATCACAGTCGATATCTCTGAAGCATAGTGACGTGGAGTCTAGAATGCTGAAAAAGTTGCAGGCGCGAGATCCACCGCTTGATATTGATAAGTACTTCGACACCCCTCCAATCACAGTCACAGACATAACCGACCAGAACTGGCTCTGTAATTGGTGGAAGATGCACAAGGACGAGTATCCGCGGATGGCAGCAGCAGCCACGGACTATCTAGCGATTCCTGCTTCCGAAGTTGGTGTTGAGAGAGTGCACAGCGAGGGATGTGCTAGGCATCCGGAGATATTCTTTGAAAGGGGATACTTCAAGAATGCTGATGTTGTTTCGCGATGGGTATAAGTGGTAGCGGTCAAGTGATTTGGTTATGTTGTAGTTCAAAAGAAAGATTGATTGTTATTGTACCAGAGGGATTGACTGAAGCTATATATACAACGAGAAGGTCAAGTTGATTGAAAATCAACTTGGTTCTTCGTATAGACAATGCGGGAATTAGTTCCTATGGTGCGGCTTGATTCCTGGCCTGCACCAGCTTCATATCACAACAGGTTAAATTATGCCATCGCGATATTCCGGTTCTGCATCCATAGAGTGTCGTATAAGACTGCTGTTTGTCGAAAGCCCGTTCGCTCTCTAGATCCTTCAAAGGTAAAATGTGCCGATACGATATGACGATATCGTGAGTGGTGATATCGTCAAATTTGAAGCCCGCCGATATCGTACCGGCAATCGGCATCGACAAATTCAAAAGCAGCCGATATCGCATCGTCTGTCGATATCGTATCGGCAATATCGGTATATCGGCAATATCGTCAACAGCCCTATTTATTACATATAGTATGATTCCATGGAACAAATTTGAAGGGAGATTAGTGAATAACCATAACCGGTTCCTATGTGGGGGGTGGGAAAGTCAGTGGGGACTGAGGACCCCTATAAAGCAGTGGATGCAGTATCTCGCGCACCAGCGACAGTTTATAAATTTTTGGATTCACCAGCTCTATGATCCCCTGCTTGAATGCCGATATATCTGACGGTCTATCCCTCTCCTACATTGCGATCTCCTACCTCATCTTCTGATCACACGGAGAGTTCAACATCGCCCCTACCTACGAAATCGGAAACAAGAAGACTACCGTATTTCCTACGATTTTGTTCAAAGCAAAGGCGACATCAGAGTATACACAGCTATATCAAGGAGCCCCGAGGGCCAAAAGAATTTGCATCAGCATGACTAGGCCCCTTAGTGCTAGGGCTGTTCCCGATATCGGATTTTACCGATAACTCCGATACAAACCTGTACCGATATTATCGGTCGTTAATTATCGTTATATATTTCGCAAATTCCAGACAACCATCGCTTACTGGTTAAGCAATAAGAGACTGACTATATACTAATATCCGGCCATTTATTTAAGAAGAAGGTAATTATATCTTATAAATCGATGGCATGAGCAATAAAACCTATAGCGTTGTACTGTTTTACGAGAAGAGGCGTATCTTGAAAATTAGGTTAAAGAGCTTGGAAAACTGTATAAGTATCACCTGATAGGGTAGAATCGGTTAATGAGACGACAGCTATGCTAGTGCGGTTTCTTGCGGTTGTCCATGGATAACCGTGGTTAAACCGCAAATCTGCGGTTGTGGTTTTTGACTATGATACCCAAGACCACGGTTTTGCCGCAGCCTAGTCGCCCTCCACGATAAGTTCTAATAATCAAAAACTTTTTATTATCCTCAATGAAATGGCGTAAAGTCTAATAGTAACTGATATGTACATAGTGTAGCTTCAATAGTAATTCTGAGTCTGTTATGATAGTATCGACGACAGAAACATGAGTTTAAACGGAAATTTACAAGCAGAGAGACGAAATCATCATTATTGATGGGAAAATTCACTGGCTGGTTCTGAAAGCCTTTGACGGCACAAAGCGTGCAAACTTGAGCTTCATACCGTCTATGCGCCAGCTCTTAACACGAAAAAGGTAATAGAGCAGCGTAGTCATGAAGATATTAAAAGCAATGAATGCCCAAACGATGCCAAAGTTACGCCATCTCTGGTCATAAAAGATACCCGAAGTCGCAAGATACTGATCCGCAACAGTGAGAGCACAGTACTCACAGCCCGAAGTAGCGTTCTTGTTGAGGACCTGTCCTCCAGCCTGGATGGCATAATCTTTGAGATAGTCCCAGCAAGTCTGCCCAGAAGGCGGATCGAAAACGGAGAGCTCTGCCGAAGAGCACACGACCTGACGCCCGTGAACTTGGGTAGAGACCATGGCTCCAGTCCAGTAAGTGAATGGAGAGACGCGGTACATAAAAATCCAGAAACCCGGTAAAGCGGCAGGCGGCTGCATGACTCCGCAGAAGGTAAGGGACATGGCGAAAAGAAGGACGACGATGGCACCTGCAGTTTGGGCATCGGGCAAAGCTGCAATAACCATCTGTGCAAATGTGCTGGCGTAAATAAAAAATTGGATGCAAAGTAGAAGGACGGTAACCTGGCTCACTGAGCTTGGGATGCCGACAACGGCGTAAAAGTAACAGACGTAGATGAGAACCCCTGTAATAATCATATATGGTATCTCGACGATGACATTGGCGAATAGAAAGGCTTTCCAGGAGTATGCCTTGCTGGGTCGTTCTCGGACCTCATAGAGCGATCGCTGGGTCACGAAGAGGGGCATCAACTGGAGAGTAGGTTAGCAGATGTTTACTAAGGCGGTATTGGGAGCACGAGCAACGAACCTGTTGAACCAGAGAAGTGAAAATCGTGCAAAGCATGAAAACAGAGTAGATGATAGTCTGCATGCCCTGAAATGATGTTTTGGCCTGATAGAAAGAAAATCCAATGAAGAGACCAGCAGCAATACCAAGTCCCCATTTAGACATGATATAAGAAGGCATGCGCCAATATTGCTGGAACACGCGATAGCTGACCTGCCACAGTTGGAACCAGAATGGCATAGCGAATTCAAACTGACGAACGCTGGCATCGTCAGTAGTAGTCGCCCCTTGGCGCTCTTTGTGAATGCGATCAATCTCGGTTTGGACAGCGTTGCTCTCTTGGCTCTTCTTCCAAACCTCAAACCAGTCTTCGCCTCGTGAATTGTTCGCTTTGTTCACGACGTCGAGCATATATTCCGCCGGGTTCTCGCTACTTCCACATGTTCGTGCGCCATTAGACTCGAAGTAATCCAGCAAGGTGCGGGATTGTTCGCCAATTGGTCCAAAGTAAACGGTCTTTCCACCACGTGCTAGGAAGATCAGTTGGTCAAACTCCTGGAACAGAATAGCCGAAGGCTGGTGGATTGTGCACAAGATAGCTTGTCCGTGTGAAGCCAAGCGGCGGAGGAAAGAGCAGATTGCCCAAGAACTCTGGGAGTCAAGACCACTGCTCCAAAATCAGTATTGGCAGACGAAGACCAAATTTGGGGTCACATACCTCGTGGGCTCATCCAAGAAGAGAAGAAGTTTTGGTTTCGCAGCCAATTCCACTCCAATAGTCAAGAGCTTTCTTTGCTCGACATTCAAACCCTCCCCAGGCACACCAACAATTGCTTCAGCAAATTCCTCCATCTGAAGCATTCGAATGACATCTTCCACATATGCATACTTTTCTTTGACGGTGACACTAGCTGGTTGACGCAAAAGAGCACTGAACTGCAAAGACTCGCGAACTGTAGCAGTTTCAAGGTGAAGATCCTGCTGCTGAACATAGCCCGTCTTGCGCTGGAAACTAGCATCAAGGCTATTTCCATTGACAAACATATTTCCAGTCACAACACCAACGGAAGTTCGATGAGCCAGGACATCCAAAAGGGTAGTTTTGCCTGCTCCACTGACTCCCATCAACGCAGTGAGTGTTCCGGGCTTCACCCATCCAGAAACATGATCCAGAAGCTTTCGAGACTCGCCCTTAATTTCAATGTCGTAAGAAACATCACGCCAGGTGAAGACATCAGTCTGTGCTTGAATAGCACCCATACCGCTATCGCTTTTTTCATCCGATGTGCATCGCCCCACGGGCGCATCTTCGGTGCGTTCCACATCAGAATCAGACTTCACGCGACCCCAACGCATGTTTGCGGGTTCATAGCCACGTCGGAAAACCAATTTGTCAGCAGTGCTCGTGGTAGAAGAGTTCAATTCACAGGCCACAAAATAAATGGCCATAAAGCCGATCAAGAAGGCAACGAGGATGCCAAAGTTTCTCCAGACATGGCTAAAGCTATACCGGTAATTCTCCCAGATATAGCGATCGCCATTGACCGTCAAGTTGCCTGCCAAGGAGCCCGTGGTAGCGCAAGAAAAAGACTTGCCAGTCCTATCCGCATATGAAGGGACAAACGCCGAGCATGGGAAATCCCGTCCATGGAACTCGTTGGCGATCAAGATCTCAAAGGCGTAATATATAGGGTTCAGGTAGTGGATCCATTCAAACCAGGGATGCATGGACGGGCGCGGCAAGACAAAGCCCGTATAGACGATCAGAGCGAGAATCGTGACTCCGGCCAAAGCCATCGCTTGAGACACAGTCTTTGTGACAGCAGCCAGAGTCCTGAAGACGGCAGACATGACGAACATAATGGTAAAGGTGATCAGAAAGTAGAGGAAAAAGTTTCCAGGTTCTCGCTGCAGGCCGGAAAGGAAATAGAGGATGATGTTGAAAGCCACTGCAAGAGCGAATTTGACAGGCACATCGGTAAGAACACCGGCAATGGCTTCTGTGAACGGATGGTAGAACGCATATGAATTATGCTTTTCTACGATCGGCCGTTGAGAATAGAGTGCGTTGATTTCAGACATGGCAGTCAGGGCGTTCAGAAGAACCGCAAAGAAGAGAGTAGCTCCTTTTTCCTGAAAGCCCGCGGTGGTAGCCGGAGCGTCATAGAATACTGATCCGATGATCAAAGCCATGATGATATTGCTAACAACAGTCGAAACGGTCGCAGCAGCATCATTCCACAGTCCTTGGTAGGCACGTCTTGTGCTGAGTTTGATTTGCATCGGGACACTGATGATATAAGGTGACTTTGGTCGAGTGTGCTTGGCTTGGTTGTCACGCTTCCTTTCCTGGAACTCCACTGCAGCAGCGGAATCCTGCTCGACGGGATATTGCGCTTCGTATGCACCAATCTCGGCTTGCAACCTGTCGTGCTCGACAGAATTGAGCCACGCGTTCTCAAAATCCTCAGCTGTGCGAGGCACACGGCTTTCCATCGTCAGCTTGGCCTTACGTTCTCCAGGGTTGGTCACCGAAGTGAGAAAATCTCCGGTGGTCTGTCGCGGTGGGCAATGCCAGCCTTGATTTTCAAAGTATAATTTGGCAGCGGCAGCGGAGCCAAAGAAAACCATTCGTCCTTCATATAGAACAATCACTTTATCAAAGACATCATAGATGCTTTGACTGGCCTGGTAGGCAGCCACGGCGTGAGAGGATTCGGTCAGGTCCGAAAACAAGCGGAGTGACTCGACAAACTTCAAAGCGGTCGCAGAGTCCAATCCACGCGTGGAATTATCCCAAGCGCCTAGAGGAGAGGCAGCAAGTGCCATCTCGGCAATGCTAACTCTTTTTCGTTCACCACCAGATACTCCACGAATGAAGTCATTTCCGACGCGAGTATTATAGGTATGACTCAGACCAAAGACTGCCATGATCACCTGTGCCATGTAGCGAGCATGTTCATTGCGGGCCATGCCCTCGAGACGGTGGGAAGGTGTTCGCGTAGCGGCGGCAAATTCCAAAGTCTGTCCGACTGTAAGGTGGGGAAAATGTCGGTCAACCTGTAGAGCAGAAATTGTTAGCTCTTTCACGTCTCATGATATTTGACGTACCTCTTGGTTGTATACAACCTCGCCCTTAAACTCTTTGACCATACGCGACTGGGGAATTCCTTCGATTTCTTGTTAGCGGAAACAAAGGTGAAAATAAGAAGGACTACTAACCATTGTAATTAATCACACTGTTCGAATCAAGCTCCATGCCATGAGTCTCTCCGCAAAGGGATTTTAAAAACGTACTGCATCCCGCACCGGGCCGACCCAGCACGAGGAGCAATTCACCTTTCTTGAGAAGACCAGAGAAGTCTTTGATAATCCGCCTCTTTGGGACATGGGATTTACGGATTGTCTGTAGTAATCGAAGGGGCGAAATCAGCAGCGACGACACAGTCTCCTGGAATTGCAGAGCAGCGCCGGATCCATAGACATTCAAATTCTTGAAAACAATGCCCATATTATGTCCCTTTCGACCATCCCTGCCAGCATCGGTCATGACAATAGTCAGCCATTTTTGCAAGTTGAACTTCGGAGACTGAGGATTGAGTGAGGGATCATGTTCGGCAACGGATCCAAGACGATGAGGGAAAATAACAGATTGTCGACGTGATTGCTCTGTTGCAATCCGAGTGAGAGTTTCGATTTCGTTTTGTTCGATAAAAGAAACGGATTCGTAAAGGGGTCCTTCACTTTCTGAAGACACAGTGTCTTCTGCGAGTGTATCATGTGTATCCGAAGACATGATTCCCAGATAGGCACAATTGAATGCCGATCCTGATAGGAATTAAAAGGATTAATGTTAATGTTTGAACTAAAGAATAGATGGCAAGTCGGATGAGAAATCACTTAAATACCCGTAGACTAGCTTTTTATGTTCTCGCAATAAACTTAAAAAACTTAAAGTAGTCTATTCAGTCATATTACTAGACCTCGACATGGTCCGGTTCCGGTTCCATGTAGACCTGGCACTAACCCGCGGGTAACCCTCATAACCCTGCACCTAACCTTCCGCTTGGGCGGGTCAGGTTCTAAGATTCCGACCCTCAGGTGCGGTGGCCTAAGGGTCGACCCTCAAGAGGGTAACCCGCGGGTAAACCTGAGGTGCGACAAACATGACAAACAACTAAAAAACGTCACTCGGGGTCAATTGCATAAATTATGTAGAAACCTGCCGTTTTCTCTTGTAATTGTAAACTAAAACTTCATTACTGTATGGTCTTACAGGAGCATTTAGTGTATGTCATAGGTTTATCTTCGAATTGGTTATAGGGTTTTGAATGATTGATTATTTACATGATCATTAGATTTAAATACAGGGTTCTCAAGTCTCAAACTATTAAACTATGTACCCATCCAGAAGTCTTGACCTTTTCCGCATCCTACCTGATACACGATGCTGCGTATCATGTAAAGGTGATACCGAGTTCTCTTCTGGATCCGCAAATTCATCGGCGTTAGAGTCTTCTTCATTATCAAAAGTGGCCGCCGGCCGCTTTCCAGCGGCGACCTCTGAGAGTGGTGGTGCGGCCGGTGTATCAAGGTGCAACTCGATGTCTTCCTCAGTATCACTGATAGCCTCGGAGCAATGTGTCTCGATGTCGAGTTCTTCAGACGTAGCGGCGATCTCTTGCTCTGAAAGATACTCCTGGAGGATCAGCCGCTGCTCCTCCTTGATATCGAACCTTGTTGTGCACAAATATAACATGATATCGCGAACAGTTTCTGGGTTCAACGAACCCCGGCGGTAGTGGCAAACGTCACGAGCAGAGTTGAAAAGACGCTCAACTCCGGCACCAGTCGCTGGAATAGACATCACATCACGGGTAATGCTTGCAAGAATAGGGAAATCCTTCTCATGATTTCTCCAGAAGATCCGAGCAGATTCATCGATAGTGTCTAAGAAGGTCAGTTGGATAATTCATTTAGTAGGTTTACCCACTTACTACTCTGAAGATATCTAGTAAGCTCATCGTGCTGCGGACCGGTTGATGACTTCGATAGATCGCGCATACAAGCCCTCTCAAGGGCTGATTTGGTTGTTGATAGCCTACTATCAGACTGTGTCATATGTGATGGTATACGTCGGCTATATCTCTCGAAAAGAGACTGGAGGCTCTCACGGTATTCCTTTTTATAGTTCTTTCCTGTGTGATCCGGGGCCCAATCACTTGCTGAAAAGAACTCCATCTTGTTCGACGGATCCAAGATCGTTCCAATTGCATAGAGATCACCGTCGACATCATCTGTCATACCGTAGTATTTCGAGAGTTTTTGTTTCGCAGCCCCAAGGGAGGAAAGCATTAGCTGCTTCCAGGAAACTCTCTTTCGACGAAGCTGACGTATAGATCTTTCAAGATGATCAAAGAGCCTATTATAAATACTAAAGACAAGATGAATACTCGAGTCTTTAGTTTGACAAACAAGCGTAGTGAACGTGAAGAAGGGCTGAAGGATGTAAAGTAGATAGTCAATCTGGCGCCATCCCTCTGCACTTAATGCAAAATGGGGTTGATCATGGTGCGAACAGTACTCGTCGAATGTAATATGAAGCCTTTTTGCTCGTCGGAGCATAAGAAACGTTGAATTCCATCGCGTACGAACGTCCTGGATTGGGACCAGCTTTTGCCCATTGGACTGGAGATTCAGGAAGGCTTCCTTACGTTGAGGGCTTCCGTTAATATAAACTGCAAGACCTCGAACCTATAAGGATGGTTAGTGATTTGTATAAGACACTTAGTCAAAAGCCTACCTTATTTAGAGTATCGGCGATCTCATGTTTCTGCTGGCGCGCACGAAGTAAACGTACACGATCATCAGACCATACTGATTCGGTAGTGTCGTTCTTTGGTGAAGCCTTGATTTTACCAAGTAAATCAATCAGACTTAGTTGAATGACAAGTGCAAGGCAGGGCACTTGAATAATCGTAGAATCTGTATTTAGCTGTAGTTCGCGGATTGAATCATTCACCGCTGTGATAAGTGTCTTGTTATTAGACGCATTATCAGTTGTTACCGCTAGTACACGATCGCTGATTTGGTGCTTTTGTAGAATCTGGAGAACAACCTCACCGAGGTTCATGCCAGAATGAGTTCCAGCAAGGGGCTCAAACCCAAGGAGGACCTCGCGATACTCCCATTCCTGGTCTATGAAATATCCTGTTATAGCCATAAATGCATCCTGGAATGGTGAAGTCCAACAGTCAAGCGCAAGTGATAGTTTTGCACTAGATGGGAGCCGTTTTAGTGTGTCTTGTTGATACTCTATAACGAAACTCCGGAGGCGCTCGCGAATTGCCTTTCTCGACGGGACGCTTGGTGGTGTGGGTGCTAGCCGTGCGTAGGAAAGGAGGTCATGGAATTCTTGATGCTCGAGGAATCGGAAGGGTAATTGCGATGTAGTGATGAGATTAAGAATCTTCTGCTCCCATGTTCGTTGGGTAAAGGTAGACACAGGTCTTCTCTCAGCCTAAGGGAGAGTGAATTAAGTATTAGTATCAACGTTAATCTAGGCTAGTTCGAACATACCGCGTCACTAAGTAGTTGATGGATACTACCAGTACCCTTCTTCGGTAGTCGCTGTCGGCACCTTGGTCCATCAAGATGTTTCTGAATCGTTGACGTTCCAGTATGGTTCGTAGCTGGATGCGCAAGAACTGTACGGCAGTGATTGCATATAACCCCTGGCTTTCCATCTTTGGCATTTGCAACTTGCTGAAACCCTTCCCAGCACTTTGCACGACGGCTTCTAGGGCTTATATCCCAGTTAATCCGCTTCGATTTTCCGTAGTTAGTTTGAAGCCACCACTGAACGAATTCTGTAGACATCGCTGGTGTACAGATGATGAACTCGTTAATACGGTCGGGCTTGATTCGCGGAAGGGTATCTAGGGCCTGAGATGCCGCACGAATTTAAACTCGATTATTCGGAAGTTCAAGGGCTGAATCAAACTGGATCTCGGATTGGAAGTGACTCTGGCTTTCGCGTTGGGAGAGGGAATCGTCAGGGAGGAGGAATTGGAGCGCGTCTAGTGGTACCCCGTCTGTAGTTTGGAAGCTAGACGATGGATAGACTTCGGAGAGCTGAGACATAATGGATTTAGTAAACCAGAAGATAGTATATCAACTGAGGATGAAGATGATAGAGAACTTACTAATTTGTTTATACGAAAAGATGTTCAATGTTCTTGGGGTATCTGTTTGACCCTGTTGTATATGCTAGAATTGATGTATCGTTCTTTGTATCTCTTCGTATCCACCTATGGAGATCTTATTCGCTAGTATAGTAGATAACCCGAGAGTTAACCCTCCCCGCACCTCAATACACCTCAAAGAGACCCTCAATTACCCCTGAACGCACCTCAATGCACCTCAATGCACCTCAATACACCTCAAAGAGACCCTCAGTTTAAGAAAACATGTCGAACTGAGGGGTGGTATTTTACCACTAAGGACAGGGTTATTCATCAAGTACCCATTTGTCGAACTGAGGGGTGGTATTTTACCACTAAGAACAGGGATATTCATCAAGTACCCATTCTATCTCTGTCTCTGTATGGTAAATGGGGTACGCTCGGCATACCAGCGTCGTAACACGCTAGGAACGACTCCTGAGATCTGATAACGCTTCAACAGCAAGATCCAGATAGAACAACATCAATGCATCTCAATGGGACACCTCAATACTAGCACATACCAGTATCTGTCAATCCGACACCATTCTCTCTTTGTCTCTGTATGGTAAACGGGGTACGTTCGGCATACCAGCGTCGTAACACGCTAGGAACGACTCCTGAGATCTGATAATGCTTCAACAGCAAGACCCAGATAGAACAACATCAATGCATCTCAATGGGACACCTCAATACTAGCACATACCAGTATCTGTCAATCCGACAAAACATTAAACAGGTATGGAGACCGTTTTTGGGCCCAAAAAACGAAGTCATCATATCACGTGACCATGTGACATTCACCAGAATGTCTAAGTCCAACAATCAGCATATTTAAACCGAATTTACGACCTAATCATATCATTTGACCTGAATTCTTGATAGCAATTTGATAGAAGAAGACTTAGCGGTTTCAATGGTATAAGAATGAGGGGATTTAAACTCTATATCTATAGCTTTCTTAAAAAATAGTAGTTCTAATCATGAAGATAAATATGCTTTACAGTCTCTGCGATATATATATCCACAACTTTACATGCTGTTTTGCCGGTGACCTTCATTGACCACCTACCGCATCAATATTATTGAATATTACTTGAAATTTATATATGACCATGCCTGCTGTTTACTTTTGTATGATTATTACTTCATAATTCATCATGTTGATAGAGTATTCGATGAAATTTCGACAGGTTGACGGAACAGCTGTAAAAAACAGAGATGAATCATCCATTTTATCCAGCCAAAAGAGGAAAAGCGTCGAAAAATTATGCAAATGCGGGTTCATGCGGGTCGATGAGGGTTACCCTCCAGCGAACCTCCCGACCCTCAGGGTCGGTTGAGGTGCGAAAGTCTGCACCTGCACCTCCTGAGGTGCGGTGCAGGTTCTGAAATTTCGCACCGCGGGGAGGTGCAAAGCCAGGTCTAGTTATCGCAGATGTAACGGGCCAGGGCCCGTATACATCACGTGCTGACCACGTGACTGGGCATATTTACACCGCTGCACGGCGACGTAGATCTTCTTTTCCTTAAGCTTTTGATAGACAGCATGACGGCTTAGCTAGTTTGAATCAAGACTTGCTTCGACCCATCACAAAAACAAGCGCACGAAAGCTCGAATAGCACATGAAGGAAGTCTACTTGTTGAAGAAGCTATATCGCGTTTTGATATAGAGAGAGGTCGAAGTAGCGACATCTGATCGTGCCGACCGGGCATCGCCGGTCGCTTTTCCGACCAATGAGAGGCGTCCACAGCGATGCAGTCTTTGTAAAACGCCTGGACATAAGAGAAATAGGTGCCCAGAGAGGTCTGAATAGCTTCAATATCATTCAAATTGCGTTGTGGTTGAAAAAATAGTAAAATAAGACTCGATAAACTGGGTGGGTGCGGCGTTCGGTTGCGTGCGGCGCTCGCTTACAGGTTACGTTAGATGTTCTGTCGACCAAAGAGGGTCGCAACTTTACTAGTGCGCCCGAGGAATATTCAGCGCCCCCATAAGCCGACTTCAACCATGGTTCGTAAGGCCCTCAACGACCTTACTAAGCCCACATGCCATTTATTCTGTATTTTCTATAGTATCTAAAAATGACACTCTCAAGTACTCAATTGGCTATGCCCGTACTAGTCCGTACTGTAACGACCACGTTCCGACATGTTCTACCGGCAAAGTATGTAGGTCTGGCCTACCTAAGTATGTCGGTTAAAGTGGAGAAGAATCTTACTAGTGTAGTCTATTTCATTCAACACCCACTGCTCCCTGATTCCCAAGGCATCAACTGCTGAATCAGCTTGAAAGAGCCCCTTAAAATTTGCATGACTGTATGTACTGTATGGGTCCGATTCGGCGATAATTTTGGAACACTTTTTTGGATTTCACGATGATTGGATCATTTCGCCGAGACATAATCCGTGTGTGTCTGCAATGCTAATAATGCAGGGTATATAGTACTATGTAGATCAAAAGGTAGGAGGAGTACGGTGATCGTTCCATAGATGAGACTCATAAATATAGACGAGTTTGCTTAATGCACGTTACAAATGTATTTACCAATTTATGTTAACCATGCCAGTGACATAATAGCGGGTGTTGAAGCGGTGTGGGTAAGCGCAGCGGGACTATTTTTCACAGGATATTATCAGGCAGCGGGTTTGCTCATGCCTTTTCGGTGTGGAGATATATTTGCGGGATATTCTAGATGGGGAAATCATTTTGCGAGACGTTGATAGACCGCGGAGACGGTTGTGACAGTCTTCAGTTGACAGGTTGAACATGTCAAGAATTCCTCGCAACTATCATCTTAGTTCACGTAGTTCTGTGTCGACCTGAGAATTCGGGATATTGACTAGTACTCGACATGCCCAATGGGAGTTGTGTCGATTGAAGTGCGAGGATCCAATACAATACCGTGGGAAATGGGGGAAAGTCCTGATAGGGGCACCACCGGTCTTACTCTGGAATTTCCAATAGATAGTAGCTCAAACAGATCAGATCCCAGACACTGCGAGACCTCGAGCATCCGCCGGTCTGGTTTTACCACCCTCTCATATGCAAATGGCCGTCTAGGGGCTTGTTATACTCAATGTGCGATCTCTCATATAGCAGCAAACGATCTCGTCACATCCGAGCACGAAGCGAAGCGCACACTGTCTTTCTTCGAAGCATTAATCTAGACGATAACTAGATCTGGTAAAAATTTTTTTTCTTTGAGGTCAGGACATCGTAGTGTCGAAAGTGTTCCTTCATTAGCTTATATGGATTTTTTCATAATATTGTCTGTTTGAACACAATTACCCATCTTGAATTCATGCTGTCCAACTTTGAGGAATCCCATCCTTTCGTAGACTTTCTGGGCTTTGAAATTGCTCTCCCAAACACCTAACCACAATGTTTTGAAACCTTTTTGTCTAGCCATTTCTTCGACCGTCTGAATCAAATATTTGCCAATTCTCAAACCATGATAGTCTTCATGGATATAGAGCCGTTGCAGTTCGACAGGTTGCATTTCGGACGCGATGCAATCTTCAAGGGTGCCTTCGGTTAACTGCGCAAAGCCAACAACTTTACGTTGACTGTCGCAGGCCACAATGAAATGCTTTGATCGGTCGGACAACTCTTCAGCAATTCGAGAAAAGCTGTAAGCTTCTGTGAGATACGAATTGAGATCTTCGGCATCGAGTGAATGGCCGAAGGTTTGAGAATAAACCTGAGATCCGAGGGTCGAAATAGCCTGCGCGTCTTTCGCTCCTTGTGCGCTGCGTATTTTGAAATTGGCTAGCCCAAAATTTACGCACATTTTTACATCCAACAAGGTTATGTTCGGGGATGTTCAATGTTGAGAGTGCTGTGCAAGCTTGAGTCAATTCCTCACAAGTGCGTTGGCCGGGTAAGAAGTCATCCTGCTCATTCAAGAAGATTAGGCTCTACACAAAGATAAAAGATCAGGCGTAACTTACCAACGCAGAGGTATTGCATTCATTAAGCAGTTGAAGGCTTGTGGATAGAAATTCAAGCTTGCGCTAACTAGTTATATGTTGGAAAGGTGAGAAATCACCACGCCCGCGATACGACTGATGAGTCATAACTACAAAGCGGTGAGCCGAGTGCTGCCCTCAAAAGCTGAAAATGCCGGGCCCCCGCTGGAAAGCGCCGACTTCGCTTATCAGGCGTCGGAGGTGTCGGTCCTGTATCACCGAACAACATTTGGAGATCGACTAGCGCAGATCCATCTTGATCTTCCCCACGTCGCATAGAGCTTTATGACCTGCACTGTTTCTGCATGATATCAGTTTGCAGAAGGAGAAGTTGGCCCTTGGCCCAGCCCATCGGGATTTCGGGAAACGAGCCTATCAAGGAAGGGGCTTTAAAACTGCAGATCTTCGGTGTTGACACCGAATCAGAAGGCCACGATTTGGTGACTGGAGGAGAGTCGCGCCGATAACACCGAACTATGATTATATTAAATAGTGTCGGATTGACAGATACTGGTATGTGCTAGTATTGAGGTGTTTTATTGAGATGCATTGATTCGTGTTCTAGCTGGATCTTGCTGTTGAAGCTAGACCTCTTCAACTCCCACGGGACTAAATGGGAGTGCAATGGGACCAAACCTCGGTCCCATGGGCGGGACCAAGACCCTGTCGGACTCCCATGGGACTAAAGGAAATCCCCATGGGACTAAAGTGTCAGCAAAATCGTCTCACCTGTGCCTTGCATAACTTATACAGCTTTGACTGTTTCTTTCAGTATTAGGCTTACAGCCTACGGGCTATAACTGAATGAACGGGGTCCAAGCAAATAGTACAATAACATAATAATCTGGGTTAATTCTTCGTCCAACATTCACATATAATACGTAAAGTCCTCATCCTCTCGTCTTGGACGCTTCTGCCTACTAGATACTCGTGTCTGAGTACTACTTCTAGGCAGAGGCTGAGCATCGTCATCAAATTCCGCCTCATCACCACCCTCCTGGCCCTGCTCGGGAGTACACTGTCGTCTCTTTCCCAGTGCCCGTTGAGTTAAGGGTCGTGTCTGTAACTCAACAGAAGGCTCATCCGGAAACGATAGTGATTCATCCTCTTCGTCATCACTAATCGGATCAGGAATTTGTTGAGGAAGGTCAGCTTCTTGACGCTCGTCTGCCTCTTGCCTTTCTTCAGAGGTGAGAGCTACGTCTTCTAAAGTATCGTCTTCTTTATCCTGCTTGTCGAAGCATCGGAATATCATAATATCTTGGATTGTTGCGGCATTCAGTGATCCCCGGCGATAATGACAGACATCTCGAGCCGAGTTGAATACACGCTCGACGCCTGCACCAGTTGCAGGAATAGAGAAAATATCCCGTGCAACCCTTGCCAGTGTTGGAAATTCACGCTCGTGCTCTTTCCAGAAGGTTAGCGGAGCGATTTTCTTTTGGCCTACATCGCATGATAAGTAAAGACAGGTTGACAGAAAGGGTTTCGTGACGCTTACTTGTCCCAAGATACTCAGTCAATTCATCATTGGTATTTGTATTCTCTCGAGAGGAGACATCAAGCATATCCTCATCAAAAAGATCTTCCATATCATCTCTATTCGTTTGTGGGGGATGTTGGTGCGGCCGCTGTGCATCGGAAGTAGGCTTTTGGTAGGGTTCCATGAACTTTTGAAGGCATTCCTTGTATGTCTGACGAGACTCAGCGTCATCGCCATATTCTCCTCTGGAGAAGAACTGTAGCTTATGCTGTGGAGCAAGAATAGTACCGATTGCATAGAGATTTCCATGCACTTCCGCAGTTTTCCTATAGTAGAGCTTTAACTTCTCCCTTCCTGCTTCAAGGGCATGAAGTATTGCTTGTTTCCAAGGAACTTTCTTCTTCCAGAGTCGTCGCATTGACCCCTCGAGGTGATCAAAAAGCTGGTAGTAGACCCGAAAGACATTATGAACAGTGACCTCCTTCGTTTGAGAGAGACGAGTCGTGAATGTATAGAAGGGATGTGTGATGCAGAGAAGATAATCAACTTGTCGCCATTCCTCTACGTTGAGCTTGAATTGAGATTGCGTATGTAGCTCGCAGTATTTGTCAAACGTCGTAGAAAGGCGCTTTGCGCGTCGAAGCATAAGGAATGTTGAATTCCAACGAGTCCTAACATCTTGAAGAGGAACAAGCTTTGGATCATCTGGCTGAAGACTGAGAAAGGCCTCCCTTCGCTGAGGGCTAGCATTGACGAATACCGCAAATCCACGAATCTGGCTGATTGATTAGCAATATGTATATAAGTATGTAGGGGGAGGGGTTACCTTTGAAAGGGTATAAGTAATATCCTGTTCACCCCGACTGCTGCGAAGGGACTGTTTTTGAGAATCCGACCAGACCCTGCCTGGGTTGTCATTTTTTGGGTTGGCTTTGATCCGACCAAGAAGATCCCGAAGACTAAGCTGAATGACATGAGCTAAGCATGGTATCCGGACAATAAGTGCCTGATTAGGTAGCCTGAGTGACTGGATAGACTCCTGGATATTTTCAATCAAGGTGTTGTTGTTCGATGCGTTATCTGTTGTAATCGCTAGGACGCGATTGACAATATCGTACTTTTGAAGTAATTCCATCAGAATGGTGCTTAAATTTACACCAGAATGGGCACCATGGAGCGGCTCAAAGCCAAGCAGAGTCTCGCGATACTTCCAGTCTTTGTCGATAAAATAGCCAGTGATGGCCATAAAGGCTTGCTGAAACGGGGATGTCCTTATGGGCCAGAAACTGGAACGGAAGCGAAGATTTAGCAAGCAAGATCACTTGCTTACGTGCCCATTGTTCCTGAGTGAACACCCTCTTAGGCTGCTGAGGACTGAGCTGAGACTAGAGGTAATATTTTAGCCGTCGAGACTTGGAAGGATTCCTCATAGAACTCATACTGCAAACTCAAACGATTGTTGGATACCTTGCTGCTGAGACTGATCACTTGTGACTCTACGACATGAATTTGACCCGAGATGACTTTTCATGGAGTTTGTTCCATCCCCCTTCTCCTGCGGATGGGGAAGGACTTTGCCACATCTTCGACACATGACTTTTGCTTCTCCAGTAAGCTGATGAGCCACCTGGTCGAAATTATCCCAAACTTCCGAAGAATGTTTCGACTTCCAATTGATTCTCTTGCCATTGCCCTCCACGGTCGCATATTGTGTCTGAAGCCACCAAGCAATGAATTGCTCCTTTGACATATCGTTGTAAAGCACATAAATCTTTTTCCGATCGGGGCCAACCCGTCGGAGAGACTCAGGACCTGAAATCGGCTGGGGGACTTCAAACAGCGGAGCTGGTGTGTTCGTTTGATGTCTGTAGTTGAGATCGGGAGTGAATGACTGTATAGGGTCAGATGAAAGGTAAGGAAGGCTATCGAGATGTTCTTCGTAGCGGTTTGAAGGGCCAGCATCAGAAGACTGGCTACATTGATCCATGATACCGATCTCTGGGGGAGATAGCGAAGACTTACTTTGATTTCTCGCGAGGCATGATGTTATCTAGGCCACATTAGGCCAATTAAGCAAAATGACTATTTTCTCATGCTTGATGTATCACAAAGCTAGGCTCCAAAGATATGTCGCTGATTGGACGCAGCCCCTTAGTCCCATGGGGAATTCCCATTACTCCCACTACAATGCCCATTAGCTCCTACTGCAATCCCCACTAACCACACTTCATTCCCCACCAGTCCCATAGAAAATCCCCATCCTGTGGATTTGGGGGTCAGCCGCCTTCCCCAGCTGATTTCGTATGAAGTTTTCGTCCACCATGAGTTTTCTAGAGGGTTTGACCCAAGCCCTGGACAAAACTAAGGTGTGAGATTAAAGATACCCAACAATTAATAGCATCTACTAAAGAATAAAAGTAAACTTAGAGGCATAAAAATGAATGTTCCGCACTTCATGGTTGTTAAAGACATAGACCAACTATCCTCTAGTGAATATATATATTTTTATGGGAACACATAGCACGATTCGCGAATTTACTTTGAAAAGCCAAGGATATGTTTGAAACATCAAAATCCGAATTTCATATCTCTAGTAGGGAGAAACTATGTAAGTCCAAGGTAGTGTCAAATAATTTCATACGGGATCAAGATGAACAGTGTGAACCCTCAGATAGCTAGAACAGGTGTAAATAACAGTAATTTTGAATGAGTTGTCAGCGATTTTATCCATACCTTTTTGGTTATTTATGCAAAATCTAGGTCTCGGCGGGAAATTGGGGAATCCCCATGGGAGCATACCCCACTCCCATGGGAGGGACTGGAAATGCTAGGTACTCCCATGGGAGTGGGGTGCACTGGGATTTGGGACTAGGTCAAGTCTAGTCCCACGGGACTTGAAGAGGTCTAGTCACGAGCCTTAGCATGTTTGCATTGTTTATAACCCAAGTTGGGGGCCCGGACCCAGCACCGGGCCAGAAATCCTGACCCGGACCCAGTACTGGGTTGGGTGTACCACTATTACCTAAAGATAATATAAAGAATAATATAGAGAAATGAACCCGGCCCAGAACCCAACCCAGCCCGGGTTGGGCCCGGGTTGGGCCCGGGTTAAGCTGGGTGTTGGTTTATTAAGTGATGCTTCAATGATCATAATATTGAGGGGACTTAATTGTGTGTTGTATTGCTTAGATACAAGTGAAGTGAAAGGTAGGTCAATGTATGCAAGTGAATCCAGCCTCATTATCTCAGCAATCGGGATATTCCAACATCACCACCCTCTTCAATTCACCACCCTCTTCAATTCACCACCCTCTTCAATTCACCACCCTCTTCAATTCACCACCCTCTTCAATTCACCACCCTCTTCAATTCACCACCCTCTTCAATTCACCACCCTCTTCAATTCACCACCCTCCTTTAATGCCACAACACGTGATTGCACTCAGTACCTTGTGACTAGGCTGAAAAGAAACTGAAAAGAAACTGAAAAGAACAATAATACGAACCATTACAATTATCAATGTCATCCTGATATTCTCTAGGCCACAACAATGATCACTATGGGATTGCAAGATGATCACCATTAGGTGGCCCTGGCTCATGCGACAATGGTCACTTTTTAAGAAAACATTCCGTCAGCTGGGCCCAAGCAGCCTTCGATTCGCCTGCCGCTGGAAGTATTTTGGTGAATTGGATTAAACTGAGGATTTGGATTGATTATGATGACAGGTTGAAGCAAGATGAAACCTCCTTCTGGCTTTTGCATGAATTGAGTGGTTCCGGGGGGGCAGAATATTCATTACTGGCCTATCACAGCATGCGATGCAAGTAACTTCTTCATACTGCTCAAATCCGTTTATCTTCATCGTCGTTTTTACCTACATATCTCAGCCTTCAAAAAGATTTTGCGACTTATCTTCTCATTGTATTCCATTGCCAAGGATGCACGGCTGTTGTTCTGATACATCGAGTACTTTACAGTCGAGAAACAGAAATTCATCATCTTCGATGTGCGAATTCGATTGGTTTATTTTTCCATGCCTGATACGAACTGCCAAGCTCGATGAATGGGCTTCACTTAAAGTTCCGATGTACTGTACACCGAGACAAAGAAGCAAGCATTTGGTACTTATACCTCTTCAGTGGTCCCTCGTATAATCTTAGGGACCATTCGGTCCAACTTGAACCAGTATGAGAAAGTAAGCCTCGACATCATCAACTTTCGAAATTTGCTGCACTAACCCTGTATACCTCTGGACATCCTCTGCACTAACCACATTTTCTGTAGCTGTCTCAAAGCTAGCGAAGAATCTCTCGGTGAATGCCAAAATTGGCGTTCACCCTGGGTCTTCCACCTAGTTGAAGGCGTCCTTTCGTAGAAAGTGTGTGCCATCGAATAATTTCGTTATCGGGGTAATATTGGGAGCTGAAGATCCTTTCTCCAGCTTATAGCCGATTGGAACAGCCCCACGGTGAAAAGAAAACCTGAGGAGTCCATAAAAACGGAAATTTAGAAGGCATATCGCGGCAACTCACACAATGAAAGCTCAACGTGCCTCCGGTAAAGGGCTGGCACCTTACCAGCACGCTCATGCCTATCATGAATGGGACCCCCGCGGCGGAGTTTCTGGCGAGACTCAGTAAGTTTGTGTCACAGGTGTTGTCTTTCACTTGATCAATTGTAGGTCTGAACAATATTTATCTCAAAATTGGAAAGGGACGCAGGATGGGTTTGAGGACTCAGGGCAATAAAAGTAAAAGAACTAGCCGAAATATTAGTTGAGTTATCGAGTCCGATGACATTCTTATATCGCTCCAATAGCGATGGAATTAGATAGGACGCGGACCCACAGACGTGCTAGAAGTATGCAGCACTCCCCACTGGAGCTCGTGAGGATGGATTGTTTATTCGACTAGTCTGTGGACAGCTTTGAGCCAATGGAGCGGGTGACATCTGCGACGGAGACGTCCATGTCGATTACTCTTTGTTTGTGTGCTTGATTATTTATTGCCTCAGAGCAAGAATAGAAATATAACCTTACCAATCTTATTCCATAGACATCCACCGCACCCTGCGATGTCGAGCCTACCACGCTCATGACTGCTTTACCAACTACGCAAATGGAATGATAAGGCTGAATCATCTTTTGATCCAGACGGTGCCATATGGCTCATGAATAATTTCCACATAATGGTTTGGAGCCATTGTTGCATGATGAGGATATCTATTGTTGGATTTCAAGGGCTCCATCCAGTGTGTTCGGCTTACATAGACTGCATTTGATGACTGGTGTTGGCGCGCATTAACAATTCCCTCGCCGCTACTGGCGGAGATTCAAACGTACAGATTTGCGGTGAGTTCTTCATAGATATTGATCAAGTTGATGAAGCCATCTGCTAGAATTGGGTCTTCAGAACAGAGCACTTGTGGTTTGTGAATGGAGCTGCGGAGCATCACCGGTTTTGATTGTTGGAAGGCGTAACCTCTAGTCCAAAATGAAGAATTAGCAAAAGAAAGATAGCCGAAATCGGGAGCCATAAAGAACTTTCCAACCTTTCTGTGATAAAGAGAAGCCAAAATACACGTCTTCTCTCTTCAGCTTCTTCCACTGGCAAGTCTGCATACGTTGTCTCTCTATGTAAGCCCAGTGTAAAGACCATCGAAGTCGCCTGACATAGATAAAACCACGCATGTGTCTGTTTATCCAAATTGCAGTACGAGGCGAACAAGAAGAACGACGTGAGAAGATTCTCAATACTGATATCCTCCACCACGTCGCATTCCCGCCGTGCCCGTACAGCTTCCTCAAGCAACTTCTCTGCCGAGACAAGCGCATTCCATCCCCCAAACAGTGCAGTTGTGCCTGGTCCGGGATAGGATCCGCACCGTCTAGCTTGAGTTGAATATGCGTTGCCGCGCATAACGCTGCTAGAAAAGCATATCTTTGCGGCAAGAGTAGCTCAGACTGGTGACAATCGTGACGGAGTTGATCACCCCGCACGACGGGCATGATGGGAAACAAGTATTTCAAATATACGTTGACATGTACGAGCAGAATATGCGATGACAGGCGAGCTATCCGCGGAGGGATTATGGGCCCATACGCCGAGGAATCAACCGTATTGATATCCGTTGAGTCTGGCGATGAGCCCTGCTCCGATGGAGGGAGTTGGGAACGAGACGGAGAGATAATTTGACGCAAAGGGTGCATCGTTGATTGCAAAGGCGATGAAGTGGGGGAGCTTATCCTAAAGCCCGATTGATCAGCGAATTTGTCCGCTGCGCTGCAGACTTGGTATGGAGTTGCGGTATCGCCTCGTGCGGGGACCGGGTGGATCAGCGCGAGGGTGTAGGAAGTACGGAATTTGGGGCCCTTGCGACGTAAAACATCGCTGTAGGAGCACGATAGCAGTAGGCGCTGGCATTTATCGCAGGGAAGGTCGCGAGAGCATTTTATTTTGCGACGGCGACAGTTATCACAGGCTTGTTTGGTGGAGGGGGCTTTGGATGGGGCCGCGAAGTCCATAGCTTAGTGGGTGTGGGTTCGAGGGATATCATTCTATAACATCTGGGAAAATCATATGGGCTTTAATTAACCCAAGTTAATTAGCGTCACTGAACCTACTAACAGGCATCTGGGGAAGCGCGGGGTGCAACTGGCATTCTAATGCCGCAAAAGGCCCATGCACGCATGTTAATATATCAGTCGGTCATAGCACGTCACTATGGTGTGATGACTTTATCTAGGTATCCGATTTCCTGCCCGATATTGACACCGAAACCTCTAGTAACCCTGGAAGGTGTGATGATTTCAAGGGCCCTGATTCTACTCGGATCAAAACAAGTAAATTGGTAAGTTTACGCTAAAGCCCACATTTAGGTCCAGGACCCCCCTAATGTTCATCGAGGAAGGCTTGGGCGGCAACATATTCAGTGGCGACGGCGCAGATCCAGCCGATCGTGTAGTCCTTGGATTAAAAATCTGAAAACTCGGGATACGTATTAAAGTAAAGCGGGTCGCAAAGGGGTTAAACTCTTGTGATCTTGTATGTTTCCTACTTGAACAGCGGGACGCGACTCCTACAGGCCCCGGGACTTAATATTAGGGCCCCGGAAATAGGACGCGGATGCTACTTTGGTTACGCCGATCTCGCGCCACATCTCTATTAGGTTCGGAGAATAGTGCAGCTAAACATGGACCAATTATTTGCCTCGACCTTTCCCTCTTTGGACTTAGTTTAGGAGCGCAGGCCTCTAATTAGTATGCAAACTTACGGCAACTGAACCCCGAGTGCGATTGTTTTCAGGGCCGAGACTTGTCGCCTTCTCGCAGATTCATAAGTTCTTCACGCGGGAAATTCTAGAAGAAAGGTGGAGACAGTGCCGCTACTCCATTCTTCCTCTATCGAACGCGCTTTTGGCCGCAGGGACGAGCTGTTTCGAAGAGTACAAGCTATGTGGGTAAATGGTGTTGGCTACGGTTATATCGAGCTGGGATTAGACTTGTGCCTGTTCCGTCCCACCCACATGACGTAGATATCGGTCGCTGTGAGCGCCGAGTACCGAGCACCGAACAGGTATATCCTGTGGGGCCGGTGTCCATAAACCGGCAGTTGTGGGGTGAGGAACGTGACGAATGGAAGCTGTATAGTTAAAATAGAAAGAGGCGGATATACGGATAAACGCGCTCCATGTTTCCGCGGGGAAACGTAATGTGTAAAGTGTGGGACTTGCCACATGAACCGCGGGAGTCGCTCCCATTTGCCAATACGATATCCCCACTTGTTGAGTATCGACAACTTGGAGGGGGCAACTCGGATCTATCGGAATAGACGTTCGTGTAAACGAAGTTTGTTCAGCGAATATGGCCCGGGATGTAGCAAAGCTGATTTTCCAGTGTTCAATATAAAACAGTTCTGGAAACATCATCTCTCCCCTTCTTCAGTTCATTTGGCAACACTTTAGCCCCCAAAAATGTCCCTCACCCAAAGACCAACGTTCAGCGTGGCTGCCAAAAAAACTTTACAGAAAATTGCTATCGAAGAGGCGATTTCTACCCACGTTTTCAATGCCACAGCCACACTGCCACCTGTTGACAGCACGGGCGAGCTCCCTTACGTTGAGAGCAACTACGTTGCTGACGTGAAAGACCGGCTCACCAATGTTGAGGCTCGTGTGAAAGCTATGGACGAAGCCGGTGTGGCTCTCACCGTGGTCTCCTTGACCATGCCCGGGATTGAAGGAATCTTTGATACAGCGGTTGCGGTTGAGACGGCTCGCAAAGTCAACGACGAAATCCATGACTTGTACACAGCAGGACCGTACGCTGAGCGCTTCTGAGCATTCGGTTGTGTCGCTATGCAAGACCCACAGTCCGCAGCCGTGGAAGCCGAACGTTGCGTCAAGGACCTTGGATTTGTTGGCATCTTGATCAATGGATTCTCCAATGTTGGAAGCGCCGATCAGGTGCAATATCTGGACGAGCCGCAATGCGCTCCATTCTGGGCTAAAATGGCCGAGCTCGATGTGCCGCTCTATATGCACCCCCGAATCCCCTCCCCAAGCCAGATGCGTGCCTACAAGGGATATGAATTCCTAGGCGGTAGTCCATGGGGCTTTGGAACCGAAACTGCCACACATGCAATTCGTTTGATGATTTCGGTATTGTTCGATAAGCACCCTAACTTGCGCATTATTCTCGGACACTGCGGCGAGGGGATTCCTTTCTCGATCAATCGCATCGATCATAGACTGAGGCACTTCCAACCGCACCACACTCCCTGCCAGTTGCGGCTGCAGGATTATTGGGAGAAGAATTTCTATATCACTACGGCAGGAGTCATGGATGATGGTACTTTCTTTAATACGTTAAAGTCGTGCGGGGAGGACAGACTTTTGTGGAGTGTTGAATACCCCTACGAGGATTACAATGAGATTGGCTCATGGTTCGATAATCTGGATTTGAACACCAATTCGAGGGCCAAGATTGGCTGGGAAAATGCACGAAGAATACTGAAGTTAGACTAAGCGAGGGTTTCTGACTTCCTGTCGTCCATGGGGAAGTGTTCGTATTGATTGCCCTACTGCCTCGGTTACACATGTGGGGCTTATCCTCATTCATCTCTCCAGATAGTCTTTCCCTTTAGCATCCCAGCTATATTAACAAATAAACCTATTAAAAATAGTGCACTCGGTTTCCATCATCATTTGCTTCTCTCCTACACTTTCCTTCTGTCATCGACATAGGATTCTCTAGAAAAGGGGGTGTCTTCTGAGCGAGATGTATGACACCTACCTGGCGGGGAAGTACCCCATGAAGCTGGTCAACATCTGTGAGACTTAGAAGACAGAGATTGTAATCCGGGCAATTAGGTCCAAGCTTAAGAACTGCAAAGGTTGACATCGTCTTCGCTGTACGTGAAAGCTGCGGTATGAGGTTTGTAGGGTGAGAAGCTGTATATCAAAGTGGAAGGTGTACGACGGGAGTTGACTTTAATGAGCGGAAAAACCGGAGATCGACCCAAGTTGGGTTGCCCGTATCTTTTGACCGTGTGATCCGCGACCGTGCTTGTATGCAAGACCTGAGATAGCGACGTGGTAAATTGGCTTGAAAGGGAGCCAAGCTTTACATATACGTCATTAAAGGCACCTATGACCATGAAACCATCCTAGAGAACGAGCTGCTCTTGGTGACTATACATAATATCAAAGTACCAACTACATCTTAGCGGTGTGGAAAGAGTCATGTTTTTGTAGAAGAACAGGCGACGATCTAGTCTCTCCAAGTAACCACTCGGCTAGTTAGATATTCTTCAATACCCGCCATACCAGTAAACCTACCGTATCCACTCTTTTTCAACCCTCCGTGTGGCAAGGAGACATCGTCATGGATGCTCATAGCATTGATGTGGACAGCACCAGTCTCGCACTGCCTGGCAACTCTGAGACCAGCAGCTAGATCCTCTGTAAAGACAGCTCCTGAAAGCCCATATTCGGTGTCGTTCGCGATGGTGAGTGCTTCATCTTCTGATTCAAAGGTGAGGATAACAACAGTGGGGCCAAAGCTCTCTGTGTAATAAAGATCTGCATCTTTCTTCAAGTTTCGCAGAACAATTGGCCGCATTGTGGGGGTGGATGACTCCTCCACGGGGCTGCCGAATACAACGTCGGCGCCGCCTGCCAAAGCGGCGGATACAAGACCCTTGGTCTTTCGAGCCCCAGCCGATGATACAAGCACAGGCGAAAGCCCAGAAAGTGGGAAAAGCTCATCTGTGCATTGTTTGAAGGCTTCGATAAAAGACTCAGCCACCGAAGAATGGACGATGATGCGTTCAGTGGACATGCAAACTTGACCGGCCTAAGTATTATACATCGTCAGCGAGATCTGTGTCCATATAGGTAGGAAGTGCCTTACATGAAGGAATGATCCGAGAGTGCATGCTTTGGCCGCTTTCTTGACATCTGCATCCTTGAGAATGATCGCGCTGGCCTTGCCACCAAGTTCGGTAATGATGGGCTTTAGATGCTTCCCCGCCAACGATGAGATGATAGCACCAACCGCTGTGCTGCCGGTAAAATTGATTTTTTTGATGGCCGGGTGGGCAATGAGCACATTCGTGATTTCAACTGCATCCTGGGGCCGGTGAATCACAAGGTTCAGGCAACCATCCGGAAGACCCGCTTGTCGGAAAATATCAACAATTGCCCAATAGCAACGAGGTGAGAGCTCAGGGCCTTTGAGGACAACTGTGTTTCCGGCTGCGAGCGCGTATGATACTGCCCGGCATCCTAGAGGCCACGGCGCGTTCCTGACGAGATAGATTGTCAGTATCTCCAATTTCTTCATAGAATGGAAGAATGATTACCACGGCGCAATGCCTAAAACTACACCATATGGCTCTTTGTAGACGATGGCACTTCTGCCTTCTTCAGCGGTCAAGGGGACTGCCCCCTGGATGGACGTGACCCTCCCTGCCACATCCTTGAGCTGCTCGACAGTCAAAGGAAGAATCCAGTCAACGAACCTTGGATCCGCTCCAGTTTCATCTATCTGATACTGGCGCAATTCATCCCCACGTTTCTCAAATAACTCAGCGGCACGTAGTAGAATATCACGACGAGCAGCCGGTTTCGTTTTGGACCAGGTAGGGAGTGCCGCTTGCGCACTTTCGACAGCCTTCACTGCGTCGGTAGCAGCCGCAGAAGAAGACTGCCATACCTCCTTGCCAGTTCTCGGGTTGGTGACCCCAAAGGTAGATTCAGTAGTGATGTCCTTGCCGTTGATGATAAGAGGAACCGCTTGAGCTGCGTGGATTGCCATCTTCATAATAAGTGTGCTGTGCAAGCACTAATCTGAAGGGAGATGCAGTCACCGTGAATCATGAAAACGATTACATTGCGCGATTTTAGAAACATTTAAATATGTGATACTTGTATCCCGTGGTCAAGTTCAAGATAAATCCGACTAATCCGACTAATCTCCGCGTGTTGGCGGACGGAGCACGAAAACTCCGCGAGATCCCTTGCCCGGTCTCGACTAAAAATTTCCCGGAAAAGCGGGGAAAAAGACAAACAAAAACATGATGCGACAGGGACTGGCGCCTAAGTTGCTTTTAGTGAGGACCTTTTGACAAACTATAGAGCGGTCAAATACCGCTATGACCTTTTGGGATAGGCTTGTTCATCGTTCACCCAATTTCCCCTACTTCTGTCTACAATCGTATGATTGAGGAGCAATATAATATACTAAGGCACGTGTGAATATCCTATCGTATAATCGTACTGCCCATTAAAAGCGCTTGTTCTCCCCATATTGCAATGGATAAGCACAGGTCCTAAAGAGAAAGTACAGTGGTGTATCATAAGTATTTGACCTCCGATACTTCGGCGTAGGACCCACTTTTTTCATACTGCCCAGCAGAAACCTCGGAATTCCAATTCAATTTAATAGCTAGTATGCCAGCCCTCATACTTAATAACATCAGCCACCCTATGTGGCATAGTCTCCGATAGATGCTTAAATATCTCAGTATCTAGCGTATCCCATGCTTCTTGCGCAGCTTTAACTAGCAGCTCTAGCGTAGATGCAGTATTTGGTAGGTGCATAAGCTCAGGGTAACGCTTCAATATCTCGGCTTTTAGTAGCGCCCATAGGTTCTCAATTGGGTTTCAATCGGGTGAATAGGGTGGCCATTCCATAATTTCGCATTCAATCTCATTAAGAGCGTCCCGTACGATATATGCAGTGTGTACTGGCGCGTTATCTTGCTTAGACCTCGCCACGACCCGCGAGTGACCCTGACGACCCGGACCGCGACCCGGACCACGCAGGTTTTAGGGTCGGAAGGTTAGACCCTGAAGTGGGGTCAGGGTAGGGTCATAAAAGTCGCGATCCTACCCTCAGGGCCGCGACCCTACCCTCAGGGTTGTCAAACAAGGCAAATATCGGCAAGTTACACGGAGCATAAATTATGTTGCTTTGGCTGTATTTTTGAGTATCTCAATTACAGCGTTGGGAGGAGGAGTTTCTAATTTGGCAATGTAGAATGAATTAAATCAAAACAAATCAAACTATTGAATCAACTGAAAAGATTCCCCTGATCATTGAATTACATGTAAAACGTTTCATACCCTTCTAGCAACTTTGAACGCTTACGGACTCTGCCTGACACTCGATGCTGTGTCTCCGGTAGAGGTATTGCCTCCGACTCTTGACCATCCTCTTCCTCCTCATCAATTCCCACATCGTCAGCTACATTGATTAGGCGTCTCTTTCCGAGTGCTTTTGCGGACGGACCCTCGGCAGCCTGCGAGGTAGCTTGGGGCTGTGACCTGGTTTGGAGCTGTGTTGAAGACCCTTCATCCTCTTCATTGTCGCTAATTGGATCACCGGCGAATTGTTGCTGTGTTCTCTCTTCCTTTGCAGCTTGTATCTCCTGAGCCGAAAGATATTCAGAGAGCATCATTCGCTCCTCTTCATGAATCTCAAACCGTGATGTACACATATACATCATAAGGTCTGAAATTGTTTGAGGTTGAAGGGATCCTCGACGATAATGACAGACATCTCGTGCAGAGTTGAAAAGCCGCTCTACTCCTGCACCACTAGCTGGGATAGAGAGCACATCGCGAGCAAGCTTCGCCATCGTAGGGAACTCATCTTGATGATCTCTCCACCAGACCAGAGGCTGGGCATTTGGGACTGTATCTTAAAGATGAATCAGCAAATGCTCTAACAGAGATTAATGGAAACCTACCGGGGGCCGTTTCAGGTATTCGTTGACCCTGAACTCTTAAAGACCACGGTTTCTGGAGCGCAACACTCCTTTTCAATGCGAAACCCCATGAACATGAAGAGGGCCGTTTTGTACCTGTTTGTAGACTTAAGAATCCCTGGGAGCCACTTCGTGTATACCTGCGACTATTTAGGCCCTGTTTCTATCAGTGTTTTCCGACAGTGACGCGTCTCTTCATATGGCTTCCGCTTCTCCCACCCAGTCCAATCGATCCAAATCAGTCAGAAAGTCCAAACGCCAAAAGCAAGGCCGTCGAAAATGAAGCCTTATGAAAAAAGCGGCCGAATATAGCAAGTAGGCTTCCGCAAAGCCCAACCCACAGTGGGCCGGGGGTCGAACCTTTGGGCCCATCGTGGGCCCCCCATTGGGCCCCCACGAAAGCCCACGATTGCATAAAAAGCTGGTCTTGGCGTTCATAAACCTACTGAGTCATTAAAATAAATGACTGTTTTTTTACAACTGTTCTGGTTTGTCTATTGAATATTGTCGGATTGACAGATACTGGTATGTGCTAGTATTGAGGTGTCCCATTGAGATGCATTGATGTTGTTCTATCTAGATCTTGCTGTTGAAGCGTTATCAGATCTCAGGAGTCGTTCCTAGCGTGTTACGACGCTGGTATGCCGAGCGTACCCCGTTTACCATACAGAGACAGAGACAGATTGGGTACTTGATGAATAACCCTGTTCTTAGTGGTAAAATACCACCCCTCAGTTCGACAAATATTGCTATATTTTCACTAAAATAAGTTGGAAATTTTATGAAAATACTCTGAATATAAGGCTGGTAGGCTTTACATTCTATTAATTACCAATGAAAATCGATATTTATTATCTTATGGTGGTGTTATGTCAATTCGAGCATTTGTTGACTATAGACTGCTGGAAATATATATTTGTGGTAGAGGGGAGTATGTGTGTACTCTAGAACAAATGTAAATGTAAATAGAAATATCTCATTCTTACCTTGTTTTCTATATAAAGAAATGGGGATGGCACGATGGCAGTCTGACATAGCAGACGGGTCGATACTAATGAAGAGATCACACAACCACTCCCATGGCCTGAAGGCGTAGAGAGCGGTCCCTGAAGGTGTAAATCGTACCGAGCCTGATGCTATATCATGAAGCAAGAAGTTTTGCGAGTAGCTGTAGTCATATTGAGGTTGTTGGATCATGCTCCGATCTCTCTGTAGGAGAAGACTGCATGTCTCCTGAGGCATTTATGATGCCTTAGGCCATTAATATGCTACTGTCACGGGATTCACCACTACAATACTCAATACTTGAAACATACCATTAAAACTGCACAATTTATGTAGTCACCAGCCTTGGCGTGTTTATAATGTTTATCTTCCGCAGATAATCCGCGGACGTCGTGTTGATCCTACTTCAACATCCGCGTCCGCAAATTGCGGATTTGCGGATCTTACCCATCCTACTACGTCCGCAAATTGCGGAGCGGATGACACGACATCCGCGGATCTTGGCGGATGCTGTCGCAGCCTAAGGTAGCGGCTCATGACTCTGTACTCTGTCACGGTTCAGTATCTAGTTGGGACCAGTTTCGGGACTTACTGTACCAGTTCTATCGTCTGAAAACGAGAACAACCCACGTGGCGGTAATACCGACTTCTTGTACTGTGATCAATGGCGGGACGGGCCGCGATGCGAACCCCTGAACCGCCTGACCGCGACGATCGCGAAGATTCGCCACCGCGACTGGCGAGACCGAAACGCACCACTCGACCACCGAACAACTACGCTCGTGAGCAGGAAATTGATACCGAACGGCGGAAGACGCGTTCCCAGCAAAATGAGAGGAGTGAGCTAGGAGACCGGCGTGACGAGGCAACTTCGGACGACGCCGTGACCGAGCGCGAAGAGCTCGACGTCGGCGGTTTGGTGAGAGAGATCACCAAACTCAGGCGAGAAATCAGACTCCGTGACGAAATACACAAGGAAGAACTTCAGAGAACCAGAGAACAGTTCGGTGCCGCCCTCGCGGAGGTCCGACACGAGCTACAGTCCCTGACGGATAGAACCACGACACCGCAATGCCACTCTGAGACGTGTTCTCAGAACAACCACGATGCGATCCTGCGCGAAATCCAGTCCTTACGCGAGGAAATCAGTGTCCCCGCTGCTGCAGGCTCTCCTTCCTACGCAGATATCGCGCGCACTCCGCCGTCCAGTTACCCAAGCCACATACGGACCCTTTCAACGCTGAACACGACGCCCACCACCTTTACGGACACGCTGTATTGCACGATAGACACTTCGAAGATGGTAGACAAAGGGACAGGATTGACCTCCGCAGGCTCGGTCAGGGCAATGGTTGAGGCAGAGATGCGGTCAACAGAGGACCAGGCGCACTGGCGCTGTCGCGCTGTTACCGTTGACCCGAAAAACGCCAACCGGATCAGGATCGCCTGCCGCGATGAGGATGAACAGCAGCTGGTCAAAAAGGTTGCAGAACAGAAAATCGGGGCGGGAGCCCGGGTCCTCCGTGACGAGCTCTACCCTATCAAAGTCGACAGTGTCAACAAGGCCTCCGTGCTGGACGAGAATGGTGAGATCCGAACAGAAGCTACAGCAGCGTTTAGTGAGGAGAATGAGACCAACGTAGCCAAGATTTCATGGCTGAGCAGAAAAGAGAGCGAGAAGACCTACGGTTCAATGGTGGTCTACCTGACCAAACGCATCGACGCGCGAAGGCTCTTGGCCGACGGATTTTTCCACGCGGGGGGAGAATCTGGTGTGACTAGTGTCTTCGAACACCGACCGCGACCGACACAATGTTACAAGTGCCAAGAGATAGGCCATAAGGCATTCCAGTGCAAGAACGCCCAGAAATGCGCGAAATGCGCTACAGAGGGCCATCGCCACAGCGACTGCATCCAAACGGTCCCAAAGTGTGTCCCGTGCGGAGGGCCTCACGAATCGTACAGCAAAAACTGCCGGAAGCTTTATCCATCACGTCATGAGTAATTCTCTTCGAATAATTCAGCTGAATGTGAGGAAGCAGGGTGCAGTGCACGAGAGTATATTAAACGACGAAGATACTGAGAACGCAGTGGCGCTAGCGATTCAGGAACCCCAAGCGAGGAGGATTCAAGGCCGGCTCTTGACCGCCCCAATGGGGCATCACAAGTGGACAAAGATGGTGCCCTCCACCTGGAGGGAAGGGAGATGGGCGATCCGGAGCATGCTCTGGGTCAACAAAGAAGTCGAAGCAGAGCAAGTCCCTATGGATTCTCCAGACATCACAGCAGCGGTGATTAGGCTCCCCGAGCGAGTGGTCTTCACGGCATCAGTCTACGTAGAAGGGGGCAATGTCTCCGCTTTGGACGATGCGTGCAGTCGTTTACGCGGTGCGATCACGAAGGTACGACGGGACACCGGTGCGGTGGTCGATATTTTGATCATGGGGGACTTCAACCGACACGATCAACTTTGGGGTGGAGATGAGGTGTCGCTGGGAAGACAAGGGGAAGCGGATCCGATCATCGACCTCATGAATGAGTTCGCGCTCAGTAGCTTGCTCAAACGCGGCACCAAGACATGGCATGGCGGCGGACAAAGTGGAGACTGCGAGTCTACCATCGATCTAGTCCTAGCTTCAGAGAATTTGACGGAATCCATGACGAAATGTGCTTTACTCGAGACAGACCACGGCTCTGATCACTGCGCCATTGAGTCCGTGTTCGACACCCAGTGGTCGGGCCCAAAGCACCAAGAGCGACTTTTACTGAAGAATGCACCATGGAAGGAGATTAACGCCAGGATTCAAATGGCTCTAGCCACCCTTCCGTCGGAGTGCACTGTACAGCAGAAAACGGATCGGCTGATGGCGGCAGTTTCGGAAGCGGTGCACGCTTTAACACCGAGGGCGAAAGCATCACCCCATGCGAAGCGATGGTGGACAACTGACCTCACTCAACTCCGTCACATATACACGTACTGGAGAAACCGCGCTCGCTCCGAGCGACGGGTAGGTCTAGACCTCCGCAGGAGTCGCGACTCTCCAGGTTCGGTTCGACTCGGGACCGCCAAGACTCAGGTTCCAGTTCCAGGTTGTTGAAACCGCGATCCGACTCCAAGATTTCTCGAGTCGAACCTCAGGTTCCTCAACAGTGCAAAGTAAAGAAAACCCCGTGACATGCATATTTTGTGCAGAATTCGACTGTATTTTTGGGTATTCCGTTTACATCTCTAGTAGTGAGAGGTGAAAAGAATTCAGAGAGAATTAGATTTCTGAGACTTTTGAATTCTACTTCTGTGTAATCTATGGCTTTTGATACTCAAAAATTTCCTGATCCCGTCTTGCACGCTTTGAAACGCGCCCAGATGTGCGCCTTTGAGTACTGCTCTTGCCATGCATGCTATTATTAGGAAGAGGTATATCATCCTCATTATCCATTTGAATCAGCCACTCCCGCTGATGAGGTGGTGGTGTCGTTTCCTTCCTTGGTCGTTTACCAGCAGTACGCTGACTAAGTCGCTGCGAACCTGGATGCTGAGAAGTTACATTTGGAGTATTATCTTCTCCGTCACTGATGAGATCGAATTCCTCTTTCTTCTTCTCGGCATCCTCCTTCTCCCTTGCAGCATGTATCTCCTGTGTGGACAAATACTCTTCAACGAACGTCAGCCGGTCGGACTCGACATCAAACTGCGTTGTACACATGTACATCATCAGATCTCGGATGGTTTTTGGCTTCAGAGAGCCCCGGCGGTAATGGCAGATGTCACGAGCGGAATTAAATAACCGCTCAACCCCAGACCCCGTGGCAGGGGTAGAAAGAACATCCCGCGCTAGGCTTGCGAGGATAGGAAATTCGTCCTGATGGTCTTTCCAGAACACACGCGGGTTGACCAGGCGAGTACCTATAAAAATAATTAGTAAAGAAGAGAGAGAGCGAGACCATTAACTAACCACTCCCAATATAACGCCTTAGCTCATCATTAGCGTTTGTCTGAGACTGGACAGGTGTCGCTTTTGAGATAAGCATCTCCAGGTCTGATACTTGTGCCGCCGAGGGGCTACCGTGAGAGGTTGGCTGTGTGTCCGAATACCGCTTCTCATAGGGGATCAGGTACTTTTCGAGGCTCTTGCGGTATCGAACGTGCCACTTGGGCCCCCATTTCGATGTTTGAAAGAATTCGAGCTTGTTCTGCGGCGCCATGATAGTACCAATCGCATAGAGGTCATCGTCAACTGTATCCGTTGCACCATAGTATTCCGAGAGCTTGTCCTTCGCGTATGACAACGCTCTAAGTATCACGGTCTTCCAGGGAACTTTCTTTGGGAAAAGCCGTCTCTTTGACTTCTCAATATGACTAAATAGGGCATTATAGATACCAAAGACTGTGTGAATCGTGATATCCTTGCTTTTCGATACCACATTGGTAAAAATAAAGAATGGCTGAGTGATCGAAAGAAGATAGTCAACCTGCCGCCATTCGTCCTGACCAAGCTGCATATCCTGGAGGTTGTACTCCTGGCAGAATTCATCAAATATAGGTTGTAGCCGTCTCGCACGCCGAAGCATCAAGAATGTCGAGTTCCAGCGAGTGCGCACATCTTGTATAGGCACAAGTCTTGGCTCTTTTGACTGAAGATCCAGGAATCGATCGCGGCGCTGCGGGCTTTTGTTGATATGGACGGCAAGCTTTCTAATCTAGTGGATTCTTAGTAACGATATTATAATAAGAGCCAGACAAGAGATATCGTCTTACCTTGTTTAACGTGAGGATGATCTCTTGATTCTCTCGCCGCGAGCCAGCTTTTTCCCCGGTGAACTCCATCTCTTCTCTATCGTTCTTTGGATTCACCTCCATCTGACCAAGAAGCTCTTTGAGGCTCAGTTGAATGACATGTGCGATACATGGTATCCGGATGATCGGTGTCTGGCTTGGTAACTCAAGCGCCTGAAGAGTCGGTGGCTGATGGTCGAAGTGGTCGGCCGTCGGGTTGCGCCAAAGAGAGGTCTGGCGGATTGGGATCCTGCCCACCTCTATAACAAGGCGTAGTAGGTTCGAATCCTATAGCCACCGAGTTCTTATCCCTTCGGGGGTAGGGATGACCACATCGGAGGAGGGGAGGCTTGGATATCGCCCAGTGTATGGGAGAGTTTAGGGGGGTAATGGAGCATAGTTCTCGTTCATGCCTCTCCCTTCGCATACTCTATGCTAAGTGTGGCACTGAATTTCCTAAGGTTTTTGAGACTTTTCCTTAGGGCCCACGTTACCCCGGTGGAGTGGTACGGAATTGTGATTAGTGCGATCCCACGCATAAGGAGAGCACCGCCTGTATCTAAGCCGGAGAAAGTCTGCATAGCGTCTAACAAGACAAGAGGGAAGCTTCATCAGACTATAATAGATCACATCATCATCAGCGCCTGAAGAGAGTCCTTGATACTCTCTACTAGTGTAGAGTTATTAGACGCGTTATCAGTGGTAACTGTCAATACCCGGCCTTCAATCTGATGTTTCTGAAACAACTGAAAAAGAACTGTGCCAAGATTGATGCCAGTATGTGTGCCATGGAGTGGTTCAAACCCGAGTAAGATCTCGCGATAGTTCCAGTCCTGATCAATGAAATAACCGGTGACGGCCATAAAGGCTTGGCGAAAGGGAGAGGTCCAGCAATCTAACGCAATAGAGAGCTTACCGCCCGTGGGGAGCTTTTGAAGAAGGCTCTGCTGTCGTTCCATGACCAACTCATGAAGCCGGCGGCGGACAGTGTCTGAGGAGGGAATTTCGGGAAGAGATGGTGCAAGCCGGGCCATTTCAATTAGGGCGCGAAACTGAGGATGCTCGACAAGTTGAAATGGTAGTTGCAAGCTAGTGATAAAGGTGATAATCCTCTCAACCCAGGCCTCATGGCTAAAGGCCGTTTGTTGCGAGGAAAGGTGGGCCTAGGATAAAAGATATTACTATCAATCAACGGAATGAGATGAATCCTTCACTTTACCCCTCGTTGGATAAGCTTCCGAATATCATTTGATTGTGGCGCTATCCTCCGACAGTTAATAGCCTGCGAGTAGTGTTTGTTCATCGAAGATGTTCCCCGATGGCCATTCGCTGGATGATTCAAGGTATGATCGCATGTTTTGCACATAACCTTCGGGTTTCCATCTTGAATAGCAGCCACCTGGTTGAAATGCTGCCAGCATTCTGCCTGGCGCTTGCTCTCGAAGATATTGCGATTCATCCGGCTACCATACTCTGTTTTCAACCACCACGCGACAAACTCATCATTCACCATGTCGGTCCAGAGAACGTAGTTCTGCTTTCTCGGAAGCCCAACGCGCTGGAGGATTTCCGGGGGAGGGGCGGCAAACGGTGCCCGAACGAAGGTGAGATCGGGCATAGAGGCAGAGTTCTGGCCGTATAAAACATCAGGATTAACTGACTGAGCACTGTCCGATGGAAGAAATGAAAGGTGATCTAGAGGAGCATCCTCCACGACTGATGACGAATAATTATCAGAGAACTGAGAGATGTGACTCTGTGACATGATAAATATCAGGAGGAGAATAAGGAGAAGAGTGTGTATGTGCAGAAGAACCCACAGGAAGCCTAATAAATAAATCTGGGTGATTTGGGGGTCGACGCGACCGAAATGAGGGCGTGGATACATCTATCCCAATATTGACTAGCCTTTCTGTCACAACACGTAATGATTGGCTACTATCGCCCACCTCGCCAGGTTCTGTCAGGTTCCGACCTGACAGAACCTGATTGGAGTCGGATCGAGCCTGACGGAACCTGAAGTGGGACCTACCCCTGAGACCTAAGAAAGCCATTTTCGCCGTAAATAATCTGGCTCGGGCACACACTTTTATCGCTTTGGACTGGAAGACAGGTGATATCAGGAATGGAACATTAGAAGAAAGGATCCAGACATGTTTCCAAGACCTAATGATTCCACTAGAACCTGTAATTGGTCTGATTTATTCAGAAAGCGGAAAATCAGAAAAGAAGATGGTGGCATGGTACGCACCGAGGAAATTATATATCTCCACACCATACACAACAACGCCTGTAATACTTGATCTAATAAACAATCAAGCGTCTAAATCAGACTAAATCAACTACAAATAAAGCTAGTAGATAGAAAATCATATATATACAAGAATATTTCGTAAAAGTTCTTTTGTAAAGTACCTAAACGAGTGGGTAAGTAGACACGGTGACCAGAACGATTGTAAAAAACAGAAAAAAAAGGGATGAATCAGCATTTTATCCACCCGAAATAGGAAATATCTTGGCAGAATTGTGCAATTCAGGTTCCGTCAGGTTCGACCCTGACTCGAACCTGAGGTTCTCAAGTCCCACTCCAGGTTCCAAATGTTGGAACCTGGGCGCCTCAGGTTCAGGCTCCAGGTTCCGATCTTTGGAACCGGAGTCGGACCATGCGGAGGTCTAGGTAGGTCGAAGAGTACCTCGGCTTGAAATGATGGCCCAGGATGCGGCCAAACAATACCACGATGCCATCCGCAAACAAAAGAAGAAGCACTGGAACGATTTTCTCGCAGACAACGACAACATCTGGAAAGCCGCCAAGTACCTCAAGTCGGGGGACGACGCCGCGTTCGGGAAGATTCCGCAGCTCCTCAGAGCAGATGGAACTACTACCAACGATCACAAGGAGCAAGCGGAGGAACTGCTATCCAAGTTCTTCCCGCCTTTGCCAGAGAACATCGACGAGGAAGGAGTGAGACCACAAAGAGCGCCTGTAGACATGCCAGCCGTCACTATGGAGGAGATAGAGCGGCAGCTGTCAGCGGCCAAGTCGTGGAAGGCACCTGGTGAAGACGGCCTACCGGTGATCGTTTGGAAGATGACGTGGCCCACAGTCAAGTACAGGGTCCTCGATCTTTTTCAAGCCTCGTTGCAAGAGGGCACAGTGCCAAGACAGTGGAGACACGCGAAGATCATACCGCTCAAGAAGCCGAACAAAGATGATTACACCATTGCAAAGGCATGGAGGCCTATCTCACTCCTTGCGACACTCGGAAAGATACTCGAATCGGTGGTCGCAGAGAGGATCTCGCACGCGGTGGAGACGCATGGACTGCTCCCGACGAGCCATTTTGGGGCCCGAAAGCAGCGGTCCGCAGAGCAAGCACTGGTGTTCCTGCAGGAGCAAATCTATGCGGCGTGGCGCGGCCGGCGAGTGCTGAGCTTGATCAGCTTCGATGTCAAAGGAGCCTACAACGGAGTATGCAAAGAACGACTGCTCCAGAGGATGAAAGCCCGAGGCATACCACAGATCCTGCTTCGTTGGGTTGAGGCCTTCTGCTCGGAACGAACGGCGAACATCCTGATCAACGGGCAAGTATCTGAAACTGAAAGCTTGCCACAAGCCGGGCTGCCGCAGGGCTCGCCCCTGTCTCCAATTCTATTTCTTTTCTTCAACGCAGACCTCGTGCAAAGACAGATCGACAGCCAGGGAGGAGCAGTCGCTTTCGTGGATGATTTTACCGCGTGGGTGACCGGTCCGACCGCGCAGAGTAACCGGGAAGGAATTGAAGCCATCATCAACGAGGCGCTCAACTGGGAAAAGAGAAGTGGAGCGACCTTTGAAGCGGACAAGACGGCTATCATACACTTTGCTCCCAAGATGCGCAAATCGGACCATGAGCCGTTCACCATCAAGGGGCAGACGGTGGTACCAACAGACCACGTCAAGATCCTGGGTGTCGTGATGGACACAAGACTCAAGTACAAGGAAAATATTGCGAGGGCAGCGTCCAAGGGTCTTGAAGCAGCGATGGAGCTTCGGCGACTCCGTGGTCTATCCGCAGCGACTGCGCGGCAGCTCTTCACGTCAACGGTGGCACCGGTCGTAGACTACGCCTCCAATGTCTGGATGCACGCATGCAAGGATAAGGGCATGGGACCAATCCACCGAGTCCAGAGAGTAGGCGCACAAGCCATTGTGGGGACATTTCTTACGGTCGCGACTAGTGTCGCAGAGGCGGAGGCTCACATAGCTACTGCGCGGCGTCGATTCTGGAAACGATCCGTGAAAATGTGGACAGACATCCACACCTTGCCGGGAACCAACCCTCTCCGCCGGTGTACAGATCAGATCAGAAAGTTCAGAAGATACCACCGCTCACCGCTGTATCATGTAGCCGATGCGCTTAAGCACATCGACATGGAGACTTTGGAGACGATTAACCCCTTCACGCTTGCCCCGTGGGCGGAACGCGTGCAGACCGATGGTGGTGAACAGCTTGAGGGCCCGGCCGAAGCGGGCGGGTGCATGCAGGTCGCGGTTAGCAGTTCGGCACGGAACGAGCTGGTGGGTTTTGGAGTGGCCCTCGAGAAGCGACCACCTCGAAATCGAAAGCTCAAACACAAAACGCTATCCATCACCTTGGCCGCAAGAGCAGAGCAGAATCCATTCTCTGCGGAACTGGCAGCCATGGCACACGTATTGAGCACGGTGCCAGGGCTGAAAGACTACAGGATCACACTGCTCACAAGCAACAAAGCGGCGGTTCTCACACTCAGAAACCCTCGACAGCAATCTGGCCAGGAATTTGTCTGTCGGATATACAAGTTGATTAAAAGGTTGCAGAGAAACCGAACCCATGTTCAATTTCGCTGGGTTTCTGCCAGTGAAGACAACAAGCTGCTAGGCCTGGCTAAAGTACAGGCTAGAGCCGCGACACAAGAAGACGCCCTCCTACAAGAAAGCGCCCCAAGGATGAAATCGACCACACTGAATCTCGCACGGTCTCAAGCAGTCCCCAGAAATACCCTGCCAGCGGACGTCGGAAAGCACGCCAAACTAGTAGATGCAGCACTTCCAGGAAAACACACGCGACTGCTGTATGATCGCTTGTCATGGAAGGAAGCGACCGTGCTAGCCCAACTCCGGACGGGCATGGCGAGACTGAATAGATACCTCTATCGAATCAACGCGGCCGCCACTGATCAGTGTGCATGCGGACAGGCCAAGGAAACTGTGGAGCACTTCCTCTTTCGATGTCGGAAGTGGACCGCACATCGGACGGAGATGCTACAATGTACCGACATCCACCGAGGGAATCTATCCTTCTACCTGGGAGGGAAGTCGCCCTCCGACGATCAAAGGTGGACGCCAAACTTAGAGGCAGTACGGGCCTCAATACGATTCGCCATAGCCACAGGCCGCCTCGAGGCCACTTAACCCCGCCGACGAACATAAATCACCCCTTTCATTCTAACCTAACCCACCAACCACCTCGTGCTACTCATGGTGGACGCGCTTCAACTGCCGAAGATAGGATGTTGAACACTTGGAGAAGCGCCTTCAAGCCAGTCTACTAACCGCATTACTAACCCACGAGCATCCGCTGCGACACTGCATGCTGAGAATGACAAATACGCCAAGGTCTTGTGAATGGGCTCCAATGAGTCACAGAATTGTATATACTAAGACATGTATAGTAGTTTAGCGATAGTTGCCCTTTCGGCTCAGCCGCCGGGCGTTAATGAATTGTGTGTGTGTCGCAGCCTAAGCACTACGGTAGTCCGGTGGGGCGTATGCAGGAGTCCGATATAAATACCCAACCATAATATAGATCTATCTTAGAATAAGTGATCTATCATCGTACTTTATGACTATCGTGGTCATCTACCACCTCGCGTTTATAGCTACTAACTAGCTACCGGTCGCAATCTTTATTCAGGTAGGTGGGCACTTGAATACTTCTTTCATATCTCTTTAGGTGATATTTGATTATACCATATCCCTTCAATATGTCGTTTATCGGACAACCTTCTGAGGCAGGCCCTTCTTCGCAGGTATCATCATCGCAAATCCAGTACCCTGAACGCCTCGCGGACTGCGATTTCCTTTCTTACGATGAGCCCCTTACGCCAGATCAATCGATTAGCCAACAAAACGCAAATTAAGTCGCCTGCTCTACGTTTAGCACCTCAGAGTTCCAGCCTCCCGATACTACTTATGCCCCTTTAACACTTGAGCGAGTTGGCTCTGGTACTAAGAAGCCCTGGATTCGCTACTCTGAAATGAATAAAACGCAGTTTATTGAATGGTGGCGACACACTGCCGGTGCTCATCCACAGCCCCCACGACGAAAGATTAACTTCGAGGCGAACTATACATCGGCTCTATGGAAGACCTTAATCTCCCGGATAGTACACAGATTGTACGGATTCCATGCCTTGCCCATGTGATCCAGCTCAGTTTGAAGGACTTTCTCGGCTTCATGAAAGCTAATCCGAAAAACGATACTACGGATACTGTCTGGTCGGAGGAAGATAGCTCTGCTCTTCAGCGGGCAGAATCGAAAGAAGGTATCATCTTTACACTTGCAAAGGTTAGTTATCTAAGTAGTATAATAGAGATATACTAACATACTCTATAGATCCGCAGTTTTGCTGTTTTAATTAATGCAAGTCCCCAAAGACGGGAACGTTTCCTGGAACTCCAGGAATATGAGCCGAAGCTTGTACCGATACAAGATGTTCGGACGCGTTGGAATTCAACATATCTTATGCTTCGGCGCGCAAATCGACTTTCTACGATATTCAAGACATACAGCACGGTCCACAACCAGTCTCAATTCCAGCTCACTACGCAAGAGTGGCGGCAGATTGATTATCTTCTTTGTATCACAAAGCCCTTTTACATATTTCGGTCGGTCTATTTAAGGTAAATGATGTCACTATACATTCTGTCTTCGAGGTTTATAATGTACTTTTCGGTCATTTCGAAGAAGCACAAAGTCGGCTCTCTCGAAAAAAGGTTCCTTGGAAACAAGCTATGCTTCGTGCTTTAGAGGCAGGTGAAGAGAAGTTAAAAGCTTATTACCATGACACCGAGGAAGCTCATGGCCATCTTTATGCGATGGGGACAATTCTGACCCCGTCTTATAAGCTGAACTACTTTAAGGGTGAGGAGTGGGCTGGTGATGATGAAAAATGGAATAAAGAGTACGAAAGCTCTCTACATACCTACCTTGAAAGGTATTACCAACGTCAGCCTACGTCCGATACAGCAAGCAAGAGCAAAGCTCCCCAACGAAATGGAACAATGTCTAGTCTTTTTGCTCAGGCGAAGCCCAAGACGACGGTTCAGGAAAAAGGATGGATGGCAGGAGGAGCTTGAAGGATACCTAAACCTTCGTATGTTTATAATCCGATAGCTGATCAGGCTATATAATCTATATACTAATGATTTCAGGAACCGATGAAGATTACCCATGTCAGTTCTGGAGGCTCAACGAGAGTCGATTTCCAACTCTCGCAGCGCTAGCACGGGATGTTTTCTCTATTCCTGCCACAGGGGCAGGGGTAGAACGCTTGTTTAGCTCTACTAGAACTCGAAATAATTATTATGTCTTCAAGCTCGACGTCGCAAACGCCGACTATTATGTCTATTTGACTGTTACAGCCTAACAAAGACCTTCCAAACATCAGATGACCGGCTGATTCGTGCGCAATTTATCATTTTTGCATTCTCATCGGTATTCACAAATGTTGTAGTAAGCCAACACTCGATGAAGCCGGCCTTTGTCATATTGGGCCAAAGCACTTCGGCCAACCCCGGCACACTTTAGAGACGATGGAATAGGGAATTTTCGGACTCGGTCGGGCAGTTAGCTAGCTTTTAAAGGGCTCGTAGTGGTAAGATTAAGATAAAAGAAGGTCGCTACTATCTCTAGCATTAGATAAGGGAATGCCATAGTGACGCGAAAACACCAATGTGAGAGCGAAATGAGGAGAAAAAATCATCAAAAAATAGGCAAAAAGCCTTCTACCTAATTTAAACCCTGATACGGTAGATCAATTAAAGAAAATGTATCCGAAAGTATATCTAAGTTAGTACCCATCTTTTATGGACGAAACCTATCCCCAATAATTCTGCAGAATTCATTCTTCAAGTCCATCGAGAAATTTTCCTTGGTATCTTGACCACGTTCGCAATACTAAGTTATAGACTCTCAAGATATAATCTTACATAGGAGGCTGTACAAAGTGTGCATAGTCAAATATAAAAGCTTAAATACGCGGCTTCAGGCTGAGATTGATGCGGCGTCTGGCATGTGATGCGGCGTCTGGCATGTGATGCCTGATGGGCCAGGCATTAATCCTGATGCCTCAGGAATGGTAAGTTACAGCATGTTCAGAGGTTTCCAACCTTCAGATGTCAGATCTCATATTATGACAGTTCAGAGAAAATTACACTCTCTGAAACTGACAGTTTGAATACTCCTTTCATCCAGACATCGTACATTTCAATAAAAAATCAAATAATGTACAATGGAAATCGGTACTCAATACACATAGTCAAATACACTGAGATCCGTTAAACGGTTTATATCAGATATATCTGGCATGAACCAGCCAGCGTAGATCCTTCCATGAAGAGTTCAGATCAGGAGAGGTTTCTCTCTTTCATTTATATAGGGTCTCTCTCGCCTTGAGAGTGACGCCAGACCTAAACAATCTCAGCGTTCCTGAAATATATGCTTCCTCAGCATCATCGTACCCCCTAGTTGCAATATGATCTACCCAGTGAGAAGCCATCAACGACACGTCGGCGCTTCGGCGGTCGGTGGGCCAGGAGAGATCCTTGAATTTGCCGCAGATGAGCAACGAACAAGTGAAACTCATCAAAGACCTTTAAGCTTTGTATTGCTTCTGAACGAAGTTCTTCGAGCACTCGTTCCGACAGATGCTTCCGGCGGTCGTGCGCTGCACCTAAATCATCCGGAGCCCACCGGAGTAGCTCGAGCGCGAAGATATCCACAGGCTGATTTTCTCTTTGAGTTATTCCCCAATACCTTTTTTTTGAGCCTTTTGAGGGAATTTGTTCCACCAGAAAGACGCAGAATGCGAACCAGTTGATTTCTTTCAGGTCGGCGGCACGCTTATCCCATCCTTCGCGCAATAAACGCGATAGACGCTTCCTGCCGACATCAATCATGAGTGCTTCTTCGTTTGAGCTTTTGCGCTGCTCAAAACAACATTGTAACCGAGATATGAATTGTTTGTATTCCTCCCAGTCGCGTGCGAAGTAGACCGGCACCACTTGACTGTCGCCATTTAAAACAATGTCCTTCTTTCGTGATGAGATAATTCTCGTTCGGGCCGGAAGTGCGTTTTCAATCCCTTGCAGATATGAAACCAACGTATTATAATCCCGAGGTACTGTGTAAAACTTTTCCACCTGGCATCTAATCTCGGGTAACGCCCCTTCAAGCAAGAATTCCCCGAAATCCCGAGCGCTGTATGTAGGAGTGATAGGTGCCCATTGGATTAGCCATAAGGCAAAATGGGTCACAGATTGGGCTCGTTTCTGGCGAGCGCCTCGAATACATCCCATGGTTTGTCCAATTCTTGCGTTTCGTGGGAATTGTTGGGCTAACAGGGTACAAAACGACAGCCACGTCATGCTCTCGGGGTGGTTGGTCTGACCTGGCAACTCACCCTTTAGCTTGCGCGAGATGTATTGTGCCCCAAGCTTCACTTTGCGAACCTCGGTATAATAGCCAGGATGCTGAGCGAAGTGGGCATCTAGTGTGTTGATGTAATGGATGTATTCAGTCCATCCCGTCCCCTGATAGATGCCAACTTGAAGGCCCGCCGAGTTTGGCGGAGTGGCCGGGATACGATGAGCAGGTGTAGCTTGGATTTGCGTCCATAGAGAAGCGGGCTGAGGATCAGTCTGAGGTTGAGAAGGACTTGCGTTTCTAGTTCTCTCACATTCCGAAACCGCTTTCGGAGAAAAATCCCCTCATTCCTGTCTTGTGTTCCCCCTCTCCGAGTGGCAATTTGCGGAGAGAGGACCTAGGTAGGTCAAGCGTAGCGGCAGCTTCGTCAGCCCGTATTCTCTTTGCTGATGGTTCTTGCCCAATATGGCCGATGTTCATTTGCACTGGTTCAGGTGCATATGATGCCGGGTCTGTTGCCGGGGTGTAAGGCTCTTGGAGCGCTGGAGGACTAGCCTCTGATCGTACCCGCTTACAAGTCACCGGTGTAGGGCCACTAGTAGCTATGTTGTTGTTTTCGAACTGGTCGATGTCGGTTGGTGTCGCTATCACAATACTTGAATCCCGAAAAGGTCGTATCAAGTCATCCAGAGCAACAGAGAAGTCAGACGCCATTGAGGGCTGGCGACTGATAGAACCAAAAGCATCGGGGCCCACACCTTTTTGGGCTTTGTCGAGGCGTGCCTGCTCTTCTTGTAGCTTATTTTGCTCCTCCGCTAACTGTGCCTTAAGCTTTACAAGCTCTCGGAGGTCGCGCATCGCTTGTAAATCTTGACGAACCTTACGAATTCCCTTTTCAACATGGCCTTTATCGTCGGTGTCGCCCATCTTGTAGGTTGATTGGGATGCGCCCGGCGGGATGGTGTGCCCAATAAGAGGACGTGGTTGGGTTGGGTTTGTAGTTGTGATGTTGGCAGTGGTTTTGTCGGATTTTTTCTGTCTTGTGTGCGACTGTAGATAGAAAGTCAGTGAGCAACCCCTGAGACATAGGTTGCAAGACGGCGGTTGCAGGAAGGTGCGCGGTTCAAAATGGTCAGGCGTAAGCGACAGCATCACCGATCGGGTTAGGTCGTTTCCAGACCTCGCCATATTGCTTTTTCGCGAACCCGCCAAGAGCCCATGAGTCCGTATATTACGGAATAACGGACGTAATATAGACATACAGTGGTGTTGCAAAAGTATTTGACCTCCGGTACTTCGAGAGCCTGACCGCTTTTAGATCGCCTACTTTATAAGTATTTCAACAATCACATTTCTAACGCGCCAGTATATACGCTATAATTTTACGCGTTTTCTCACTCTTTCTCTCTGTAATAATGCCTCCAATACGCGGAAAAAGAAGTCCAGAGCTTGACTGCCTTACGTGGGCTAAAATCTGCGAATTACATGCTACAAATGGCTGGGGTGCTACTACTATTAAGAAGCAGCGCTTTCCAGATATTCCACGCTCAACCATCCAATATACGCTTACCCAGGAAGCAAAGCGTCAAAAGCATGAAAGCCTCCCACGCTCAAACACCCCTAGGAAGCTTACAGAAGCGGATCGGGATCATATCTACGATACCATGATGATGATGATGATGATGATGATGAATTCATTTGCCCGATGTAGCTCGCTCTAAATATATGCTGCTATGCGGGAGTGCTATCGGGCCCGCCGACAGCTAAAAAGTGGTTACCAGCCCACTGGGTGTCCTAGAGAGGCTCATGTCCGAGCTTCTCCCTAGCCACATCGAATGTAGAATTTATATAAGACAAAGGAAAGAGTGCAGGCGTTTAGCCCCTTGCCCGCACCAAAATGAGCGTTCCTGGCCCTCACCGCCTTCACTGGGACCCTGCTCCGCCTCTCCTAGCTCCTCTCCTGACCCCAACTCCCCTTGTCGCCTTTACCCTCCTCAGCTGCCGGTCGCCGCTTGCGCGCTCATTTGTCTCAAGGGAGTACAGTGGACCTGGCACTGCACTCCTAGCGGGCATTATTATTCTCCTTCCGTCACACTGTCTTAAAGGGTCATTGTTTCTCTACTTCTTCCACCCCGAGAGCCATTGGATCCACCGTTTGGAACTGGCCCAAGAGACCGGTTCGGATCATAAACTCAGCTACTATTGTACGCGCTCCCACGCGCGTCAAGAGCTCTTGTTGATGGAGCGTGATACCATGCTCTGATAGGGCGCCTCGCATCCCATCACGCTCCTCTTGATGCAACGGGCACTCTAGCAGGACATGTGCTATCGTTTGGTTGCCCAGGTTGCAATCGCACCGTGCCGACTCCCGCCGGTTGATACGAGCCAGATATGCACCTAGGCCGATGCGCCCAGTGCGCAGCTGCATCAGAATGGATGCAGTTGCTTTGCGCAGTCCTGCCCAGTACTCTAGTGTCTTCTTGTGTGGTGTCTCGATCAGCCGTTTGGTCGGCCGACTGGTCTTCTTCGATGCCCACATTCGCTCCCACTCGAGCTTGGCCTCTTGGCGGAATCGACGTTTCGTCGCGGCTGCGAGGCGGATATATCGATTGTGAGGATGTTGTAGATCGTTGGGTTTATGGGCCGCTTCTTTTGCGTGCTGATCGACGGTCTCGTTGCCCATCACTCCTTGGTGAGCTGGGATCCATCGCAGTTCAGTTCGAATCCCCCGCTCCGCCAGTTGGTGGATAAGATCTAGGCATCCAATCAGGTAGATCTGACCTGAAGGCATCCGCGGTCGGCGGAGCGCTTTCAGCGCCGCTTGGCTGTCTGCAAAGATAACGAGGCCATTCCTTGCCTGTGCAGCCCAGGGCTCGGTACTGTTCAGGACCGAGTCCAGCGCCATCTCTATAGCGTGTAGCTCTGCAGCGTACACGGTTGTTGTGTTCTCGTCACCCATTTGACTGTGGGCGACATGATCTTCGAGGTCAACCACTACCGCGGCTCCCATTCTTCCTTCGATTCCACTTCCGTCGGTATACACTATCAAGGGCCGTTCTTCTGATGCCTTGACCACGATGTGTTCGTGAAATTCCACTGCTATCTTTCTGTCATCGATGATCACCTCCGGCGGCGCTTGCCATGGCGCTAGGACGAATGCCTTTCGACTCTCCCAGATCCTCGCCAAAGTCTCCGGGGGAGCCGTCAGACATCCGCCCGTTTTCCAGGCCTGCGCTTCCATTGGTGTCCACCCACTCCAGTCTCTTTCGTGTGCCGGTCGACGTCGTATTATTGTTGGTGGTATACCGAGCTGCGGTCCTGTTCGCAGCCGAAGGGCTGCTTCTTTCACCAGTCGATTCATGTGAATTGAGATTGGGGGTAAGTGGAGCTCTGTGTTTAGTGCTTCTGCTGCTGTGGTTCTGAAAGCCCCGCTGATGAGGCATGCTGTCTGTTTTTGGATGGCTGCAAAAGGCCGACAGATCGCCTGAGCTTTGGACTTGCTAATGAGCATAGGCTGATACCATGCAGAGACACCAAAGAGCATCTGCGGTATAATCACTGCTTGATAGATCCTGCGCATGGCATACAACGAGGCTCCCCACGTTGAACCTGCCAAGCTTCGTAGTGCTTTGAGAGAGATGTTCGCTTTGGCCACGGCTTTTTCACGATGATGATGGAATTCTAGACTCGGATCCAGCCAATAGCCTAGGTATCGCTCGGCTGTCTTTGTCGCTGGTACGGTGTGTTCGCGTAGACGTAATGAGAGGTATTTTCGGTCGACTTCTTTGGTGTTCACAAAGTGAATGAGGGCGTACTTTTTCGGGTCGAAGACTGATGCATGCTTCTCGGCCCACTGGTCGGCTTTGCGACATGCGGTCTTGAGCTTCTTGATAGTCTCGTGTTCGCTGTCCCCTTTGGCCATAAAGCAGACATCGTCCACCCACCCACTGCTAGTGATACCTGCCCCGCAGCTCTCAATGAGGTCTGCATTGTAGATCAAATAGAGAATTGATGATATCGGCGATCCCTGCGGGATGCCAGTGGGTGTTAGGATTGTGTCGGACATGCCCTCGGGCATGCGGATTCTGGTGCTTCGGTTGGTCAAGAAAGCCTTTACCCAGGGAACAAAGTGTCCCAGGCGTCGTTTCTTGAGGTTATGGAGTAGACGAGCGTGGGAAACATTGTCGTATGCCCGGAGACGTCTAGCAGCAGCAGGGACACGACTGGTTTGCCCTTGCCCCATGAGGTCTTGATTCGATCAATGATGATGTGGATAGCATGATCAGTGGATATGCCTCTTCGGCCACCTAGATGGGTCCTGGGGAGCAATCCTTCCGTCTCTACCGCATAACTGATCCTTCGTGCAACGACTGACTCCAGGAACTTTCCGAGTGTGTTGAGCAGTGCGACTGGTCTGTAAGGTTTGGCGAGTTGATAGTCGCTCTTGCCTTGTTTCCGGAGGACCACCGTGATCGAGCGCTGGAAATGTGATGGGCTATGTCCGGTGCGTATACATGCGTTGAATAGTTGAACAACCGCATCCATAATTACCGGTATTTCGATGAGTTTGTGCCATAGAGAGTTCGGTATACCGTCTTCTCCTGGCGCTTTTCCTGCCTTCGCCCCTTTCACTGCTTCCTCTATCTCTTGGGCTGTCACTGGTGGAAACTCGATTGGCTGCGGGTATTGAAATGATTCCGTGTCGGAGAGGTCAGCTGGTGGTGGTTGTGGGAAGAAGGCTGTCCGGAAGCCTTCTGCTTTTTGCTCAATTTTTTTCCGCGATAGCCCCCGGTATTTGAGGATCTTGGATTTTCAGTGAGGGCGTAATCCCCTTCTCGTAGGCTCCATCTCGATTCCTTGCCCATTTAGCTAGTCGCCACATGTCTTGCGGTCCATCTTCGATGACCTGCTGGACGCGGCGCCGGTGCGCTCGTGACAGGGTCTTTTTGATCAGACGTGTCTTTCTGTTGCGTGCTTCGGAATAACACATCCAATCGTAAGGATCCTTCGTTCTCGTGTGTCTGCGGCGAAGACGACGGACCACATTCACTGTGGCCTTGCATGCCTCGTCGAAATCGGGGTTCGACCACGCTGATGGTTTCGCCCATGGTGTTGAGTCCTCAATTGCTGATTGAACGGCTTCCAGTAGTTCCTTGCATTCGGCCTCTATTTGCTGTATATCTCCCTGGGACAAATCCCTCGCATGTAGGCTTTCTTCGATTTTCTTGACGAGTCTTTGGTTGTCGGTGGCATTCCAGTTTCTTCGCATCTGTTGTGCTGTGGCTGGGGTCTCAATGTCAAGCACGGTTCTAACCGGGAAGTGGTCGGAGGCGTGTTCGATGTCGTCTGCCCTCTCGCATTGTATAAGTCTATCGAGGAGGCTTGACGAAACAAAGGTAAGATCAATCACCGACGATTGGTCATTCCGAGTCCAGGTAGATTTGCCTTCTTCAGTCGTTGCTTCCAGCCCTTGTTCGTTAGTGATTTCGAGGAGTTGCTCGGCCTCCCTGTCAGCTTTGGTTCCTATGCCTCCCCATGTTGGGTGGTGCGCATTCATATCCCCCAGAATTACGTGTTCTCCAAGAGGGCGTTTCGACAGCTCACATCTCAGTTGCTCTAGTGTTTCGCTGCCTGGCCTGTTGTAGATATTGTGTATGAAGAGATCCGACCAGTCTCCGTCTCGACGGGCCTTCCTGAGCTTCAAGAGTTGGTAGTCCTATGAGATGAGCTGGCATGACCAGGTGCTCGGATTAAGCTTTTTGGACACAAGCAGGCATACTCCTGGTTGCGGGGGAGCGAGGGTCTGATTCTGGCTCTCGTGCTGGGCTTGGTTGGTTTCGTGCACTGTTTCTTTTGCCGGATATACCAGCTGAAATGATGCAGTCGCTGGTTCATGGGTTGTGTGCTGTAGCTCATTCGTCCACGGCTCCTGCACGGCGATGATATCCGCTGCGAGAACTCTCTTGTCTCGAAGAAAGGTGGCCATCACTGGCCACGACTTGTGTACGTTGTATTGGAGGATTTCGAAAGTCTTCATTGGAGGTGCTGTTCGTCATCGCTTCGCTCGCTAGCTTCGTGCCATACCTCGTCGTTTGGGTCGTCGATTGTCGCTGCATCGGTTGTAAACACGGGAGATGATCTAACCGATACCATTTGCTGATGTCTATATTTCAAACCACCAGTTTGCG